CTCATTACTTATGACATTGCGAAAAAAGGACGATGGGGAATGGTTGGTACGAGTGTATTTGCTAAAGATTTCTTTTTCTCTTACCTATTTGTCCGAAGATATCTCGCTTCACAACGTTAACTGTATCAGCATTGGAATCGCTTTCAGGAAGCTTGGCACATTGTACCACAGCAAACGCCATCATCAGGCATATTGTGATTTGCTGCTTCATCTAGAACATTTTTCAATTTCTTTATGCACACTTTAACAAGCCTTACAATTAACTAATATGATGCACACACATAGGCTCATTTTCGAAATAAAAACTAATCTAAAAACTTTGCAAAACTTCTACTTGTTAACACATACTTCTCCCTTTTTACTGTTTGTTCTATTAAGATTGATTTTAGAACATACAAGGTACCTTTCTTTTTGCCGCCAAGTGCACTGATTAGATGGATCCAGTGAAAACGCCCGATCTATCCACTGATTTGTATCCCAGGCACTTACCTAAATACAATTCAATAAACATCCTGGTTCCTAAACAACCAATAGAAAACGACGCCAGAATCAAAATAGTTACATAGGAAATGATTCTAAGAATCAAAGAAGTAGTATGAGACTGGATGAGGTCAGTTTGCAATGTTTACAAAAACAATATTGAACGTGATCGTCTGCCCGTCTTTAAAATTGTTAGTATATTCAGTTTTTATCTTATGATTTACCCTGTGCGCAGAGTCTAGTTATGAACTAAAGACAAAGCTCTCATAAAAACACTGGGAGGGGGGGGGTTATCGCGGTGCAACAACACCTTGTTGTTGTATCAAGATGACCAGCCTTCTGGTGATAGATCTTCGAAAGATATTTTGTTTTTCCAATTTTCACTCATTTCTAGGACGATTTTCTCACACATTGATAACTCAAATACCAGTAGATGGATTTGGTTCCAATTTTAGATGCTGATGTCTAGGGAAAAGGGAGATCTGCTTCAGAAGAAACTTCAAAGGCGTCAGCTGAATTTCAAAATGGCTGCCATTTTTCATGAGAAAGGTAATCTTTGATACACTCCCCTCCATAAGTTTGCCAACCTTTGCTCCCCCCATTGAACTACGTAAAGCCTCTTTACTGAATTTTTGTTTACTTAAAATACCTCCAAATTTTCTCAATCTTTTCCTCAATAACAATAGGTCGAAATTGATGATAAAGATGAATTTGTGAAAATGGGCATTCCCATGTAAACCAATGGTAAATGTCGGGTTTGGGGCAAATCAGAAATCAGGATATCTATTCAGTAAAAGATTTAGCAAAAAAATATTTTTATATAGAAAATTGAATTGTCTAGCTTTTTAGTACACTAAGTATTTAGTTTACTTGATGAATACTAAAGCTACGGGGTTCAAACTCATTTTTGAAAATCATTTTTCGCCTCCTGTGTTATTTCAATGGGAGAGGTTTTTTGAAAAACAATTTTGACTTCAAAGACCTATAACTTTGTTGAAGCTGAAGAAACCTATCAATTTTTTGTTAAATAAAGTTAGCAAATTCAATTGCCTACCCAACTTGTATTTTTTGCAATGACTCGGATGGATGGATCTTCTGTCATATGATTTCCAATGATATTAAATTTGGTTTTTCTAGTTTCTCAAGTTTTCAATATTATTGAATTACAAAAAAAATAATTGACATTGAAATACATAAACAATTGATGTGAATTAGAAGAAAACAACCAGTCTGTCAATCAAGGTCGTCCTCCAGTTATCCTGTTAACGTTATCAACATGAAATCGAAATGATACAGTTAATTAGTGCACGGTGCAAAGTGGTGCAAAGACCATGCCAAAAGTCTTTTGCACGCCCTGTGACAATTATTGCAAAGACGTGCATAGAGGACGTGTAAAGAGTTGGATTCATCGTGTGTCAAAAGGTGTAAATAATTGACCCTTTCCATGGAAAAATAGATGGCATTATGGGTGTTGGTAGGGCTAGACTGCATGGCAGTCAATAGCAAGAATCCCTTAATTTCTTGATTTAACAAGTAATTCCATTTGGCTCAACTTAAAACACCATTGGGATCTAACTATGATCTTATTGACATATGTGGATTGTGATTTCACATTAAAATTAACTTTTAAAGGTTTTTCAACATTGTGTCAATAGGGATTTAGCCCAACATTTTTTTAGATCTTTACAATTTGAATAAAGATAAGTAACTCTTCAAAGCAAGGTTGTTTTGATAGAAAATCATACACAGAATTCAAATATGCCATCAGATAGAAGAAAATGTTAGTCTTCAATGGTTAAAAATGCAGATCTGCTAAAATCTCATTAAACGAGACTTAAACGAGATTTCAGTGTATTTCACTTCTTTCCGTATAAGAATTGAAATCGTGACATATATCATGTTATCATCCAAAAGATAATTGCTCAACAAAAATCCGCATTAACCCAGTTATTATACATATCAAGAGATGCCCATGAGGGCAATTGAACCATTAACAGCTAAAACAACGTTAAAAAAGAATAAGATGCACGCATAAAAATTGAATTGGATAATTTGGTCCTTTGCGATATCAGATACTGGAGGTCCAAATGTTCAATAAAGAAACTATTTGTAGGCTTAATACATGAAAATAAAAATGGAGAATTTTCATAAACACTTCGGTGTTTTTTCTCTGGACTTCCATGCATGGACATTATGTGTATTTATATAATTCTGTTAGATTTCATACTAGCCCTTTGCACCACTAAGGGATTAACACTAATAATATTAATGAATGTTTTTATGTATTTTCTATATCGTACATCATAAATTGTAAATACTACCATGATATAACAAAGTACAAGTGCTTTCTTTTATAAAATGTAGCCTCGATGTGCATGATTAAGATTAATTGATGTTATAACGCAACCTATGCCTCTGGGTGTTATAGAGGAATATTAAGAAATAATGAAGTTGGTTTAGAATACTTACATTCTTATAGGGCAACTTTATTTTATCTTTTATAATATGATGCTTTTACGGGGTCAAACAAACAAACAAACAAACAAACAAACAAACAAACAAACAAACAAACAAACAAAAGACATGTTAAAAGGCAACAACCTAGAATTTAACCTAAATAACTTCTGGGCAGGAGAGAGTTAAATATTCATAGAATAAAAATTGTATCTCCTGAGCATCTCTTAATAATAGTAACATGAATATTCTTCCTTTCAGTCGATTTGAACAGAGATCTTATCACAACTTTTTTTTCTTATACCTTTTCAAAAGGAAACTAGAATCCATATGGCACAATAATAACATAACATCCTCATTGTAGGTGAAGCCCTTTTAGTTAGAAGACCGGAGCAGTCATTTTGTTAAAAAGAGTAATTGAAACCGAATCTGTTTACAACAAGCGCCGAATCTGTTTACAACAAGCGCTAACATGGTCCATGGTGTGGAATTCCAGGATGCTTAATAAAGGAGCTGGTAGCACAATGAAGCGCAGAGATATTTGACCTAATATTAACATACCTAACATACTCTCTCGTGCAAATATCAATATCACCTCGTAGGTAAAAAGGATATTCCTCAAAATATGTAATTACACTAATTTACCACTGACATTTATTCTAAAATTATAATTTTTTTACATAATGATAATCCTATTTATTGTAAATATGCTTACATGTATGTAGATTAACGTCTTGGGTCTTATAAAATGTGTAAAAATTCGAATAAAAATGTTCACGTTTTTGACACCTTGTGATGAGAGACATATTTCGACGCAAAAGTCTGAAATTTTTTGAACTCAAAATTCTTTGACTACTCGTTTTTCACTTATCAGGGCCAAGTCATGCAAGCCATGCATTAATTCAACCATCACCTCATTAATATGTTCAATGCGTCTGATATAATCAAAAAACTTAAAACCTGTAGATTTAAAGATTTTATACTGTATTTGACATTTAACTGTTTAGTGCTCTCCTCTCATAAATTGGTTTAAATACATAAAGCCCTAGATAAAGCACTTGTACTTACTTAACTTTGTTGTTGATATTTTATTTGTGTACCATAATGATTGATATTTTATGTATGATATGATACACGTTAACATTGGCCGTACGAATTATTTTAGACGGCATTGTCAGAAGCGCAGCCCCTAGAGTTACAAAGCCAAACATCCTAGAGTCAGAGAGTAGAAGAAGGACTAGCTCTAGGTCATTTCAAATCAATGTACCTGATTGGTCAGTTTGAATCATGTGACTGTCTGAAATGATGACTGGAAGTTAAAAACACAGTGGCAGTTCTTGTGACCACATATTGCATATTATTTCATATTTCCGCGTAATATTGCAAACGTGTTGGCTCATGTTCGCTGATTTTTTTGTATTAAAAGTTACAAATAACCAGAATGCCAAATGATCGCTCAATCATTGAATTAAAATCAGAATTATTTTTTTGATCTAATTTCAAAAATGAAGTAAGGGATTAATTACGGAAAACGTACACTTCTCTCCAAAAGTTTGGCAACCTTAGCTCTCTCATTGAACTACGTGTTAAAGCCTCTTTATGTTTAATTTTTATTAACATAACCTGCGAGAAAAATAATTTTAATTTAATTGATGAAAATGTAACTTGACTTCGTTTCCAATGCTTCCAAATTTTCCCATTTTTTTCCTCAATTACAATAGGTCCAAAATTAATGATAAATTTGATGAATTTTTGAAAATCGTCATTCCCATGTAAACCAATGGGAAATGGTGGGTTAGAGGCAAATCTGATTTCATATAGTTCATAGTTCATTAGGGAGCTAAGGTTGCCAAACTTTTGGAGGGGAGTGTAATTACGCTAAAAATAAAATTAACTAATTCTATTTTCGTTAAATAATTGTCCGGATATCGAACATTAGAAAATATATTTGGAATCCAAACGGGCATTCAGGAGTCCATCTATATACAGTATGTAAATATATTAGATATTATATAATTAAAATGTAATAAATGCATGAGGGTAAATTGTCGGATGGACGTCGCGTATATAACGATACCACTGGAACATAAGTGAGTCGGACAGACCTGAGTGAAGGTTATGCGAGCGCGCATAGAGAAAAACACAGATCGTATGCAAATTAAATTTGTTTGTACATTTTAATGGCAACGATGGGAATGTATTTTCTTTTGCTTGTAGCAGTTTGCGTCGTGAGCTTAACAGAGGCTCAAGGTAAAGATTTTTCTTTTTTTTTGTTACTCTGTAGCATTTATGATAATGTTTTATGTAAAACACTTCATTCGACAATTGCGATTTAGATCGTTTTTTTTTATTTTTTGTTTTTTTTAAACCTTAACGAGAACATAATCGCACTTTTTAGTTAAGAACTGACCCTCGATTCGTTCTTATGCCTGTGTCAGTGTCAAAAATAAAAGGTTGAATATATTGTAAATATGACTACCATCCGAGATGTTCTTTTTCAGATTGCCTGTCATTTATCAACTACGAATATCGAAACTCAGACCCAACCCAATTCACTTGGAAAACGACTCCCTGTACATCTGCCGCACAGATAATTTGTGAGATTCCAAAAGCAGCGCCTGGTATGAACATTTAATTCAGATTGACTGTACGATAATGTATTTTTCAATTCTTGATGTCATTGCTAAAATCTAGGAAAATTCTAGGCTAAAGTAGATAATATAATGCAAAAAATCAAAATAAATGAAAACCCCAGGGCGGATATAGATTTGACAACATACTGACTTACAGTAGACCTTCTAGACGAACAACAGATTGAGTTTGATTGTAATTGTTTGGAACATTTATTTCCAGAATGTCCACCTCGGTTTAACGTTAACATTTTGAATACGTGTTACTATGTAAACCTGACACGTGTTCCCCATGTTGACATTGATGACTTGTGTGCCACTAGAGGAGGGAGAAGGTTTTATGTTAATACAGCTGAGGAAGCAAATTTGATGGGAGAGGAGTTGAGGAAATACCCCGATACCGCAGCTGGCTTCAAAGAATTCTCCATACGTGGGTGGGAAGGTAAATATAGGCTAAAATGTTTGAACCCAATGAATGTGTGTAACTCAAATGATTAGAATTATCCTTTATGTGCTCATGAAGTTGACCACGAAATATTACTGTGAAATTGACATCTCAGTGAGTACCAATATCAAAAAGCGATCCAATATGGATTATTAACATACCAGAGAGGAAGACTTAAAAACATTATCGCACTATTCAAACAATATTGGTAAAGTAAATGTACTTTTCCAATAATCGGCAATTTGGAGGATATCTCGAGGCTCTGATTCTTATCACAATCATCACTTCGCGTGAATATTGTGTTTGTTAACCTTAATGGCATTTTTTCGAGACAAATCACATCTTGGATTTCCAAGGTATGATGTTTTCATGATTGAAAATCAAACTGGGAAACAAGTATGGACAAATCACTGAAATTCAGAAAACTGTGATTATTTACTCCGTGATTGGTAAACTTAAAAGATTAATGATAATTCTGATTAATATTTTGTTAAGACAATAACTTTTTTTATGAAAAGCTACTTAAGGTGGACAGTTTATAAGAAGTTCGTTCCCGGGAAAAAGTTACATGACTTTAAAAGTATACGTATATATTTAAATATCCAAAATAAAAGTACAGAACAATTTGTATGTTTAGGCTTTAATAGTTCACACATAAATCACGTAATATTATATAATTTCCAGAAGAACATGTGTTGTATTACATGTTAATCAATCCACTAAATTAACAGGTGTCCGTGTGTCATTAACGCGTGTTAACATTACAAATACATATCTAGTAAATTACAGGTATGATAGTAACTTACAGTTATACAATGTATGTACTATAAATATTTATAAGTATTTATCTGATTAAAACAGGGCTGTAATCACCACCTTTTCCGTCAAATAAAGTCGGAAATAAACAAAATGCTGGTCATTTAACGAAGCTTTTATTTTTCTACTGAAAAACAACAAAATGTACATCTGTATCTATAAATGCAACAACACTGAGCCAAAGATGTACGATGATAAGTTTGTTCATTTACAGGCAAAGGTGAATATACAAATGAGCAAGCCGATGGCACCTGTTTGATCATTACCAATTATCGCAACAAGAACAGCGATCCTGGGATATTCTATAACACAACAGAGGATTGTACAGGGGGCTCTCAACGACTATGTGAAGCATCAAAGTTGGACAATGGTTGGTATGAATTAACAGAACCACAAAGTTGACGTAATGGGGTAATAGTTGGACTTGTTTGCGCGTCCATGACAAAGTCTATTTTATTCAATGTTTTTTGCGATACTCACATTAAAGAATTATTATACATAAAATAAATATATGTTGCTAGCGAACTACCCCAGTCCCAAATTAATTTGTTATTGAATTTGATTTGCGTTTGAAGTTTAAAAAAAAATCAGAATGAAATAAATCTTCTAAGGTAGGCAGAGGGATTATGACAGCTGAACCTGTTTGTGAATGAGGCCAGTGTGCAGGCTACGTGTAAATATTCATCGCTCCATTCGAGCTACCTAACTGAGTGTCAAATGCAAAAATCAAAATGTTAAAAAAAGTTCGAACAGATTTATTTAGTGGAGAATTAGGAACAACTGTGTGTTAATATTATTCTAATCTATATACTTATTTTAGGTGAATGCCCGGCTGAAATTGATGATTTCTACATTGAGAATACTTGTTATGATGTCGATTTTGCCTTCAACAGCCATGACAAGAATAGCGTACTATGTAATATGGCCGGAGGACATTTAGTGGACATTAACTCCAGAGAAGAATTAGCAGCAGTCGGGAATAAACTGGTTGAACTCGGTATTCAAGGACAGGGAACCATAGAATTTTCTGTTAAATCTTTCAGCGAGGCTAGTAGTTCCACAATAAATGTTGCAGGTAAGCTGAATTAATCAGTGGAATTAGATACATTGTATGTTAACTGTATTTGCTTGATTATTGAAGGCTGCTTGATGGTACATGATGATGCCATTTTACACAAAAATCCTTTTTAGCTTATGAAATTCGCGCTTTTTAGGACCATTGGATGCTACATCATTTGAGGTGAACTTTGATGAAAACGGAGAATGTTTACTCTTCACGAACATGAGAAATGCTGCAACCGACCGGACCAAATTTATCTGGATCTACCAAGCCTGTACCAATAATGCCATGACATTGTGTGAAATGCAAAAACCCCTCACAGGTAAGTCATGAATTGTTTCCTGTTAGGTAATCTTACTTCTTCGCGTATATTGCTTCTTATAGCTGAAAAAGTCATATCTACATTTCCACATTTTAGCATTCTGATACTAATAGCATATTCTGTTTCTGTTTCATGACATGATGCATTTTAGGTTGTCCATCTGACTTTGATGATATTATAACTGAGGACAGCTGTTATAAATACAACCAGGCCTTTGTTCTACCAGCGTCTATAATCCCATGGTGCAACATTTACGGTGGAACAATTGCAAGTATTGATAACGCTTCTGAAGCAGCTACACTTGGAGTTGAACTTACTAACTTGCCTGATAATGGATACAAGGAACTCTTTATATCCGGATGGACAGGTATGATATATAGTAGACTACATTTGGTTGTATTTCATAGTTTTTAATGCCCGGCGATTGATATGTAACAAGGATAGTCATCACAAACAACTTGCTTTAATTGTAATTTTTTCATCCAGTGTTCAGTGTGACAAAAGTATATTTGTAACAATACCATCGGCATTTAACGATATGTAGCTATAAATATGACATACATGTACGTTTATGACATTTAAATTTAACAAAATATCTGTATGCTAGTCTATATCCATTGGCGCTAGCAATGAGGTAATCAGTAAGATGTAACATAATATTACCCGGTCTGTTTTGCCCAAATCAACCCTAGATCACGGTAGATATGCCCAAAAAATTAAAACTTTAACCCTTCATCGTTAAGCTACTCACCCCACGCCTAATATTTTACACTACATAGTAAGACACCAAGCGAGATTGAGAATTGTGTTCAAATACACAATGATGATAAACAATAACATAGCAGATTGAACATACTGTTCATCAATCAAAAATATTCAGAGCGACTGACTCAATGAAGAGAGATGTTATTGAATTTGTTTTGTATTTGCGTCAGTCAAAGGTTAAATGAAAAATGAATTTTTGTGAATGTTTTATAGCATGTATTTTGTATTCTTGGGTATGGATCAGGCATGTCCACCTCCACCATTAATAAAGTATGAGATCCAACCCCAAAACATTAGTACATGGTTTGTGACCTCATACTTTTATAATTTAATGTTGGGTTGATCAAGATAATGTACATAAGGTTGAACATGTTGAAACCCCTCCCACATCAAAAACAAAATAAAGCACAATGTTTAGGATCTCAGAAGTCTAAGAAATATTAAAGGCATGCAATATTTCAGACCTAAGATAAAGGACACATATAATTGCTCAATATTTTGAATTATTTAGGTATCGGAGTTTACTCGAACCAGCAGTCAGATGGGAAGTGCCTTGTGATCACAAATTACAGAAACAAAGATTTAAATCCAGAAGTATTTTATGATTATTATGAGGATTGTTCTGGTCGCTCTGAGTTGCTATGTGAAATACCGCGACCTTCTGCAGGTGAGGCCACAATGATCAATACCACAAAGATATAATGAAGCATACGTTATTGTTGCCTTGTCCAAGTCAGTATTGTATCTTCTTTATCTCGATTTTCAATTATATACATGATTGTGAAAATAAAATCTAAAAAATTAAAAGACATTAAAAGTGCATTGGGCAAACTTAACGTTATTGCAACTTTCGTTATATATTAATCTTTTTCAGGATGCCCGAGTAATGCCAATGACTTTTTCATTGACAATAGTTGCTACTCGGTTGACTTTGTATTTGATGAGCATGATAGAAATACAATGAGCTGCCAAATGAAAGGGGGGACTCTCGTTCGAATTGACTCGCAGTACGAACTTACCCAGATTGGCATAAAACTGAAAGAGCTTGGTATCGAAGGAAAGGGGACGTCAGAATTCTCTGTAGACTATTACAATACAGCTGTAATAGACCCACTGGGTACGTTGTAACCTTAAATTGTATTTTTAAACACAAATCGCTCAAATAAAATAATATTTTCTTCATCGACTTGGATTGAATAAATGTAAGGTGGGATATGTTTTCATAGAATACATAAACCTGGATCTACCGGCAGTACGCCATGTTATTCTAGTCCATATTAATACTGGGAATAAGCTTAATTTAGAGACAGGTTCATGTTCGTTGCTCATGACATTTCATTGACATAAACTCCTTTAAACATATGAACATCTTGATTAACATAAATTTTAGAAACACCAGATGATATTGAATTTGATGAAAACGGAGAATGTTTGCTCTTCACGAACAAAAGAAATGCTGTAACCGAACTGACCAAATTTCGCTGGTTATACCAGCCGTGTACCAATAATGCCATGACATTATGTGAAATGCAAAAACCCCTAACAGGTAAGTCATGAATTGTTTTCCGTTTGATGAATTTTACTTCTATATTGCTTCTTATAACAGAGGGATATAATGTAGAGTACCTTTTGCATTCGTTTGACTTCACTTCTTAAAAGAGAGCTTCGCCTTCAGTTTAACTAGACTCTGCGCGCAGGGTAAATGTAGAGTTTACATTTCTCTCCGTTTCAGGCTGTCCACCTGACTTTGATGATATTATAACTGAGGACAACTGTTATAAATACAATCAGGCTTTTGTTGCCCCCGTGTCCATAATTACACAATGTGCCGTTTACGGTGGAACAATTACAAGTATTGATAACGCTTCTGAAGCAGCTACACTTGGAGTTGAACTTTCTAACTTGCCTGATGATGGATACAAGGAGATCTTTATATCCGGATGGACAGGTATTATCATAATGGTTATTCGAATCTTTACTATGATTAGAAGAAACTAGTTACTTGGGCATACCTTTTTTCAGAGACATTTATATGTCTCTGCTTTTTTAAATATGGCTGTATTTCACCATGTTTATGACAAACAGGGTGACTGATAATTAATGAGAAAATGAATATAGATATTTCCAAAAATTGAAGTTCATTCATGAAAAATGTCTACATAATGTGGAAAAGATTAAGAAAAATAAAAAACAACTACAGGTAGTGATAATCCTCCAACGAGCACAAGAAGATACGTTTATGAGACCCATCCACAGACACAATGTATAGGTTATGTATGAGGTCTTCCCAAAAGCACTAAGTATAAGGTTTACGTTGGGTCCTTTCATAAGCACTAGCGTGAGGTATGAGACGCTCCCCCAAGCAAAAATATATGGCATCAGTTAGTATGTTCTAATATGAGACACCCCAGACAATAGAATGTGTAAGGTATACGTATATATTATATATGAGGCCCTTCCAAGAATAAAAAATTACATTTCATAAAATTTCCCTTCTTGTTTTTTTCTGCTTAGGTATTGGAATTTACACAAACCAACACACGGATGGGAAGTGCCTTGTGATCACAAATTACAGAAACAAAGATTTAAATCCAGAAGTATTTTATGATTATTATGAGGATTGTTCTGGTCGCTCTGAGTTGCTTTGTGAAATACCCCGACTCTCTACTGGTAAGACTTTAACAGCAATCACGAAACATACATCCACTCAAGGCATGACATGATGAAAAAATCGAAACTTAATAGACATTTGGGCGAGCAAAAACAAGAGATCATATTTCAGATATACCAAACTAAAATACTCTACGAATATAATTGCAACTATTATTTTTATCTTTTAGGATGCCCAAGTAACGCCAATGACTTTTTCATTGACAATAGTTGCTACTCGGTTGACTTTGTATTTGATGAGCATGATAGAAATTCTATGTGCTGCCAAATGAAAGGGGGAACTCTCGTTCGAATTGACTCGCAGTACGAACTTACCCAGATTGGCATAAAACTGAAAGAGCTTGGTATTGAAGGAAAGGGGACGTCGGAATTCTCTGTAGACTATTACAATACAACTGTAAGAGATCCATTAGGTACGTTATGACCTTATAATTGTATTTTCCTGGAGTGGCTCGTGTGCTAACGTATAAAAATCTCAATGAGTGCAGTGATCTTCACAGGATTTTTTCTCAAGTGGGTGCAAATTTCTGATTTCTATTATCCAGACCAAAATTGGTCAAAATATGCCCATTTTTCATAATTTTTCTCATTTTCAAGTGGGTGCAAATGGATTCTCAGGTGAATGCTGCGCCCACTTGCTTTAATGCTGTGGAGATCACTGGAGTGCATACTACAGGTACATACAGACTTATATAGTATATTACTGTAGTTATTAATGGTGATACATTTCCTGGACCTGAAACACCAAATGTTGTATTACAGATGACAAAAATTGCTTGCTGTATACGAATCAGAGATACAAATTCACAGATAGAACTAAGTACACTTGGGCCTCAAAATCCTGCTTATCCAGTTCCCAACACCTATGCGAACTACCAAAACCAGACTCGGGTATGAACTTTTGTCAAAACGACTGGGATAATTAACAGAAACGTTCATTTAAGTGAATTTTTGGGTCAATTGTTCTCACACTATGACATCATTATCTCTAAAATTACAGCATATGATTTAGGATTTCATGATCTATGAAGTTATTGTTATTGACCCCTTCCTTATTACGAAAGACAACTAAAGAAAAGTTTATTTGAAAATACTTGGATATAACGGAATTGTTCATTACGTTTTATGTTACTACTAACGTCTTGATTAGATTCTTACATGTTTTACACTGTTCCATCATGTTGCCTATTAGTAAAAACAAACATATTCATTTTCCAGGTTGTCCGTCCCCAAATGGTTTCAATAGTTTCTCATTGGGATCAACATGCTATCTGTTTAATGCAGTTAAGGCCAATGCTCGTAATATCATCAATGCTTGCGAATCGTTAGGCGCCACTGTTGCTCGGATCGATTCTGGAGCCGAGGCAGGATGGATAGGTGACCAACTTGCGCAATTTGACGATAATGAAGACAAATTCAAGGAAATATACATCACTGCATGGACAGGTATTGGTGTATATGAAAATCAACTAGATACCGGATCGTGTCTGATTATAACAAACTACAGGAATAGAAACAGTCAGCCGGGAATCTTTTACGACTTTTCTGAGGATTGCTCTGGGAAGTCCCAGTTGTTATGTGAGCTACCCATGCCGACAGCTGGTAGGTATTTTTCAAATTCCAAAACCTTTTATTGCGTTAATTTGTTTGATAGGTGGTTTAAATTGGTTTCATGAAATTGCCCCTGTTAAATAAAATCATTCGATTATCCGGGCTTAAATAATCATATTTGATGGTGTCCATCTCGTACTTTTCTCGATTTGCAGCTGTTTTTTGTGTACTGTAAGCACTGGTGATCCACTCGATTACGCTGGTTACCAAAACGAACCGTTTTGGTAACAAAATGTCGGAACATCGAAGGCACGATTTTTCTTTTTTTCTTATTTCACGCGTTGTAGGCAGAATCCCCACGAAGTTTTTTCTCACAACGTGCATCCGTATCATATGTTTTAGAAAATGTACATGTTTGCGAAAAAATAGCTCAGAGGACAACAGAATTGTCAATTTACTTCCTCACTTAAGTTACATAAACGGTTTTTCGAAAAACAGTTAAGATCTGCAACTTTAACCCAAACCGTTTATGTAACTTAAGTGAGGAAGTAAATCGACGATTCTGTTGTCTTCTGAACTATTTGTTCGCAAATATGTACACTTTCTTAAACATATGATACTGATACACGTTTGTGTTAAAAAATGCCGTAGGAATTCTGCCTACAACGTGTAAAATAAGGAAATGAGAAAAATCGTACCTTCCGGATGTTCCGACATTTTGTTACCAAAACGGTTCGTTTTGGTAACCAGCGTAATCGAGTGGATCACCAGTGGTAAGACTACGTCTCATATATTCTTCAAAATATATTTGCCTAAGATGATTACTGTTTGTTTGAATTTTTGAGGCTGGTCGAGCAGAATTTATTGTTTTTAGATGATTCAACTCCATTGAATATCATTTTCAGGTTGTCCTGACGGGTTCAACTACTTTGAAATAGGGGAAAGCTGTTACTTAGTTGATACAGACTTTAATGAGCATGACAGAAACTCCCAGTTTTGCCAACAGGCGTATCCTGGGGGAGTTCTTCTGCATATTGATGACGAAGAGGAGCTACTTGCAGTTGGCGATGCCCTCGAGGAGTTGGGCGGAATACTAGGCAGTGGCACTAATGAGTTCTCTCATGGACCAGGTTTTCCTGTTGATCCTGCAACTATAGTACCATATCTGTCAGCTCTACAAGGTAGTTATGTTATAAAAGCAATAGAGAATTTCCATAAAAGTATAATTACAGTAGTTATTAGTGAAATCAAAGATGATAGTTTATATCGATAAAATCTACCATGGGAAATTATCCCCGATATATTATTGGACGTTCATAATTTTCAGAAGCATCATTACATCCCAGTCCCCCTACAAACTGCATGGTCTTTTCCAATAAGATCTACTCAAATATTGACAAAAGCAAATTCATATGGGACATGAAACTTTGTGAGGATGAAGCGTTTGTTATATGTGAGACACCCCAAGTCGGCTTGGGTAAGACACTTGTTATATTGTTTTCACTCATACATGTTATAATTTACGCCAAGAGAAAATGTAACATTGATGGAAAACGTAAATCATATTTACATTTCCATATTTAAGCAAGAGATCTTGTTTAGAATGTTTATCGAGTTTTCTCTTTGTGTTAAGCTGAACATCAATTATTCCCTTTTCACTGTTTTTGTACTCTTTGGTATTTCCTATTGGCATGTGTGCTAATCATAGTTATATCAGAAGTTTATTACTGTGTGAGTCAACAATCTTGAGTAGTAGTATACATGAAATCCCAACTGCCACACTGGTACAGATCCAAAACCAGGCAGATGTATATGTAAGGATGGAAGATCAAAGTACAACCGGTCATTTTGAAACAGCTCCCCAGAATCATAACAATGATTTACAATGTACGACGTTTGTTCAACCATTCAGAAACCATTGTATCAGTAAAATATGATACATTCCTATTATTTCTATTACAGGATGTCCAAGTGATTTCTCAAACTTCAATACGGAACAAAGTTGTTACAATATCAATAAGAATCTCAATACGTACGCCTTAGCCACTGCACAATGTAAGGCTTTGGGAGGCACTGTCTTAGCAATAGACTCTCCTCAAGAAGCTGCGATGTTGGGCGAAGAGCTCGCTGGAAACACAGATTTGCCTGGACAATATACAGAATTCTTCTTAGCATCTTGGAATGGTATGGAACTGTCTGAGTTCTGATGTAGTGTTTCTGTCGAGTAGTACTACTAAAATCCCTGTCTCCTTTACAATGTTTGTGCTAAATCTTTTTATATCACAACTTGTATAACAAGAAAAATCAAATATATGTATATAATTGGACATTAAGTAAAACCTGATTTGATTATAAATAAAATATAATGATTTGGTTATATTTGGATGACAAGCTACGAACGATAAATTGATTAAATCTTGTATACTAGGATTTGGTAAATATGATAATGAGAACAGCGACGGCTCTTGCTCCATTTTAACAAACTATAGAAACAAAGACACACAACCAACTAAGTTCTACACGCACAGTGAAGACTGTTCTGGAAAAGCTCAGATGCTATGTGAACTCGTAAAGCCCATATCAGGTAAGTAAAACATATTGATGAAACACTGTGCGTAGAATCATTTTGACCTCTTCATTAATCAACGTTTTCGCAATGTCCCATGCAGTGTATCAGAATAGAATACTGTTTAAGACTAGCACTGCCAATGAGTTCGACCTTTCCCTCCAACCCATCACAAATTTCACAAGCCATTATGTAATTCATTGCAGGGTGCCCCGAAGACTTCGACGACATAGTAACTGCAGACAGATGTTATTTATTTGACTTCAAATTCAACACGCATGACAGAAACCGTATGTTCTGTCGAATGGCTTATGAAAACGCCAGACTTATTACAATTGGTACAGATGCTGAACGCGAACTAATTGGGAGCATATTCGTCGGTGAAACTGGTACACTGTTTGAATTTTCTCTTGGGACGGTGGAGAGAACACCTACAGGTTTGTGAATGCCTCATTATGATATTTACGACATTCGATAATATGAAATAGTATGGTTTTGAGTTCATTTGATAATATTCTCTTAGAGATAACATTGGAGTCCAAATTATTCCTGACCTCAAATTTCAATCATATTTGGAACAAGTTGAGGTTCACTGGCCTGGTTCAGCTGTTTATTCTGTCATATCAAGTGTTGTCGTCCGCAGTTGCTAATTTTTATGATTGTTTCTGATTGTTTCTGATTTTCAGATACTACTAGTTGTATGCTCTTTAGCAATCAGCTCTTCTACACTAGTGCGCCGGATAGATTCTCTTGGATATTCCAGGATTGCTTATTTGAAGCAGAAGGTCTTTGTGAAGCTGCTAAAACCGGAATAGGTAAGAAAAGGTTGCTTAATATTGAATATGTAGGTCCTATCCAGGCCGTTTGTCATTACCACGAAGCCAAACAGACAGACTGGCATGATATTATTATTTCACAGACAAAAATTGTTGTTATAAAATCACCCACATTTTCATTTCACCTTTCAGATTGTCCAAGTACCTTTGACTTGGAAACTAGTGTAGGTTGTTACAAGGTTATGCAAGCGTCAGATTATTCTGGGTTTAAGCAGGAATGTGAGAAGATTGGTGGAAATACTGCTGTGATTAATACCCCTGAAGAGGCATCTGAACTTGGAAATGAGCTGGCGGCAGTACCAGGGATTTCTGACTTAAGACGATACTATATTCAGACGTGGGCGGGTAAGTTCAATATTGTGAAACAAAATATCGATGAGTAGAATAGGCCCATATATCATTTGATAGCTGAAATAGAATGGGTTCAGTTTTGTTATGAATAATGAGTCTTCATCCTTCTAGATTTAATTTCCTTTCTTTACCATATTTCTGTTTTTATTTTTTAGATATTTGAATATTATTACAGAGTATGCGACCTTCAAAATAAGATAATGTGAGATAATGTGATTATGTTTTCCAGGCTATAAAGTTTATGAAAATCAAATCTCTGACTTTTCCTGTTTGATTCTTACTAACTATCGCTATCAGAACACTACACCAGAAGTTTTCTACGACTTTACGGAAGACTGCTCTGGAAAATCTGAATTGCTATGTGAAATGCCAAAACCTGACAGAGGTATGTGTATATCCAACATCTTATTTCTGAATCGTCAGGTTGACAACATCCAATATCACGGTGCGGTACCCAAATTGCGCGCATACTATGCACGCAGTTTGAATCTCTGACAAACTAGGCGCATATTTAAAAATGGCAGACGGGGAGTTTAATGACACAGAATTAAGTAAAACATGGTGACATTAATCAAACATTTTCTCATAAAGAAGAACATAGCGAGCCACCTTATGAAAATATGACAATGTGAAATATAAGTATTGGGGTGTTAACAGCGTTTAATCTGCTATCTGCATTTTCCAGGGTGTCCAACAAAATACGATCTGGTCAATTTTGAGATTGGAGACAGCTGTTACTTCCTACGTTTTGGATACTATGAGCATGACATAAACAGTATGACATGTGCTATGATTGGACCTGGTGCCTCTTTTATTCACATCAACAGTAATGAAGAACTTGCAGCAGTAGGAGATCATCTTAAACGTCTTGGTATAGCTTACAAAGGCCTAACGGAATTCTCAATCGGATTATACTTGGCAACACAAGGTTATGTTTAATTTGTTTAGACTTTAGACAATAATCAACAATTATACTGTTGCAATATGTCAAGCAAAGTACAGAAGGTCATACAGTAAACATATTTTCAATGGAGAATTATAAGATTCTTAATTTTGTATTCTTATTTTTGTGGACGGTGTTTGATTTTCGTGGCTTGCGGCGGCCGGCGGTGAGGGTAAAAAATGGCACGTGACATTTTGCATGTTAATGCCTCGTTGTAATGAAGGAAGCGACAGGGGTCATATGTCATTCGCGTTAATTCCTTTATTTGGAATTTATTTTCCTTTGACAAGTTATGGTTCAATGTATATATTCCAAACTGTGTTTCCTCTTCCATTTTGTCCATATTTGTGCTTAATATTAAAAAATTCTGATATTTTCAGATGGCGGTGGGATTCAAATAGAGACAATAAATGCTGCCGCTGATAATGAAACCGAAATTCCTGTTATGACTACAGTACAAACTGAAGACACCATAGCCGAAGATACAAAATGTATTTGCTCCAAAGAAAATAATGCTAGCAAAGAAGCTAAAGGTAGTGAAGAAAGCAGTCAGGAAAGTAAAGATAGCAGTAAGGCAAGTAAAGGCAGCAGTAAAGAAAGTAAAGGCAGCAGTAGGGCAAGTAAAGCCAGCAGTAAAGGAAGTAAAGGCAGCAGTAGGGCAAGTAAAGCCAGCAGTAAAGGAAGTAACGTGAGCAGCAAGGAAAGTAAAGAGATTAGTAGGGAAAGTCAAGACAGCAGTGAACAAAGTAAAGTGAGCAGTAAAGAAAGTAAAGATAGCAGTAAGGCAAGTAAAGGCAGCAGTAGGGCAAGTAAAGCCAGTAGTAAAGAAAGTAAAGGGAGTAGTACGGAAAGTAACGGAAGCAGAAGTAGTAAAGAAAGAAGTGAGAGTAATGCATCAACTAGTGTCAAATCAAGTAAGGAAAGTGGGGCCAAGGGAAGGCGAAGGAAGAGGATGACGTCATCCAGCAATGGAAGCAACGAATCGGGCAGCAATTCTTCGGATGGGTGTGTCTGCCCTAGAACTGATGCAGATAGCAAGAACAGTGAAGAAAGTAAAGCCAACAGTGTGGGAAGTGACGGCAGCAGTATGGAAAGTGACAGCAGTAGTAAGGAAAGTAAAGCCAGCAGTAAAGAAAGTAAAGCCAGCAGTAAGGAGTCTAAAGAAAGTAAAGGCAGTAGCGAGGAAAGCAAAGCCGATAGTAAAGGAAGTAAAGTGAGCTGTAAGGAAATTGAAGCAATCAGTAAAGAAAGCAAAGATAGCAATAAGGAAAGTCAAGACAGCAGTGAGGAAAGTCAAGTGAGCAGTAAAGAAAGCAAAGATAGCAATAGGGAAAGTCAAGACAGCAGTGAGGAAAGTAAAGTGAGCAGTGAGGGAAGTAAAGATAGCAGTGAAGAAAGTGAAGATAGCAATAGGGAAAGTCAAGACAGCAGTGAGGAAAGTAAAGTGAGCAGTGAGGGAAGTAAAGATAGCAGTGAAGAAAGTGAAGATAGCAATAGGGAAAGTCAAGACAGCAGTGAGGAAAGTAAAGTGAGCAGTGAGGGAAGTAAAGATAGCAGTGAAGAAAGTAAAGATAGTAGTAGGGAAAGTCAAGGCAGCAGTAAGGGAAAGTAAAGTGAGCAGTGAAAAAAAGTAAAGCGAGCAATAAGGAAATTCAAGACAGCAGTAAAGAAAGTAAAGGCAGTCTTAATTAAGAAACACTTGATGATTTTATGTGATAAATCACCGACTTTTAGTGAATTTAACATTTAGTCTATCGTACAACACAAGTCATTAATGAAAGTGTCATTTGAAGAAGTAATTACTTGTCTCTTAGTAAAATTTTACAGATTTGATGCTTATACCATCTTGAGTTTTTGAAGTCTGAATACATAATTATGTCAGCACCTTATGAAGACATGACATTCTGCGTTTGAAATTCTAACATGGGTCTTTGAATTTTGATTGATCTGATATGATTATATGAATGATTGGGTAAGGCTAGATCAACTGCTGTCTAATTGAAAGAGTACAAATGTAATTTCACTTTTGCAAAGAAACACGATCAAAGCATGTTTAATGCTTTAACATATTTAAAGTTAACCCATATGTTTATGTAATACCAGATTAACATGGCTATATTTAATTCTAATTCTTTCAAGGTGAATTAACCTATGTATTTTTACAAGAAATTCTGTACTTATGAAAGATGTACAATTCCATGAATTCACCAAAAATATTTTTATTGTACTATTCACAGTTAATATGTCAGATACTCCCCACTCCGAACAGTGGATTATCAAACTATTATGTATTTATAAATATTTATATATAAATTTACTTATTTATTAATATAGTACATGTACAATGATATTTTTAATATATAACAACGAAGACAATTAACATTACACTGGGCGGGATCGGGGAATATCTTCTAACCCCCTATCATACTAAACTAGTTCTAAACAGTTCTTTTTAGTCCTACAAAAATGTGGTCTGGAAATATGTCTAAAATAATTTGCTACATCGTTCATAAACAGTCTTTAATACGGGGTCAACCCAGTTGTCCGAAACCCAGTTGTCCGAAACCCAGTTCTCCGAAAAGTACAGCTAACAGCTCTATGAACAAGCACTCTTTCATTGGTAAAGGGTGTATTTGAGAGTATATTTCATCAACTGAACGATTCCTTTGTGGGCTGGTATTTAATAAAACTGTTAAAAGATGAAAGTACAAGGGCAAATACAGGTGATATAGATGTTCGAACAAACAAAGTTAAATTATGTTATTCTCATTGCAAAGTGGCGTTTACATAACATACATAGGGGTGTACAATTTTTAAACCAATTTTCTTTATGGCCCATGGGCCTTTTTTGAGAGGGAACAACATTTTTCCAATTAGTGATGGGCATTCATATAAAAGGAAAATAGCTTTCCCAAGCCAGTGGGCATTTATTTAGTAAAGTTGACGTGTACATCTTTTGAAACCAAAACTTATCCACTTACGTTCTCTGTCCGAGAAATAGAGATTAAATTCAAAAGGATGAAGTGAGTACACTGCGAAAATGAAACTTCTTGTGAATGGGAGAACATCCATTTTGATACGAGGAGAGCCTGTCTTCGTTTCCAGTTGATCCCAAGTGATTAAGTTTAGAATGTTTAGTTCTTTTACGATTTGATAAGAGACAGAGACTAAGAAATTAAATGCAACGAAATATTTTGACAACGTAATTTCAATTTTGTATACTGTTTTGTTCTTAAAGTTCTATGCGTTAACATATTTTATCTGTTTCAAAATGTTTATTTTTATTTTGCCTATTGAAGATGATAGATAAACTGTTCCATAATATATATTGTGTTTTGATAACCTTTTTTAGAATCTCAATGTAAAATAAATCCGTTCCTGGCATTCTGGTAACGCCATGTGCAATGGATGCAATTCAAAGTGAGAGATCTAAGAAACATCAGAATGCGTCCATGCCATTAATTTGGCCAAATACATGGCATGGAACTGGCCTAAGCTTAAGTACGTCCCCCTTTCTCTGGTAAATTATCACTATATTTTCGGAGTAATGGGTTTCGGAGAACTGGAGTGTACCCCTTTTCTACGTCCATTTCATTCGCAGATCGTTCAGGTCGCACTGTATCGGTTGGCACACGCACTACAATTGATAATTCCGATTGCACAACTTCGATAACGCGCCCCTAGTATCGTCGAAGTACGGCAATTACGTTCCTAGTCTAGTGGGTCATCTCGACTGAAGTACGTTGTCACACGTCCTAATCACAGAACCGTATGGTCGCCATAGAATTTTGAAATTAGTCAGAATTCTAAATCATCTTTTAATTCCTGTCCGAGCACGTCCCTGAAGTTCGTAAATAGCCCGTAGAAAGTTGTAGCTCCATTCGTTCCGTTCGCATACAGTTCAAAACAAGTTCGGCAACGTTTTGAAGAACGCAGTGGGAACTAGTTTGGTGTGATAGTAGGGTTATTTCCTAGTCACGTGGACAGCCAGGGCATATCTCTTCTGATTTCCTAGTCACGTGTAGGACATGGTCCAATCAGAGTGAGATATATGACAGTGATATCATAATTTGTTAATTTAGTTATGCATGTTTTTCGAGGCCTACAAGATATTTAAGACTGTATTTTTGTATGCCCGTGGTGCTAGTGAATTGCGTAATATTTTAATGAGGTTTCTCCCCAGTTATCACTAAAAGTACATTATTCCATGCAGTGCAAATTACATGCTCATGTGTTTTCAACAAAAATAGCTTATCGAAGCGCATCTACACTCACATAATTTTTGTAAACTCCTGCGATGCACTAGCAACGAGCAGACGCGACTGACATACGCGAGCAGCCGACAAGGTTGCCACAGCTTGGATGAACTGCTTTTGTTGAAAACAGGTATGTAAATCGAAACGCACGGACTCATCGTTCTTTTTCGTTATACCTAGGGGTAATACTTATTATTATGCAATGCACTAGCATTTGGGCAGTTCAAAAAACGCAGCCTAAATGCCACAAAGCAATTACGAAATACGTCATTATTTTCTACATAGTTCACCCCTTTTCTCCAAATATGAGATGAGAGACCTTTAGGCAAATCAACATACGTTTAGGTTATTTGGATTTAAATTTTGAAATAACAATGGAATAAACAAAATTACCAAATTCACATTACATTGTTTTTCTTGATACCTTTATGCCTCAGTCACATTTAATCCACGGCAACCGTAGGGAACATGGGGCAAAACGGCCATCAAAATTAATTTTCGTGGGAGGGGTAATTTGCAAAAAAGAGAGCTAGTGAAAAGAAGAATCACACCTCTTACATAAGGCAAGACGCTGCTAGGTTAAAAAGGGCGGTCGAGAAGGTGGTGGAAATTTCAAAATTCGATTATGTGACTTTTGAAGAGCCATCTTGTTATAGTTCAAAAGATATTTCGATGAGCCTTTTTGCCCCCCAGGGCCGTTTTGCCCCATGTTCCCCTATAAATGGCTTAAAGCACCAAATTTCCTGAAAATTGAATGGCGAAAGATGCGGACCAAGCGAGCGATGGGTTTTGGCGGGTCCTCCCTCCAAGAAATTTTGGAAAAATGAGATTTGATTGAGTGCTTTTAGAGTAATGTAGACACATTACATATACTTTCGCATGAAAAAGTATTTTCATAGGAAAAAATTAAACAAATATGACCTTAATTTTTACTCCCCCTAGAAATAAATCCAGATTTGTATTGAATTCAATGGGGTCAGATTTTGTTCAATTTTTTCCTGAGACTTCCTGAAATTCCTGAAGACTTTAGGCCATGCCCTGTGGCGGTCGTGGGTTCTTAAAATCGAGAGAAATATATACTGTAGCAAAAAATATAAGGATAAGCAGTACATAGTACATTTTCTTATCTATCACGCCTAACCATGGCATGAGCAGGTGTCACCGCACAGCGTCAAAAAATACAGTAGTACAGTTTTCTGTACGGTGACGAAAATTAACTGAGTTGAAGCAAAATATATAATGAAAAACTATCAATTAGATGAAAATAAATACGATGTCGTCTGAGAGTATGGATTATTTTTATGAGAATATGTATTTGTTATCTACACATTTTAGAACAGATGAATATTTGCATATAATCATTCAGTGTATTTATTTAAAAAAGATCAGATCTTTACGATGACGCATCTGCTGTACGGTGACGATTCCTTATACAACATTTATACGAGGGATACTTGATTAGATCAACATTTGAACTTCCACACAACTTATGCGATTTGAAGTAATAAATAATGAATTATTTATATTACTTCTGATAAATTATAATGATTCGTCACCGTACAGCTGATGCGTCACCGTACAAATTTGATCTTTTTAAAATATACATAATGAATGGTTGTTTGCTGAATCTTTGCCAACAAATACATATTCTCATAAAAATAATCCATAATCTCAGACGGCAGGGAAAATAATAACCAAACGAAATATAAAAAACCAACTTTTTTTTCACTTGGGTCGATTATGTGGGCCGATTCACTCAGAAAAAATCCGAACAGTGCTCATAAAACGTTTATCATAATTAGAAAGTTAAAACCATTTCTAAGAGAATGCTGTTTTTATTTCACATGAAATCGTAATAGTTTTCATTAACTAAATTAATTTTTTAAACCCTTGTCATAGTTTTTGCTTCAAAGGAGTTAATTTGCGTCACCGTACAGAAAACTGAACTAGACCAAAGATGATCATGTATCAAATAAATCAAAAATGCCTTATGTTCAAGAGAGCTGATATTGTGTCTAATATACATGTATCATTCACACAAACATGTAGCTAGGCAAGGTGTGTCCGATTCAAGCCAATCCAAATATGCTGAATGGCTGTGAAGGTGACTCTACAGACTGAAATTGATACTTTGACTACTTGTCCCTTGCAAAAGGTTTCGTTGAAAATATGTTATTTTAGTGATTTCGTATCTTTTATGTGATTTCATAGAAAATATTTTGCAATGTGTGATTAGAATTTAAACCAAAGGCACAATGCAATTGTGGCTAATCCATTCCACTCAGGCATTGTTTTGTGTATCTCGTGCAAAAGTTTGAAACAACACCCCAGAAGAATGATAATCAGTCCATAATGCACTGAATCCAGGTCTTAAACAATTAGTGATAAAGGAATTGACAAATATTTGAAAATTACCTCCTGTTCAAGTTCCAATCATTTTTATAGATTATATTGATAGATTTAATATCACTGAGTATGGTATTGCTTGTTGAGGATCACACAACATTACCGTTTATCATTTATTTGAGATTTAAGCAGGGGTCCATTTTTTAAGAAATAATCGTTTTAAATTCTTCTTCTTCTTAGTCCTTTTCAGTGTTCCTTATAAGGTGTTCCGGGATCACTTTGGCATTATTATGCTGCCTTTGATCACTTGTTGCTGTTTTTAAAACTCATGTACTAAAAATATCACTTGTACTTTTCACTTGTGCTTATTTTACTTCTGTTGGGAGAGAGAGCGCTAAAACTTGTTATCTAACGTAGTCTAAAATGCAAGTGTTTTTCCATTAAAATGAGATGTTAAAATAGAGTCACTATCTCACTCGAGTTAAAAATAAGTTATTAAAATCTCTTGGATTTCTGTATAAATGCCTGCAGGCATTTCATAATTTCTTTATTTAACTTATGGTCCAGGCTTGTGTTGAGTCCTGTGATTGTTTGTAGGTCCAGAGCTGGATTGTATTTAGCTCCTAGTAGTATCTGTTGCACTTTGGCCAATAGAATCTCCCTCTCTTCCTGGAACTTAGAGCAAGCAAAGATGTAATGTTCAACTGTCTCTGGTATGTTACAGTGGTCACAGTTGGGAGATAAAATATCGGGGTTAATTCTATGGTAATGGCCATGTAAACGGGTGTGCCCAGAAATAATTTGGTTACATATATTTCTATAATACCTAGTTCCTGTTTTTACAATTGGACTTTTCAATTTAACCTTAGGAATTAATTCCTGAACAAAGTTCACCTTGGTGGAGTTGTTATACCTATTTTGCCATTTCTCTAAAGCGTTACATTTGATATTATTATAAGCTACAGACTTAGATGTTTTACAGTCAGTGAGAGATTTGGCTGCCAATGCTGCTTTCTTGGCAGTTTTATCCGCAACTTCATTCCCTTCTGTCCCTTGGTGACCTGGGACCCAATAGACTTAAAAGATTTCTTGTGAATAGATAATAAATAAGTACAAAAAGCATGAATTATTATATATCAAGAGCATAGTGTAAAATTTCAACTGAAAAATTAGATCAAAATGGAATCCATGTTCACAGTGGGGGGTATAACTCATCAAACACTGGATAATTTTTTTTAAAGCTTATTGTTACAGCCTTATGTTTTGAATTTGCTTTTTTAGTTAGGATTATAGCATTGACCATTTATGAATTTTTGAGCACCATACAAAGTTACAGAACTTCATTTATGAACGATTTCAGCAGGGGTCTATTTTACAAATATTAAATATTTTTCCGGATAGTTCTTAGATGAAAAGCTAGTACATTGTTACGATTAAAGGCCCCATGTAAAGTTTAAACCACTTTGGCTAATATCGTAGTCTTAACCAATGTTATCAAAGTGTGATATGTGAAACTTTTTTTTTAAATTTCAAAAAGTGGTTTTTGATTGACTTTTTGTTCCAAAATTTGTGAATTTATTTAAAACCAACTTTTAGAGGTCACTCATATCTTCTAATTAGCCAATGCATAGCATTCATCCTCCCATGTTTTTTGCCGAAAGAATTAAGAAAATCGGTTGATAAACAAGCGAGAAATGAACTTATCAGTGCATGAAAATGGTTCTGAGAAAAATGCATTTCAAAATTTTAGTTCTCATAGAAACCAATGGTACAATGATATCTAAAACATAATTTATTCTTCCTTTTAACCTGGTTAGACAATCAACATTGGTTTTTTATGAAAGTCTAGCATATTTAGAAAAGATTGACATCGAAAAAAAAATTCAATTTTTTTTAAAAAGTTTTTGGTACCTTAGTGACATCACTAATGTTTCAAAATATTTTTGATAAGCTAAAACATTGAAGTGGCCCATTAAATATGACATTTTATTATTGAAACAGTGTGTCTTTTGTTCAATCTTTGCATTTGTGTTAAAAATATTATCTTTTTTGAAATGTATTAAGAAATATTTGATGATTAAGAAATTTCAACTTTTTTTGAAAAATGGCGGGAAATTTGAATATTTGAGAAATGAAATGCTCACAACTTTTTTTTCAAAATTTTTTTTTGGTTCAAAAATCTCTAAAATCACTTTTTAAGTCCTGACAAATAGTAAATGAATGATAAAAAAATATTTTCAAACTTTAGACGGGGACTTTAAAATACATCATTGAGGTGTATAAATCATGAAAACAGGTTTCATACTGATGTCTACAACCTAATTCGTATAATGCCATGTCACAAATGGGGGAGGGGACATTGACCTCCATTTGGGGATCTTTATTACTTATATGATTTCAATATTACAGTAATGTCGGTATCATTATAAACAGGCATTAAATAAGAGTAGACTATTATAAATAATACGTTGACAGCAAGAAGATTTATACAATTTAAACTGTAAAATGAGATAAAAACAAAAAATCACAATGATTGGTGTAACCAATCAATTTTTTACTTTATAAGCTTAGTATCATGTCCTAACGATTTAAATTAATTTCAAGTAGTTATCCCATTGAATGAAGTTCGGAGGGATATAGGGAACGGGCCTCCGTCCGTCCATCCGTCTGTCCGTCCATAGGTAAGTCCGTTCGGGCAATAACTCTAATACCGTTGGCCTGATTTTGTTCATATTTTGTACACATATACCCTATGGGGGTAGCAGTTCTGCTCGAAAGCCGATTTTCAAAATGGCCACTTATTTAAAAATAGCGGCCATTTTAGTGCTGATTTTACAGTAATTTAGGTTCAATATGTAAAACTGTAACAGCAATATCTTTTAAATGAAACAATTGTATAGGACATTAATTAAGCTAGAAATGTAGATATTAAAGAAGCACATGGCAGCCATCTTGAAAAATGGTGGCCTTTACTTGTTATTTAACGATTTTTGCTGTAACTCGAAAAGTAGTGGGGTGATTTCGTTCATATCTGGTATGTGAATACTAATAAGCATGGCACACTGTCTAATGACACTTTTGGTAGAAGGCGGCCATTTTAAACGTAGCCGCCATTTTAACGTATTTTACTATAGCTCGAAAAGTTGTGGAGCGATTTTGATCATCTCTGGTATGTGATTACTATAAACATGGCACACTGAATTTTTTGAATATCTTAAAGTGCTTCAGATTTTCATTTATTGAAGATTTAATTCAAGATTAATTCAAAAAGATGAATATATTGTGGATAGTTCTCCGATCAATTACTATTATTACCACCTTGCGGGGCATGTTTTAGTGCTAGTTTAGGGGGCATTTATGTTACTATATCGACCTGAGCAATAATTCTAACAAACGTCATTTCTGCGGGCAATCTTAAACAAATACTGGATGATCAGGAGCTGGATATGGCAGAATACCTATTCGAGAAAACAATATTGGGTAAACGCTTTTCTATTACTATAAAGTTATTTGCTTGTAGAGATGCTTGTAGAGCCCGTATCGCAAAAATCATATATCCTTTCACCCCACATCATATCATATGCTTTATTGATGTTAAAATCCATTTTTATAAATAGTGGGAATAAATTCCTAACTCATCTTAGATTATTATTTAAATGCAATATTATATGCTATCAAATGCTTTTTCCAAGGTTTTAAAATGTAAACAGTGCTTAGTTTCAGTGCTCAAAAGGTGAAAACGTATGTAGGAATATAGGCAGAAACAATTTGCAGATCAACGAAAGTGTAAACAGATAAAATCAATATATCATGATACTGTAATGACCTTTCCAAAAGCCGATTCATAAGTGGAAAATTCGTTGTTAACTTCAAAAGTGTCAATATCTAATATTTTTCAGTATTACGGACCTCTGTTAAACCACTCAATGATAGGTAAACGGTAATGTTGACAGGTCCTCAACGCGTGAAACGTATGTAGGAATATATGTTTTATCATTTAAACATATCATTAACAATTGGCCGATCAACGAAAAACAAGATGATGTTAAAAGGAAAGTGAAATAAATGGAACCATTATTTTTTATCATTTTGAATGCAAAATTTAGTCAAACAGAGGATCTTAGTTTCAATTAAACAAATAAAATCAATATGGAATACTAATATTAATAACCTTTCCAAAAAAACTTCAAAAATATCAAAATCTAATATTTTTTGTGAACCCCTGTTAAACCCCTCAATAATTAATAAATAAGTTTATTGGTCTCTTGAACATCTAATGTACATCGAGATAAAATCAATATGTTATACTAGTAAACTTTCCAAAAGCCAATTAATGACTAGATAATCTGTTGTAAACTTCAAAACTATCAAAATCTAATATTTTTGTTGACCCCTCCCTCGTGAACCCCACAATTATAAGTAAACGGTAAAGTTCTCAACAGGTGAAAATGTATGTGATAATAAATGTTTTATCATTTACACATATCATTTAACAATTGGCGGATCAACAAAAACAAGATGATGTTAAAAGAAAAGTGAAATAAATGGAACCATTATTTTTTATCATTTTGAATGCAAAATTTAGTCAAACAGAGGATCTTAGTTTCAATTAAACAAATAAAATCAATATGGAATACTAATATTAATAACCTTTCCAAAAAAACTTCAAAAATATCAAAATCTAATATTTTTTGTGAACCCCTGTTAAACCCCTCAATAATTAATAAATAAGTTTATTGGTCTCTTGAACATCTAATGTACATCGAGATAAAATCAATATGTTATACTAGTAAACTTTCCAAAAGCCAATTAATGACTAGATAATCTGTTGTAAACTTCAAAACTATCAAAATCTAATATTTTTGTTGACCCCTCCCTCGTGAACCCCACAATTATAAGTAAACGGTAAAGTTCTCAACAGGTGAAAATGTATGTGATAATAAATGTGAACAAGAAAGTGAACAAAATGGAACAATTATTTCTAATCATTTTTAATGCAAAATATAATCAGACAGACAATCTTATTTTCAATTAAACAGATAAAATCAATAGGTCGTGCTAATAACCTTCTCAAAAACCGATTCATGAGTGGATAATCCTTTGTAAACTCCAAAAATACCAGAATCTAATATTTCTATTTTTTGTGGACCCCTGTTAAACCCCTCAATAATAAGTAAATGGTAATGTTGACAAGTGCTCAACATGTGAAAAGGTATGTAGGAATATATGTTTTATCATTTAAACATATCAAAACAATTGGCGGATCAACAAAAACAAGATGATGTTAAAAGAAAGTGAACTAAATGGAACAATTAATTTTAATCATTTTAAATGCAAAATATAGTCAGACAGGTGATCTTATTTTCAATTAAACAGATAAAATCAATATGTCATGCTTATAACCTTCCCAAAAAACGATTCATAAGTAGATAATCTGTTGTAAACTTCAAAAATTTCAAAATCTAATATTTTTTATTTTTTGTGGACCCCTGTTAAACCCATCAATAATAAGTAAATGGTAATGTTGACAAGTGCTCAACAAGTGAAAACGTATACAGGAATATGTGTTTTATCATTCAAACTCATCAAAACGATTGGAGGATGAACAGGAGGAAACAGCTTAATTAAGGCTTATCTGAGAAATTCCATTATCACTAAATATACATTATGTAACTCAAGAGATATTGGGTCAAATACACCAGAGAATAGCAAGGAAACACACACAAATAGAGAAATCTAAATTTTGTGAATTATTTCAAATATAATTTATTTTTAATAAGTATGTCAACTACAATACAAAACAATAATGATTTGATGAACACAATGATAGATAAAAGAAGGCACCACACTATTGTATGTTTCATGAGAAAAAGAACAATGCAAATATTCAATTGATTTGTACTAAGTACAGTTAATAGAACATGCAAGTCTAAAGGACATCAGAACAATGCAAGTGAAAGCAAAGAAATGATGGCCTTTTCTATCAACTTTTATAAAATTGATATACATATATATTGCAATAGATTTATCATGAATGACTGACTGGATGTTGCTATATTAGGGAAGTTAAGCTGCACATTTTTATGAGAATATGTATGTATAAATGATTGTGTAGAATTGAGGTTATCTAGGGATTACTTCTTTCCTTGGTAGTACATGTACTTGTAATTACTTGCCTTAATAAAGTAAAGGTACAAGGAAAATTGTTGTAATAAGATCACTTGAAAATTGAGAGGACAGTTTTCACTTATGATCAAAATATTACATGTTCACCACGACAAATTTTCTTAAAAATGTGTAGCTTGAAACTCCCTATTATGTACATTTGCACATGAAAATGTCATATTATCTGTATATTAATTTATCTTATTGCAAATTAAACTATAGTGCACCATCATGAATAATTATTTATATGTACAGGTCATTTCATTAATTGCACCATTTATTAAAAATTATTTTGATTTTTAAAAACATATATACAATATGAGCAAAACACAAACAACATATTTACATTTTAACATTGACTTAGACATGTATCGTATTGCAAGAGACCAATGACATTCAAATGGTCCCATTTATAACTTCAATATGACAACAATAGTAGTGGCAAATTGTTGCACATTATTTCATTTCTACTTTGATCTTTAAAGAATAATGCTTCCATGACAACATGACATGACAACAATGGTAGTGGCAAATTGTTGCACATTATTTCGTTTCTTCTTTGATCTTTTAAAGAATAATGCTTCCATGACAACATGACATGACAACAATGGTAGTGGCAAATTGTTGCACATTATTTCATTTCTACTTTGATCTTTAAAGAATAATGCTTCCATGACAACATGACATGACAACAATGATAGTGGCAAATTGTTGCACATTATTTCATTTCTACTTTGATCTTTAAAGAATAATGCTTCCATGACAACATGACATGACAACAATGGTAGTGGCAAATTGTTGCACATTATTTCATTTCTACTTTGATCTTTAAAGAATAATGCTTCCATGACAACATGACATGACAACAATGATAGTGGCAAATTGTTGCACATTATTTCATTTCTACTTTGATCTTTAAAGAATAATGCTTCCATGACAACATGACATGACAACAATGGTAGTGGCAAATTGTTGCACATTATTTCATTTCTACTTTGATCTTTAAAGAATAATGCTTCCATGACAACATGACATGACAACAATGATAGTGGCAAATTGTTGCACATTATTTCATTTCTACTTTGATCTTTAAAGAATAATGCTTCCATGACATCATGACATGATAACAATGGTAGTGGCAAATTGTTGCACATTATTTCATTTCTACTTTGATCTTTAAAGAATAATGCTTCCATGACAACATGACATGACAACAATGATAGTGGCAAATTGTTGCACATTATTTCATTTCTACTTTGATCTTTAAAGAATAATGCTTCCATGACAACATGACATGACAACAATGGTAGTGGCAAATTGTTGCACATTATTTCATTTCTACTTTGATCTTTAAAGAATAATGCTTCCATGACAACATGACATGACAACAATGATAGTGGCAAATTGTTGCACATTATTTCATTTCTACTTTGATCTTTAAAGAATAATGCTTCCATGACATCATGACATGATAACAATGGTAGTGGCAAATTGTTGCACATTATTTCATTTCTACTTTGATCTTTAAAGAATAATGCTTCCATGACAACATGACATGACAACAATGATAGTGGCAAATTGTTGCACATTATTTCATTTCTACTTTGATCTTTAAAGAATAATGCTTCCATGACATCATGACATGATAACAATGGTAGTGGCAAATTGTTGCACATTATTTTGTTTCTACTTTGATCTTTAAAAAATAATGCTTCCATGACAACATGACATGACAACAATGGTAGTGGCAAATTTCTACTTTGATCATTTAAAGAATAATGCTTCCTAAAAGGTAATGCTGATGTAGTTATTTTGGTTTATTTATATAAGGTCTTTCCAAATTAACTATCTGAATTCAAACTTTTTTCTTACAGATTTTAGAAGTGTTATTCAATTCCATACTGATAAGTCTTTCTACATTTTCTGAATAAAGGAAAAAAAGTCGCTGCGATCTTTATTAAAAATCAATTTTCTAACTAAATGATTGACCTGGAGGGACCTTATATAGAATAACTGCCTGGTTAAATATTTATCAAACCTTCCTTTCTTACAGCTTTTTAGTGTTTTTGATTTATTGCTAGATCAGTAAAACCACTGACCTCATTCATTAACAATTACATAGAACAGATAAAATATCAAACACAGGATTATTTGTCTGCCCCTGACCCATATGATTGCAAATTTGGCCACAAAACAGGCCTATATATAAGCCACCCTTTTGTATTGTATTGCATTATATGGCAGGCAGATTGTCGAAGTAAATATTGCAGATCTCAGTTTTGTTGTTTGAGGAATGTGTTCCATATACCAGTACTACAGTGTAAAGGCATTCATTCATTTCATATTCCTTCTAGATTAACTTTTAACTTTAATAAATAAAATAAAACCCATTCCTTTAAATTATATCTAACTTTACACCATAATAAATGCCTTTGCAAAATAGGAAGATTTTTACCTAGATGCCTGTAGTCTAATCAATCACAAATGACTGAATATAACATTGTACCAATCAGGGTACAGTTATCTAGTTTTGTATTTGATATACCATGAAGTTATCTGCAGCAAAAAATAAACCCTCTAATTGTAACATTTTGATAAAAGTTGAATAGAGTAATCATGGCTAGTTTTCCTCCTCATCGACTGTTGTTAGATTTGCAGGAGGGGCACCAGGGAGGTTGGCCAAGTCCTCACTCCTCTTCTGCTTGGCCATTTCAGCCTGAAAAAATACATTTTTGGTCACCCTATATTATAAGTGTAAAACATGTTAAAGAGTGGTACAAAAAGTAGAGATAAGTTGAGAATAAATTCCACAATTGCAACATTCCATCATGTCATGTCTATTTTTCAATAATTCTTCATGATAAAATGGTCAAGATTTTTATCGTTCATCTCAGTTTCTGCCAACTTGAGTGATGGTTGCGAATGAAACTGAATTCTGCAAGGGAAAAAAAGCCAATTCCATGTTACTTCAACTGGATTTACCTGCACTTTTACAATAAGTACATGAAGATGAAAATGAGAGATGTAGAACTAAAAATATTGTAAAAGTCATTTGTACTATTCAGCCATATAAAAATACAGTACACTGCAGTGTGATCACCGAATGTTGTCATAGTGTTCCTTTCACTTAAAATAACATACATACCTCTTTCATTGATTCCTCTTCAAGTCTGATCGTTTCAGCTTCTGCCTTCTTTATCTCTTCAATCTTAGCCTGTTTAGCATATTCTTCCTGTTCCTCAGTGAGTTTCACACTCTCTGCTGCCATCTATAGATAAACAGTATAGACAATACAATGTATGACAAATAACTTTGAGTAATGATTTTTTAGTTCTCAAAAATAAAAGTTATTTAATGCTTCAATAAATTAGAGGGAAAAGGTGCTGGCTGACTTTTAAAATGTTAAACATGAACTTATGAGAGTCAAAATAGTTGAAATATTATATGCAACGTGTTACATGAATATTGGCTAACTTGAATGTTGTTACCCTAGTTTCAAGCGTTTTTATGGCATAACTCATTTTTACAAAAGTGTGCACCCTTTCCCCATATGATACAATATGAGGGTACATAAGAGAGTAATCAAACAATTTGCTTTTATACAGTACTTTATAACATTTTACTAGTATTTTAGATATTCTGAGACAAAAAAGGATATATTTCATGCCAGTTACCAATACATTATTAGAGAAAATGATAAATGAAGCTTGAAAGTAAAAAATTAATTTGCCTTTTAAAAATTGAAGTAGTTTTTTTCGATTTGGAACTTGCCACACTCGTTATGTGTTCAAGTCTATTGATTGTATAATTAATTTACATGATATTGTTATGAATAAAAACATTTTAGGGTTATTTATAGGATGAGAATTACAGGTACATGTAATAGCCCCTTATTAAGGGGAGGCATCAAAAGTCCGATGTCAGATTGGAGACTAAATAAATCTAGTTTTGACTTTGAGCCCCCCTCCCCCAAAACTAAATACCATGAAAGTTGATCACTGACTTCTGGTTTGAGAATTTGGAATTTTTTTTCTAAAAATGATCTAGTTTTTGTTAATTCCTATCATAATTTGAACAACTATTGTAAGAATAGAATCCATTGGAATGATCTTGCTGAAGAAACTATCAGGTAAAATCTTTGTTTTTAAACCATTTCAAGGCATTCAGAATCAAAATTGCAAAAAAATGAAAAGTTGAAATTTGGCGGATAGCAAACTGTAAAGGCTTTGAACCCCCTTCCCCCCTAACTAAATTTGTTTAGTTTTCGATCTAACATAGAACTTTTGATGCCTCCTCTAAGTGACTAAAGGAGGAGGAGTTGTTTGTCAAATTTCCCATACAAATCCAATGGTACAGTTCCAAGCAGATTTTGAGATAACAGGAAACTAAATCTTTAATACACACCTTATTGGGTTGTTTTGGTTTATATAGCAACCCAAAAAGGTGTGTGTTAAAGATTTACTCTCCTGTTATCTCAAAATCTACTTGGAACTGTACCATTGGATTTTTATTGGAAATTCTTTAAAGAGAAAATTCTAGGGATTAAGGAATGCGTACAGTTTACACAATTTGAGAAATTATTGTCATTCATAAAACCCATGTAATATAGTTTTTTTATTATTCAAAAGCATTGATTTTCAATGATTCCCAGCCCTCTGAAGTTTGAAAATGAAAATACCTGTGTGTTAATCCATAGATAATCCTTGAAAATGAGAAATATTTTTTTGGGATTATATGGTGCAATCTTATATTCAATAAAATGTTTAAAGTGTATTGATGTTTTTTGGATGAAAAACATAAGCGAAATGCCTGAAAAAACTCCCCCGATTCATTTGACAAACAACTCACCCTCCTTTATATTCAATCCTGTGTTGTAAGAGCTTGAGTTCCATGGAAATACATGTGTGTGTAAAAGTGTATTTTCTTAAACTTTATGCATAGACTATTACCTGTTTTTTGTATTCCACATTCTCAATATACTTATAGAGCCAATTTGAAATGTATTCGATTGGGTCAAGGGGTCTTTTTTCTGCTACTTCAGCCAAACATTCTACAAGGCATGAACCTAAGTGACGCTGAAGGTAACGGGTATCCATCATTCACTGGCAGGAGATTGCACTCTGGAATACAATACATGTACTGAATAACACTACAGTTATCTCGGAAGATATTGGATAATTTCAGTATTCTGTTGTTGGATTGATCACCTGTAGTATTAATCTGAACAAACCTGTCTGGCTCAGTTATATACTCAATGTGTTGTAGGGGTCTAAAACCTCAGAAGTAGATAACTTGGCCAGAAAGATTTGGCTAGTATTAATCCCTATGTGGGATCAAACGATCTAAAAAATGAAGACATAATATACAGGTTGGGCCAAAAAATTTTGCAACCTTTTTAGAAGGCAAAAAAAGTATCATAACATTATGGTATTGACATGAAATTTTTTTTACAGAAACTTAAGGATAGGCATACTTTACCATTCAAATACTTAAGCTAATACTGACTTCAATTTTTTTTGTCAGATGTTTGAATATTAATGGTAAATTGTTCATTTGTCCGAGATTCACCATTTTTCCTAGAAAATCTGACTTTCTTTGATTTTATGTGATCAACAATAACACATTCATTATGTTTACTAAATCTGCTACAATCTTTGATAACTGTTTCACCAATGTCTAGTACAGGTTTATGTCAGTATCTAGTCACTATGATAATATTGTTACACTGTATGAATTATTTATTGAACAAATGTTCTATGCATCCGCCTTTCACCTTCACAATCACATGGAGACGAGAACTGAACTGGCCAATGGCGAGATTCAGCAGTTCTTGTGGTAGTCGTCTCCACTTATCCTGCAGAACTTCTTATAGTTGATCAATAATTTGTGGGGTATAACCATTAACTACAATACATTGCTCCAGGTGCCCCCATGTGTCATAGTCCCAGGGGTTGGCATCTGGTGTATTGGGTGGCCATTCGACTCAGGACTAATCTTCTTCAAAAGGGACATCTTTCAAGAATGGGGGCTCTTTCAGCCCCAAGTGATTACATATTCCAGCAGGATAGTGCTCCTGACCATAGGCCAAAAGTCACTATGGAATATCTGGAGCAAAATACCCCTTGATTCATTAGTCCTGATGAATAGCCGCCCAATACACCACTTAACAAAGATTGCAGCAGATTTAGTGAACATAATAAATGTTCTATCGATGATCACATAAAATTATAGAAAATCACATTTTCTAGGAAAATCGGTAAATCTCGGACACATGAACAATTTACCAGTAATATTCAAACATCTGACAAAAAAATTTGAAGTCAGTATAAGCTTAAGTATTTTAATGGTAAAATATGCCTATCCTTAAGTTTCTGTAAAAAAAATTTCATGTCAATACCATAATGTTATGTTACTTTTTTTGCCTTCTAAAAAGGTTGCAAAATTTTTTGGCCCACCCTGTAGATGAAAATTTCAATATACTTCTGAAAAGTTTAGCGATCCAGAAGATGTGAAATAGTACATTGATCACATGGGTTTTGGAATTTTTGGTGAGCTAATAAAACTGAGAAACTGAGAATGTGACGCCACTCCGGATGATGTCACATCAGAGATTACTGAGAAACCCCATGACGTTTCTTTAAGATCTTGTAGAAACAATAACAATGGTTTGTTAGACTACAAGATCCTTTACTTTCAATGGCTGTTTGTTACGATGTAACGTAATTTGAGAGACGAACAACATCGGACAATGCCTGAAATTACCGAAGCACTCCATATCTTTACGCTCTGAAAATTTGAAATAAATGTCCCGGGAAAATTCGATTAAAGGTTCAGCTGGAAAGTAACAATTTGGTAAAAAATTGCTATACCTACACATGTTATTTTCTGGTACAAAATTAAGTATGAAGGCATGTGCGTATTTCCTTGTTTTTTCAGGAAAGTATCATTTCACTGTCTACTTTTAGTAAACCTGGAAACGGGTCAATGGTAGCTCCTGTGTTGTCTGGAAACTTTGAAAGAAAATTTGGAAAAATAGAAAGTGTGAAATATCAGAATTTCCTGGAGTTCCCATTGAACTCCTACCAGATATTCTAAAAAAAACAATGTAATGAGGTGTCACTCCTGTAAATCGTTGAAAAATATTGAAAAAAATTACAAAATTCAAGTTCTGGGGTACATACCGCCATTTTCAAATGAATTAGCCCATACAATGACTATACTTCTGCGTTCCCAAATACATAACCTTCATCTTGACACTATATTTAAAATAGGGTTTGTGTCTCGATTTTTAAATATCACTAAGCCAACATAGGGACTCATTTTTTAAGTAAAATCCCTGCTTCACCGATGAAAATTAATGAATAAAGTAGTTCCAGTTTACGGGACTATATTCTTGCGATTTTATTCTAAAAATGGCACATTTAGAAAGTACTTGGCCTAAGCTTTACATACATACCTCAAATGGCCACAATACATAAACTTAAACCTACTATACACTAGTGTTGTCGCGATTAATCGATACATCGCGATATACATCGCCAAAGCTGGTTCTGGCGATGCATCGATGTCTGAAACAAAACATCGATGTTTTTAAAAAATTTTAATTTGCTAAAAATCGCCCTTTCTTATCTTATTTTGACGCAAATTGCTTACCTTTTTTCATGTCTTATTTCATTTTCAAATGTTTTCTGATATTCTTTCGCTTTAAAACTGTTTTAGCTAGTCGAAATGAACCATTAATCTAAAAAAATTACTTTACTTTCATTTCACCGTTACTATGTTCCCGGATGTACCAGCGTACTCTTATTAATTTGTTCTGTTAGATATTTTACTGCATTAGCGTTCGGTATTTCAGTGCACTTTTCTCGAACTTTTTCTCGATGTACATCGCGATGTGCATCGATGTTTACTACTGAAAATTGCCGATGCATCGATGTATGATTATGGCACATCGCGACAACACTACTATACACACCATTGAAGTTGGCATGGCTTCGTTTTTAAAGTATTAAAAAACACTGTCCTACCCGGAAGCACAGATCCGGAGCCAGATCCAGCCCCTGTTGGTAGTAGGCTCAAAGAATAAATGGAAAGATGAGACACGAGCCAAAAATGGCACATCAAAAAAATGACCACCCAAAAATATGACCCGCGTACTGACCTTTATTTTTTCCATCTGTCAGACATTGATTGATCAATATTTACCCTGTAATCTCTTCTTTATGTATTAGTTTGAATGGTTGCATGATATCCATTATTGACGCTGTAATTCGACTTTTCCCGGGACATTTATTTCAAATTTTCAGAGCGTAAAGATAATGGAGCACTTCGGTAATTTCCGGCAGTGTCAGATGTTGTTCGTCTCTCAAATTACGTCACATCGCAACAAACAGCCAATGAAAGTAAAGAATCGCGTAGCCTAATAAACCGTCGTTATTGTTTCTACGGGAGTTTAAAGAAACGTCATGGGACTTCTCGGTAATCTCTGATGTGACGTCATCCGGAGTGGCGTCACATTCTCAGAAAAGGCATTTGACTTCGGGAATAATCATTTGAACAACGGAGATAGCCGAAGTGCTCCATTAAATATACGCTCGCTTATTTTATGCTTTTATCAACAGACGCTTTCTTGGATGTTTGGCTTTAGTGATTGGAGTTGAAGGTAACAACAGTACGCATCGTTTGAGGTATGACATGTGATATTTATTGAAAAACTGACTCCAAAATCAAGGAAAAATAAATTTTCCGAAGATCTCGTGTCTTATCCTTGAGTATATTTATTGAGCCTAGACACAGAGGAGCTTTTCTGGCAGAGGTCCGTGCCCGGAAGTGGTAATTATCGGAGTAACACCCATGATGCTTTCCTGAAAAAAGCAAGGAAATTGACACATGCCTTCATACTTTATTTTGTACCAGAAAATAACATGTGCAGGTATACATATATACCAAAATTTATTTATCAGGTGTACCTTAAAGCGTCAATAATTGATATCATGCAACTTATCCCGTTCCCGGACTATAGTCCTGCACTGATCGCATTCATTTGCCTGTACGATTACAACTTGGGAGAATTATCTACGCCCCTTACACTTAAGATACCTACCTCAATGCATTATAGAACTCAAGATGTAACTTCTAATATATTGGAACCGCCGATTGTCTGGGTATATCGGCAGAACGGGAACATTTTCTCTTTTTCATCGAGAGAGATTCCATCACTTTTCAAAATGGCAGTTGGATTTAAAAGGGGAATCCCCCGTTTGGCTGTCCCGGATGTAGCCCGGAAGTACCAATATGGAGGAATTTGACGGTTGAAATAAGTTAAATGTTACACGCAAATATTACGATCAAAAACGAAAATGTCTTCGTTCTGCCGATAAACCCAGACAATTGTGGATTCAACTACACGAAAAGAATGCTAAATTACCAAGGAATCTATTCATGGGCTTTCAACTAGAAGGGTATGCAACTCTATGTAATAACATGAGACCTTCAAAATGAGCAATGACATGCTTCCCTTTTATGGCAATATTTCAAAAAGTATTAGATAAATGTATATGTTTTAGTATTAATTTGAATACAAATCCATTTTTAATATGATTTAAGCATAAAATGTATTCAATATCATATAAAAGTAAACAAAAGAGACCAATAAGAATAAGAGTTATCAAGATGTTCTCTTTGAGTATTGCATTGTGGGTAATTATTCAAGAACACATTCCAATAAAAACATAATTTGTGGGAGAATGTTTACTTTCTGTATTATCATAATTATGATGAATTCCAATTTTTATTAAATTATCAAGATGTATGTAGAAGATCATGTTTTTATTTTTGAGTTATTTCTTTTAATCATCAATAAAAAGTACAAAATAAGATTTTCTTGGAATGTGTACATTCTCCAATTTTGAAAACCCATGGCAATGTTTATGTATGAAATATGGGAAGTTGCCTACCCTTCTAGTTGAAAGCCCATGATCTATTGAAGTAGGTATCTGAAGTGTAAGATCAGTAAAAAATTCTCCCATGTTGTAATCGCACAGGCAAAAGATTGAGATGTTCACAGGACCATAGTCCGGGAACGGGATAACATGCAACCATTCAAACGAAGAAGAGATTAGTCTAGGAAAAGATAAAGGTCAGTACGAGCGTCATATTTTTGGGTTGTCATTTTGGATGTACAATTTTTACCATCTTCCAATTTATTCTTTGAGCCTACTACCAATAGGGACTGGATCTGGCTCCGGATATGTGGGCTAAATAATTTACGAATTCAATTTCAATTGGGCGATAATAGAGTAAACTTCTTCTTGGTTGCAATATCCAACAGTTTGTGACTATTTCAGATCTTTTTGGACCTACGTATATGTAAATCTATTATTCCGACATACCATCAACATTGTGTATTTGAAAGTTTTTACCTGTAAGCACCTATTACGCCAGAAAAAGTGTAAATCACTCGAATATTTTTTGTTGCTAGGAATTTTGTGTCTCGAACCCAGTTTATATTTATCTTATTATTTAGTAAATATATCAGTTATTTCACTAAACTAAACATACAATTACAAATGATAATTATTATTGTATTGAAAACTTAAAAACAAGTTTGATTTTACGTTGTAATATTCTATTTTTATTGATAATGTTTTATTGACCCACATAACCTTTCACTTTCGATTTAAATTTTGAAAAACATTTCAGACATGCCAAAAGATCTACAAGGATTGTACAAATATAGCCTTTTAACTAGTCTGTGCATATAAGAAGAACGATACGATGCATGAGCTGTACATACCTCATCAGAAAACAAAGTTATGAAGAAGTGAACATCGCAAAAAGTCAGAAAAGACGAGTGAAATTGAAATTTTAGGGAAACATCACTTTTAACATGGGCATTAGAAAAACCAAACTCCAAAGCATAAATTACAGTCACACACACTGCTGAAACTCAGCCAAACTTGGTAACGTTGATTCCATGAATTGTGAGCTAGCCTTCAACAAAATCTAATTTTCACACTGTCAATCGCAGTTTGATTTGTACATATTCATACATAAGAAGCTAACAATATTAGCTCTATGGAATAAAGTTGCCATCACAAGTGCATACTGACTGCGATATTTTTGCAATTGAATAAATTTGATGCATGGGTATTAGCTGCCCGAACCATAAGAATAACCTGCATGTACCATGGATGTAAAATCAGAAATCCGTAGAAAAGTCAGAGAGGCATTTACAACCTTATCGTCAACCACAGATAACAATGATGTGATGTTAGCTCTAAGAGAAATATCATCCCTTTTACCATTAATGACCTCACCATGCTTGATACAAAATATTCCGAGATCGGACATTCCACATGCGAAACAGGAATTCATTGAACAGCATTACCCAAGATTCATAGAGTTCCTACTGGAGCAATTATCAGTGGATTGGGTGAGCAGGTTCCCAAAAGATACAATAAGTGGCGTGTTTGATGTGTTTTATTTGAAAGGTGATCACCAGGAGGCGTTTATTGTGCTGTGTAATACCATTAGCAATTGCAGGTAAATTGAATGAGGCATTCAAAGTTACATATATAAATGTGTAAACATTTGTTACAGGCCAATGAATACCAGTCACAAAAATGCTGGATATACAGTAAAACCTGTCCGATGGAATACCTCTCTGTAGGTAAAACCTATATGAACAAGGAAGCCTTTTCAAAAGAACCGAATATTTTTCCATTGACTTACATGTTAACGGACCCTCTCTGCAGGGAAAACCTGTGAACAGGGAACAAGGAACACTTTTTGGGGCAAATTATGAAAATTCACCTGTGAACGAGGAATATGGAATATTGGTGACACTGTATATTCTATCATTTTTCAGAGGTGTGAAAGTCTTAAGCCAATATCTGATTCTAAAAAGGTTAGATTATATGATTGAGATTAAGATAAGCCAATTGTTTACAAGATGTAGCATCCCACCCACTGTTAATTAACCTGATATATTTAAAACTAATACTAATCTGTTTGTTACTTATTATCATGACACTAATTCTTCCTTTAATTACTTCTCATCAGCTGTGATAATCTAGGGACTGACACAATTGTTTCATGGAGATGACAGAAGTCCATGTGTCATGTTGAGCCAAATCTCTTTCAATCTTTTACTGATCCAAAATTCCAAGTATGGAGTTGGCATTGGTACAATCATGGACGATGATATACGTCCATGGTACAATCAATCAATACCCATACAAATATGCTTATTCGGCAAGTTTGAGTTTGCTGAAAGTGCGGCCCCTCTCTATAGGGAAAACCTCTGAACATGGAAACTTTCCTTCAGTCCCAAGAGCATTCCCTGTTCGCAGGTTTTACTGTATACAATATTTATGAAATCTGGAAAAAAGGCTTTGAAAAAGTCAAATAGATCGCTCTCATATCAAAGAATTTTACATTGTGCCAAGAAAGATCATTAATATTTTGATGAAATTTGTGTAGATATTGCGATCATATCTGCCTTGTTAATTTTTGCATGCTTCATGATAACATGCATGCGGGAAGTGGCAAAATGCAAATCCCTTTTGATGCGAGCGCTATATCTTTTGACAGTACAAAATATTTTTTTAAACTGGAAATAGCCTGCTACTATACTTTTTAGTTGATTTACTTGTTCATTGCATTTATTGTACAGATTTTTGGAAGCTGTTAGTTGTCTTAATTTTTTAGTTTACAATGTTTAGTTTACAATTGTAATCATCGTGTTTCAAGAGAAACTGCCCATATTGTAATTGTATGGCTTTTGCATTTATAGTTTACAATGGCATATACAAATACAGATAATTTATTCATGATTTCACTGTTTCTGATTTCAGTCCCAGTTATAAACTGAATAAATGTGTGTCACTCTTGGAGCAGTTTATAAGTGGTGAGAATCTCATAGACATGATGTGGCAGCAATGTGATGGTGCTAAGGGGCCTGCAGACCCCTACAGATATTCACAATGGGAAGAACTTGTGACGCTCATGGCAACACTTCCAGAGAGAATTACAAATAAATTGAAAAATGAGACAAAGTAAGTTCTTTTATTGAAATGATTCATTTGTAAGGTTTCGTTACTTCAGTTTGAGATAAATCGTATTCTTCCGTTGATAACCAACATTTTTGTGCAAAACAACCCCTATAAACCATAATAAATGAAAGAGCAACATTAAAATGGTATTCATTTAAAAAGATAACCATGAATACTGAATCACCATAGGGATAGGCTGGCACAAAGATGGCAGTACTGGATTGTCTAGACACTTAATCACTAATTGTCTCACACTTCAGGGTTTTAATATAATTTTAAAAATAATACAAAGAAACATGAAACTAGAGGCTGCCTTTGACTCTTGGTTGAGTGACTTTTGGACATCACTGCATATAAAACTTGACGGGGATGCTCAGCGCACATGGGGTACCCTTTATGACATTTGGTATGGCGAAAATATGTGGAAAATATGTTACCTCACATTTGTAACATGTCATTGATCTAATTTGAGGTTGTTTTGGAACATTTTCCTCAAAGATCGCCTTCTTTGGACCTTCTTCAGTTTAAATATTAGCTTTTTTCCTGGGAAATATTCTACTTTGGACCAGTCATAGCATTGGTATGGCACTGGTCCTACATGTATATTTAGATATTTGACATGGGTTTTGGGCATAATATTTGTTGGTAGATGGGAATACATCCAAAGCTGACATATTGGTTTGGAATACATTGATATCTGAGAGTTCAGTCTAGGACCCACATCAAATTTTGTACACAGTGAACCCCTCAAGGTACATGTACTTCTTTCTCTTGCAGTGAGATGTTCTTTCCCCAGCATTATGTACCTCACTTGACTAATCAGATTATGACAGTTCTACAGCAAGTGTATAACAGTATCAAAGTAGACCATGATTGTTCCATGGAGTTCCTCAGCCTCCTCCTGGGCAAACTGGGTCTTCATGGTCACGCAGGTATGATACATTATTACAGGTTCTACAGGCATTATTACAGGTCACACAGGTATAACATCTTATAACTGGCTTTACATGTTCACACACATGGTTGAACCAGGTTTTGCTAAGGGGGTTCATTTTTCAAAAAAATTCCAGGGGATTTCATATTTGACATCTTAGGCTCAAAATCACCTAAGAAGTGCTCTGAATGGTGAAAAGCTTCATGAATTACCTTATCCAGTTCCAGGCTCCTAAGTGTTGCCTCATTTTGGAGAAAATCGCTTTTAGTTATTCATTTTTTGACAATTTACATTTAGTCTACAATTTCATGTGCTTTTCTCTTGATCCCTTGATATTATGCATATAATATTTCCAAATCAGGTATACATGTTGCAAATAATGTTGTGAAGTATGAGTTTCAGCTTGCCAGGTTTTACTGCGGCACTCAATAAATGCAAAAAGTTTGACTTGATTAACTGATGATATAATAATAATGATGACTTATTTCTATAGCTACTAGTTCTGCTGATCATGTTATGTTATCAATTTGTATTACAGAAATATGGGTTATACATGTATATCCTTGGGCATCAGAAAGTGGGTGCATAAGGTGTGAATGCAGCCCTCTCTGAAATTGCCCAGATTTTTTTTAAAAAAGCCCAGATGGGCTTAAGAGTTTCTAGTAAGTAGTGAAACTGCGCAGAAGATTTAAACTCCCATTAGGCAACAACTAACTATTGCGTCCAGTTTCCGATCATTAGTTTACTAGAAAAAATTTATGATAAATATAAATGATCTTTTTATCAGGAAAAACTGTTTATAACCCTTACAAAAGCTCTGATTGCACCAAATAACACCATTAACCAAAATGCTCCCCTGGGGATCATGCCCCCACATTTGATGTGCCGCATATTTTTTCTGAAAAATGAACCCCTTCTTCTAATTTGGTCTGAAGCCCCCTTATAATTGTTACTTTTTGACGCAACCTTAGTATCTTTTTAACATTGATGTTTCAAAACACATCGTGCTCCTTCCTGTGCTTCAAAACTTCAATATTATAAAAGTACTAAGGTTGTGTCAAAAAGTAAGATTTGTGGATATAAACAGTAATACCAACCTGAAGAATGATATATTTGTAATTTGACCTGTTTTTGCTGCTTTACTTATTTTTGAAAATAACTGAAAAATAATCTTGAAAAATGATTAAAGTTAAAAGTTCTGACAAATGTAATCATGCTATGAAACTATATGTCAATAAAAGTTATAATAAAAAAAGAGATTTAAAAAAGTATACCTTCATTCAAATGAAGAAAATTAGAGTAAATTTTCAACATGTGAGCCCATATGCATTGTGCCATTTTTGTTTTTTTCACTTACTAGTTTTCCACTCTTGCATGTGTTAGAGACAATATATATAACAAGATACATATTCATTATTTCCAGACATAGTTTGGACAGTCATGATGCCAACAATATATAAGTTGACTTCTCATGACTTTGTTTGGTGCCGAGTGTGTGAAAAGCTTGTGACTGGAGTCCCTGATAGATGCAAGGAGAGTATCGTAACTTCACTGCTTAAGACTGCACCATGGTAAGTACATTTTCATTTTCCATATTGGCTGTATAATATATTGAGGTGGTCTGTATCGGCTGTACAATATACTGAGTTGGTCCATATTGGCTGTAAAATATATTGAGTTGGTCCCTATTGGCTGTACCATATATTGAGTTGGTCCCTATCGGCTGTACAATTTGTCAGTTCTGTATTGGCTGTACAATATATTGAATTGGTCTGTATTGGCTGTACAATTTTTTTATATTGAGTTGATATGTATTGGCTGTACAATATACTGAGTTGAGGTGTCTAGGCTGTTCAGAACATTGAGTTCGTCCCTATTGGTTGTATAATTTATCAGTTTTTCTGTATTGACTGTACAATTCATTGAATTGGGTTGGTCTGTATTGACTTTATTGAGTTGGTCTGTATTGACTTTACTGTACACTGAGTTGGTCCGTATTAACTGTACAGTATATTGAGTTGGTCTGTTTTGACTTTATTGGATACTGAGTTGGTCTGTATTAACTGTACACAGTATATTGAGCTGGTCTGTATTGACTTAACCCTGCTATCACACCAAACTAGTTCTCACTACGGTTTCGAAAACGGGCTTCAACTGTGTACGACAACTGGACCTACTAAAAACCGTTTGGGATCTATTTACAAACTTCATCGAACGTACTCGAACGGGTAGGTCCTCTAGAACTTAGACAATGCTCAAAATGTTCTCGTGGTCGTCACGTTCTACAATTAGAACGAATGACAACGTACTAATGACGAGCTGGACGTACTACGAACGACACCGTCGTACTTCAATCCTACTAGGAACGTTTTAACAACGAGTTGAACTGTCTGAGCACATGTTGAGAACGAGGTAGAACTAATTGCAAACGGGTTTAACCTGATTAAGAACGTATTTAACACTGCTTATGAACGAGTTAGCAAAAATAAAACTATCACACCAAACAAGTTGCCACTGCGTTCTTCAAAACTGGTTTTCAACTGTGTGCGAACGGAATGAACGTAGCTGCACCTTTTTAAGGTCTATTTACGAACTTTATGAACGTTCTCAGACGGGAATGTGATTTTAGAATTTTGAATCGATTCAAAATTCGATGGCGACCATACCGTTCTGTAATCAGGACATGTTGACCTTCTAGACTAAGGGACGTGTTCTACGACGTTGCACACCGACGTGGTGCGACCTGAACGAACTGCGAACGAGATGGACGTATTGAAGACTGTTTAAGAACGAAGGAGCTAATTATTTCAGACATATTTCCCGACCACAGCCAGATTGAGCCCGTTTTACGACGTTTTCGTAGGACTGGCAAGAACGGGTAAGAACTAGTTTGGTGTGATAGGGGGGTTACTGTATACTGAATTGGTCCGTATTAACTCTACTGTATATTGAACTGGTCTGTATTGACTTTACTGTATACTGAGTTGGTCCGTATTAACTGTACAGTATATGAGTTGGTCTGTATTGACTTTACTTTATACTGAGTTGGTCCCTATTAACTGTACAGTATATTGAGTTGGTCTGTATTGACTTTACTGTATACTGAGTTGGTCCCTATTAACTGTACAGTATATGAGTTGGTCTGTATTGACTTTACTGTATACTGAGTTGGTCCCTATTAACTGTACAGTATATTGAGTTGGTCTGTATTGACTTTACTATATACTGAGTTGGTCCCTATTAACTGTACAGTATATTGAGTTGGTCTGTATTGACTTTACTGTATACTGAATTGGTCCCTATTAACTGTACAGTATATTGAGTTGGTCTGTTTTGACTTTACTGTATACTGAGTTGTTCCCTATTAACTGTACAGTATATGAGTTGGTCTGTATTGACTTTACTGTATACTGAGTTGGTCCCTATTAACTGTACAGTATATTGAGTTGGTATGTATTGACTTTACTGTATACTGAGTTGGTCCCTATTAACTGTACAGTATATTGAGTTGATCTGTATTGACTTTACTGTATACTGAGTTGGTCCCTATTAACTGTACAGTATATGAGTTGGTCTGTATTGACTTTACTGTATACTGAGTTGGTCCCTATTAACTGTACAGTATATTGAGTTGGTATGTATTGACTTTACTGTATACTGAGTTGGTCCCTATTAACTGTACAGTATATTGAGTTGGTCTGTATTGACTTTACTGTATACTGAGTTGGTACGTCCGTATTAACTGTACAGTATATTGAGTTGGTCTGTATTGACTTTACTGTATACTGAGTTGGTCCGTATTAACTGTACAGTATATGAGTTGGTATGTATTGACTTTACTGTATACTGAGTTGGTCCCTATTAACTGTACAGTATATTGAGTTGGTCTGTATTGACTTTACTGTATACTGAGTTGGTCCGTATTAACTGTACAGTATATTGAGTTGGTCTGTATTGACTTTACTGTATACTGAGTTGGTCCCTATTAACTGTACAGTATATTGAGTTGGTCTGTATTGACTTTACTGTATACCGAGTTGGTCTGTATTAACTGTACAGTATATGAGTTGGTCTGTATTGACTTTACTGTATACTGAGTTGGTCCCTATTAACTGTACAGTATATTGAGTTGGTATGTATTGACTTTACTGTATACTGAGTTGGTCCCTATTAACTGTACAGTATATTGAGTTGGTCTGTATTGACTTTACTGTATACTGAGTTGGTACGTCCGTATTAACTGTACAGTATATTGAGTTGGTCTGTATTGACTTTACTGTATACTGAGTTGGTCCGTATTAACTGTACAGTATATGAGTTGGTATGTATTGACTTTACTGTATACTGAGTTGGTCCCTATTAACTGTACAGTATATTGAGTTGGTCTGTATTGACTTTACTGTATACTGAGTTGGTCCCTATTATCTGTACAGTATATTGAGTTGGTCTGTTTTGACTTTACTGTATACTGAGTTGGTTAGTATTAACTGTACAGTATATGAGTTGGTCTGTACTGACTTTACTGTATACTGAGTTGGTCCCTATTAACCGTACGGTATATTGAGGTGGTCTGTATTGACTTTACTGTATACTGAGTTGGTCCCTATTAACTGTACAGTATATTGAGTTGGTCTGTATTGACTTTACTGTATACTGAGTTGGTCCGTATTAATGAGTTGGTCTGTATTGACTTTACTGTATACTGAGTTGGTCCCTATTAACTGTACAGTATATTGAGTTGGCCTGTATTGACATCTTTGACATTTTTGTGTCTGCAAGTTTTACTTTGACTTGAGAAGCCTTCATTGAGCAAGATGTGAATCCCATCTATTTTATTCATTTTACATAGATTAGCTTCCTGAACTTTTCAGGTATGGTGTGATAAACAAGTTGCTTGGCGATACAGTATTAACCAATCAGAAGTTGTTATTTCTGTTGACCAATAAGCTCCTACTTGTTCGGGCATTTAAACAGGTACTGTATGGTAACATTTTTGTTTTTTTGGTTAAATGTTAATATCTTTCTTGTCTTGTCCAGTTATGGCCCCCTACACGTATCTTTTCCCTGGTCTCGTGTTAGAAAATTGGAAATCAACACAGGGGCTTAATGCTAAGCTTAAGGAAATTTAACTATTGATCTCAAACTCTCAATCTTTGTACCAATAAAATATTAATATTTCAATTTTGTCTGTTTTCTAAGCACTTGTTTTTATTAAAGATTGCATCATTCATACACCTGCATATGTAGCTTAACTTAAAAATTTTAAAATTCATATGACTGTTTAATTCAAAAAATAACACAATCAAATTCCTTTTAGTAAATCCCCTATTCCTCAATCACAGAATCTCTCTTTTAAACTTAACTCAAATACGAAATGTCAAAAAACATTGCACATGCATGTATAGTTCTTGAAGCCATGTAAATATGTACATTATTTTACAAGTAAAGTAAGTATTTGTATATTGTTGATAAAGTAATTGTTAATGATTGTTTTGAGCTAGTTTCAGAAAATCTTTAATGCAAAGGCTTTGTATCCAAAATTTGCAAAATGAAGCATGCTAACAATTGCATTGGTAATTTTCAATCTCAAATGCATGTCCAGGGAATCATCATGTTGAACGTGTTTCACAAAGTGATACAATATAAAGAACAATGAATATGGTAAAATACAGATCAGAAATCCCAGAGCAAGTTTGTACAGTTTCACTGTTCCCTTTGAAGCAACTTGACATGCATCTTTACTACACTTCACCCTGTGGCAGATTAATACTGTTCCTGTCACGACAGCGGGTATGAGGCCAGCGAAAATCACTTCAAATATTGGCACATATGTCAAATGTAGGTTCAAATACTCTGGTTTTGATGCGTGGCAAAATTTGGCACCATCAGATTGAAATTTGACCACATCTAATGTACTCATCATATGACTGTTAAAGATTGCAGCAAGTAATCCTAGAAGCCAAATATGCTTAATTCTATAAGGTGTTAATCCCTCCATGCATATAATCACAGTTAACCAGACAGACACTAGCTCTGTTGTCTTAGTGCCTATACTGAAAGCTACACATGTGAGTTTATTAATTGATGAAATATCTATGTTTCCTGGGGATAGGTACCATATAGTTTTCTGTAAGATTGCTGTCCATATATACAAAGTGTCCAATATAAGGTTAGCACCAATTCTATTCCCACTTCGTGCTTTAGGATTAGTTTTTCGAAATATTTCCAAAATTTTTGAAGAATTTCCAAGAGTGCCGATAATAATGATAAATATTGGGAGAAAGTGCCAAATCTTTAATGCAATGTAGAAACGCCATGTGTTGGCATACAATTTGTAGCTCAAGTTTGTTCCATATATCTTCAATTTTGTTTCATTGTCTAACTCTGGAAATGTCATCCTCAGTTGTTATTGGTGGCCCAGATTGTATGATAAAGAGCTTCACTTTTGTTTATCTGAAAATTCACAAAGGTACAGTAAGTACAGTATAAAACATTCCTGTAACCATGGGCTCTACCACCAAGCTGAGGCCACCATTTAACACGGCGCCAATGGCTCGTTGCATACCCATCTGATAGAGCCCATGCTGTAACTAGCCGAATAGGGGATTGGAAGTTTTCCCCTGGGGGCATGCCTTTGTGTGGATCCCAACTCACTCAGCATGTGGTCTTCATTGTTTTGGGCCTGACAGCTATGAAGAAATCAGCTCCCCCTACCAAATCCTTGCTTAGGGCATATTAGTATGCACTACATTAATGATGTATTAAGACTCATAGTTTAAATTTGATTATGTATATTAAAATAAAAATAACTTTTTAGCAGGTTTAACTCATTTGTGAAATTAAAAAGTGATGAACTTTGTACAATTGTGTCTCACACATGTACATGCAGTACAATTAATACTTACAGCAATCTATGTATGATACAGCTGTACATGTATCTCCTTTCCCCAGATTCCTCTGTTCTTTTAATTTAAATTTAATTTGAACCTGAGCACTACTGTATTTCAAGAATCAGTTAATTGCAATCTTAATTCTTAATCTCCCTCCTATATATTCCTCTTTGTAACGTTCCATGTATTCATTCTGGCAAATGTGTTTAGTTTACCTTGGAGTATTAAGTGCTATATAAATAATTGATTGACAAAGTACTGATTTATACACAGCTTGCATTCAACTCACTCCAAGAGACCTCATCTAATTCCAAAGTTTGTCTGATGGATATATGCAGTACCATGCAAAAAATCATCCATGCTGTTTTTAATATTTACTGCATGGGTGTTAGCCAGCTTTCATTCAGGGGGGATGTGATCTCCAATTTTTGGGTTTTCTGTTTGGATGTGTGATCATTTTGGCTGAGCAAAAAAAATTCTAAGATTTGTTATGAATTTTACAAAAATTGATGTTATAAACTTACTTCAAATTGAGCTAGAAACTTCAAGTAAAAGGCATTTTAAACGGCCTCTTTTCTTCTATCCAATGGTTTTTATTTTTATTGGTTAGGGGGGGGGGGGTGCATCCCATCGCACCCTCCTGGCTATACCCATGTAATGCCTCTCCATTTTGACTTAATTTGGATTATGCTTCCAGTTATAGATATAAATTGGGTTATATTCACATTTACATACAGCTGAATAACATAGACCTTTAAAACACAAATTAACGTGGTCAGCGGATTACTTTTGGTTTTAACTGTGTCCTACATCAGTGACATCCATCTGTGGAGGTATTAGAGTGCTGGAGTACTTCTTTGTCGATCAAGACTTATAAATTGTTCGTTGAGTGAATATTTTTTCTTTCAAATCCAATATAGCGATTTTTGCTTGATAATTTATGAAAATCTCCCGAGGTTTTCCAAATGATATTCCTGGTCATCTAACTTCCGGAAATCATTCGAAAAACCTCCGGAGTTTCTAAGTAAATGCAATACATCAATGTAATACAGCAATACAATAAACAATACAATACAGCAATACAATATAGCAATACAATAAACAATACAATACAGCAACACAATACAGCAATACAATGAATCAAACAGTGTTACTGTAGTTTGTCACAGATTAGAGTTAATTTGCACATCTTAAAATAAAAAAGATATTAAATTGAAGAAAAATTAAATTTACCAATTGATCATTGTATTCCAGGAACAATTGCTAAAAAATATAATTGGTTACCTGGCAACCTCGTCGTCAAGGAGACACATCTATGTTAAGGTGAGCATGCCATTTGTGAAATTTTGTTTTGGCTTTTTCTGTCAAAAGATATAGCTTTATCATCAAGATCATCAACATTACGAATACAGGAATTGGAACTATTGAATTATTATCAGACATTAATGTCATGATAGAAAAATATAACAGTGCAACTTTCAACCATTCAGTACTCCGGGTTTCTTCATATAATTTGATCACATATGTTGAGAAGAATAGCCCTGACTGTTCAAAAAATGGCATTTAAATTTGTTTGACTAATTCTTTTTGCTTAAGATACTTGATTTTCTGCATGTGTTTCAGACCATGATGACACTGCTTGATGTATGGGGTGACTCCAGTGCACTAAAACATACATCGTATGATCAACATCTTTACATCTCCCAGGCTATTATGGTGTGCCTTGCTTTTGTAAGCACTAAAGAAAAACTAGAAAACAAACAAGGTATGGTTTACAGAAAAAATTAAAGCAATCAAAAAATGTATCGAAACATGGCATAACAGAATGCATTAAAATATTGATAGGGAAATCTCCCATTTAAGTGTTAATTATTCCAAAGTAAGGTCATATCGCAAAACGGAAAATTTTACCAATCATATTACGAAATATAGTACGTACATTATCAAATAGCGAGTATTAAAACTGTAATTCATTTTGCGCTAAAATAGTCATCATTCCATTGGTGGGGTTCATTCCCAACTTGGGGTTTGTTGATCTTTCAAAAATGGGGTTGTACCCAGCCAGGGGTTCATTTTATGACAAAAGGGGGTTCGAGATGAAGAAAGGGTTTGCACAAGCCCAACGAACCCCCTCTTGCTACACCCATGTTTCTAGAGTTTGAAATGTAGACAATATCTTTGAAATAGCTCCAAAGATAAAAGTTTGGGGATCCATATTGGGTGATTTTGGCATGTTTCAATGTTTTGAGCATGTTTTTTAAAATTAAAATCTACCATTAAAGATAGACCAGTGAAACTGATATAAAATTAAAGAACTTTGAACAAGGTCCAATTGTGCCAAATATGATCCTAAATCCAAGCTGAATGACAAAGTTATGAAGATTTGTTTGGGTTGCGTTTTTTTGGCTCACCCTGTGAACATTATTTCTGAATTTTTCTAGATTTACTGGAAAAATTAGATTATTTCTGAATTATTCCAGAGTTACAAGACAAGTTACATCATTTTTGAATTATTCTGGAGTTACTAGACAAGTTACATCATTTTTGAATTATTCCAGAGTTACTAGACAAGTTACATTATTTCTAATTTTTTTCCAGAGTTACTAGGCAAGCTAATGCCAGGAATGCAATGTCACCTGGATTCGGGGGAGCATAGCGTGAGGACAATAGGAATGGTAGTTGGAGAATCACTTACTAACTGCATAGACCCGGGAGGTCACAAGCTAGAGTTCCAGGTACAGTACATATATGATCAACATTTATTTGATCAGGGATTATCATACATGTACTTATGTTTAAGTAGTAAAAGAATATAGAAAAATTTATTTTATTTCTAAAATTTACATTCAACATGTCTTTATTCCTTGTACTTCATGAAACAAACAAACTCTTATTCATCCTAGCTGTGATTTTTAGATGTACACTAAAATCCAGGCCCGTAGCCAGGATTCGCCAAGGGGGGGTTCAGTTTTCAAAAGTTTCCAGGGGGGTTCACATTTGACAATTTTGGCCCAAATATGGCTAAAATCACCTGAGAAGTGCTCATAATGGTGAAAAACTGCATGATTTTGAAAAAATTTTGGCCAGGGGGGGGGAGGTTCCTGCGAACCCCCCTGGCTACGGGCCTGAAAATCTGTCTAATACAAACACCTCTTGGACCAGCCAAAAATGTTTGGATTAGCAGGTGTTCACATTTCAAGGTTTTACAGGCATGAAAGTTGATGGAAGATTATAAATTTGAAAACAAGAAAAAGTGTTCAAACAGATATGTGTTCAGACGAGAGAGATGTTCAATATACAGGTTTCACTGTAGCAGTTCACCCGTGCCATCAGTAGCATACAATAATACATTCAGAGAATGAGGTGTTTGTTATGGTGAAGTCTTTAAACCTGTGGAAGTTGTATTCAAGATTTGTTTACTCTGGTGAAATTTCAACATGTCATATTCAAGAAGTGTTTGTTCTTGTAAAGTCTTTAAAGTGTTGTTTTGGTGAAGTTTTTTAACCTATGCATGTCTATTTAAGAGGCGTTTGTTCTGCTAAAGTTTTTAAATCTGCGCATGTCATTAGAAAGCCACCCTTGGTTGTTCCATAGAGCCAAGCCCATGGTGGAACCTTGTTATATTTAGAGCTATAATGGGAGAAATGGGGAAATACTCATGATAAAGGTGTCATTATGATGATTGTTCCATCGATTGCTTGGATCGTCAGAGACCAAAAGTTATGTTTCAAAGATTGCATATCATGTGATCAATAGCATATCAATTACAATGTCTAGATAAGTCACATTATATTTACACTGTGAATAAGAAAAGCTCTGATGGCTTAGAGGGAGAATACATACCTGCAACTCTGCTGGTCATGGTTCGAATATTGCTTTACATGTTTTATTTATATGTTTTGACTAATTGGTGTGCTTTGATAATATGCCGAAAAACACTTTATAACTATGGCAATTATATAATGAAGCCTCAATAATCTTGTCTCTTGTTTAAAAATGTAAAAAAATATGTGTCCAAATATTTTGTTTTATTGAGAGGGGTATTTAATTGAGTTAAAACCTAACCTAGATTATTCAATAAGTTAATGCAATCGATGCATGCAGTTTTCTATTTCTCAAATTAATGTGTTGAATTTTTGTCATCAAGTTGTAGCAAAACAATCCTTCAAAATCCTCTGTATAATAATGATAATAGCTGACAATAGTAGTGAACAGTTTTCAAAACACCCCCTTCCCTTGGGTACAGGCTTCAGAGGTGGTCCTTATGTCTATTAGAATAGTTCAAGCTCGCAAATTTTGAAACTGCTTGTCTGTTGATCTTCAATCACTTCAAGTTTCACGACTGAGAAACTTCCCTTTGTTTTGTCCAGAGAACAGTTCTGCTCTGTTACTGTGAGACCAGGTGAAAACATGGCTGTTTTGTTACGATTGTATGACTCACAGAACACGATACCATCCATGTGAGATCCAGTTCCCATCTTAGATGTGTTTGTCCCCAATGTTATGTCAAAGTTGTAAAATTGATGCCCTATAAAGAAACAAAAATCTTTTATTTTAATAATAGTATTACTCAAATTATACACAACCTTAATAGCTGCATATACCTTAGCTGTGTTGTGGTGAGAAATGGTCATTACAAGTTCTCACTACAAGAAACCAACTAGACAGCAATGAATCATCATAAAAAGCATCATATCGACATGGTTTGAATTGATGCAAACTGATTGCTCCAGAGAGATAATATGTCCAGGGAAACCCAACACTTCTACTGTATGTCTTTTCATGTACATGAAAATAACCACTAAGTCAGATCATGTTGCCATGGTAACCACACCACAATTTAGATCATGAGATATTTGTTCGTAAATACTGTGCACCAGTTACCATAGTCAGATTCTGTTGCCATGGTAACTGTATCAGAATCGTGATCATGAGAGACATGTTCGAAATAATACCCATCACCTATCACAGTCATATCCTTTTGCCGTGGCAACCATATTACAATCTGGATCATGAGAGATTTATATTTTGCAAATATACATACTAATCATTACTCAACATATTCATTTTCTGTTGATATGGCAACCTTATCACCATCTGGATTATGAGAGTTACAGTATGTGGGAAATACTTTTCACTAGTAACCATGACAGCCATATTACAATTTTGATTATGAGGAATAAGTGGGAAATACCTCTCACCAGTTACCATGACAGCCATAATTGCAATTTTGATATTAAGATATATGTGAGAAATACCTCTCACCAGTTACCATGACAGCCATATTGCAATTTTGATTATGAGGAATATGTGGGAAATACAGGTACCACTCACCAGTTACCCTGATTTTAGATATGCTCTGGGTCTTGGCAAGTGTAATCTTGTACCATGGCCTGGCCTCAAAACCTGTCTGTGCACAGGTAAAAGGGTCACCATCGATGGCTAACTTTGGTTGCTGTCCATGATACACTGTGCTTGAGTGGATGTCTATTTTTCCTGTTTGAAACAACACAATTTGATTAAATGAATGCTCATCAGTGGATTGAATTGATAGTTCTTTGAGATGCTTCAGCTTTAATATCATGTATTCATTTTAGGATTTCAGCTTTTAAAAGTACATCATGCTTAGATTAAAAGGATATTTGCAGTGTGCTCATACAGTATTTGATCATTTTATAATTGCATGTACATGTACATACATCATCATTTTATAATTACATGAACATGTACATTCATCATCATTTTATAATTACATGTACATGCATCATCATTAATTTAATAATTACATGTACATGTACATACATCATCATTTTACAACTATATGTACATGCATCATCATTTTATTATTACGTAAACATGTACATGCATCATCATTTTATAATTAGATGTAAATGTATATGTACATGCATCATCATTTTTATAATTACATATACATGCATCATCATTTTATAATTACATAAACATGTACATGCATCATCATTTTCTAATTACATGTACATGCATCATCATTTTGTTTGACATTGTCATATCAGTAATGGTCTGTTTTTAATAATACTTGCATTACTTTATAACTATTATATAATATAGTGACATAAAATTTCTGAATCATACAAAAATAATTCTTACCTAAGCATGTGCCTAGGAGCATCAACGATATGATTCCCTTCAAAAACTCCATCAGCTGCAACTGATTAGAAGATACTGGCCTTTTCCTATTCTTATGCGTAAATAAGCTGAAATGATTTTGCCATAAACCTGACATCTCATTAGCTGTAAAGAGTTGTTGGTAATCAGCATGCAATAAGAGCAAAAGGGTTGCAATAACCTTCCTAAATCATTGCCAAATGATTAATTATTTCTAAGCATATTAAAAAAGCTAATAAATTCAAAGAAATCATGAGTGATTCTTGTGTATACTAAATTGATTTTGGAATACATGCTGTGAAGTTATTATGCAGCTATATAATGGTTTATTCTTTGTTTTTGTGTTCTATAATTTTTTTGGAGTATATTGGGAACAGAGTCATAGGTAGTGTCCCTGAATTCATTGGTCAGTATCAGGATTTATGTAAATGAGACAATTTTGAAATCTTTGTTTCCATTGGTTCAGGCCACTTTCCAATTGAAATTTGGGTTTGAAATCCACCTACTAAATCAAGGGTACATGTTCACATAAGAAATCCTCCTTTGCGTGAGAATGCCACAATTCAGCAAAAGCTTGTACCATTAACAGTCAGTGATGCAATTATATGATACAATTATAGAATCCTCATGCAAATTTCTAAAATTAGGATGCATTTACTTCACATTTTACAAGCACTGTGGATAATATTGGTTATGGAGATGAACCTGAAATCTGGATATTACCAATATTTCTCAGTTTGATCTATTCAAAAATATTCAACAATCAAAAGGAAATTTCACTTTTTTGAAATCTGATTGGTTCTACCATAACAAATGCTAAATTCTAATAACACTTAATATCAGTCATTTTCTGCAATTTATTCTCCAAAATTATGTACATGTATTATTCCCTTATGATAACGTCAGAAACCATATTCTTACATTAATTGACTTTTCTAGACTTTATAATTTCCTTTTTATTGTATTTCTCAAATGAATCAATGTAAATTATGTTTGCAATGATAATTAAATATAATTTCAATGTTTCAATGGTACATTCATTCAATGGCATGTAGTTTCATCATGCCAATGTGAAGTGAACAACATAACAATGCCATACTCAAAAATCAATGGATATACAAGCAAAATACATGTATGACTTTAATAACCATGTAAGTATACAAAGACCAAGACTTATAGTGTTGTGCTATTATCAGGTCTGTTTTTTGAATGTAAAGAACATCTCATTCCTATTTCCATTCTTCCATCCCAAGACAAGATCCCAGAAAGTCCCTCAACCAATTATTTCTTTGGCCTTTTACAACTAACATATTTTAAAAGCAATTGAAAATATGAATTTAGTGTATTTGATTACAGTATGAGAGAACTGCTGAAGTTGAGCATTTACAGTCTCTATTAGTCATTCCCAAAGACCAGGGCACTAAACTAATGGAAAGGTAGGTTTATGAATACAGCAAAGCCTCTCTTTTCTAAACGCAAGTGGGGCCAGCCAAAAGTACTTGGGTTGTTTAACGTTCATATTTTAAGGTTTTTAAACATGAAAGTATATGACAGATAAAAAGGTACTGAAACAAGTGTTCAGGTTAGAGGTGTTCTGATAAGAGAAGTGTTCTGATAAGAGAGGTGTTCAGATAAGAGAGGTGATCTGATATACTGGTTTTACTGTAGTCTTGCTTTGTGCCCTCTTAAACCCTTCCCCAGAACACCTCACCTTGAGGTGAAGTAGATGTAAGGTATAGAATCCAGAGACTGGATATAATTTATTTAGTAATTAAACAAAATTATACAATTTTATTTATGATTTAATATTCACATTGACTCCCCATCAGTCTATCACCTACAATATAGGTTATCATAGGGTTGAATTTTGATTTCATAAACAAACCAAAGCTTGTAGTTTAGTATCTAGACTAATAGTAATAATAAATGGTATATTATGTTTCAGCCGAATGCAGGAACTCAACTTAAAACCTCAACCATCAGTTAAATCTTCACCTAACATTCCTCAGAATATCTCTTCTCCTCACTCAGACTCCTCTGACCTTGACAGTGATGATGACCTTGAACCCTATGACCTCTCAAATGATGTGAAACAATCCGCTGTAAAGAAACCTGTGTATGTGAGAGATTGCATGGAGGGTGAGTTAACTCCATTGGGTCAATAAAAACACACATTTGTTATCTCACAATAACCCAATAGTACACAGTAGTTGTTACCTTTCAAGTAAATTCTCATGAATAATAAAAGCATCATTCTAACATGATACACATTTAGACAGAAATCATTCTAACAATTTCGAAAATATATGAATAGGGACCCCATGTCAATATATTTTCAAAATTGTGAACCTGCCATAGTATACCTGGTCCTTTAAAGCCATTGTGACTTTTCTGATTGATAACTCCAACAGGGAGTTTTAACAAAATTAGAAATATTTTGAAATATTTTTATTTTGTTCTCCCCAGGCTCATCAGATATTGCTTTGTATGGTCCATTCACAATTTGTATGAATCTACATATTGAAAAGTATTCCGTACCTAGCGAAGCATTTGTATGGCAGTCAATGAACCTGAAGGTTCGCTATATATTCCTGTATAGCCGCCAAACTTTTTTACCATGACAATTGTATGATGTCATAACCTGTAAACAAAGTGATTTCGACTGGAATTGTGTAAAATGTTGGTCTTCTTTCACGTATTTCTACATATAGCTCAGGCTATATTGGCGTCAGACCTCAGGCATATATTCAATGATAGGGGCATAATGGCTAAATACATGTATAATGTTATTTCACTTATACCAAGGTCTGATTTCATCGGAAGACCCTGATAGACTAGAGACCTGTCTCTCAACAGCGGAGGTCCTAGTTAGGAGGAAACCAGACAACCTCGGAGAGGTGAGAATATTAGAATTCAGAGTTCTTCACCTCTTTCCACCATACCCAATGCTCACATATATAACTTATGACACTGGGACACACCAAAAGGGTTCCAATAGGCAGGTGTCATATTTTACTTTTGAACAAGTTAGTCGATGAGCAAAAAGGATGGAAATGTTCACAATGAGTGGTATTCTGATAAGTTCCGGATATACAAGTTTTACTGTATTTCTTCATGGAACAGAATTTCTCGAGCAGAATATATCCTGTTTTGCACTTCAAATCATTCAATATTTAGACACCTATATTGAATTGTAAATGAGTTGTTTAGTTTCTTAATGGTAACAAGATGTTCTATAGGTTGCTGCTGAGTTTACAAAGTTACTGCTCCATTTACAAGACAACTTTGCCACTCCACTCTTCCCTATGCAGAGACATGGAGCCATGGTGGCACTTGCTGTTCATTGTCCTAAAGAAGTAAGTGGATAGCATTCTCCAACCATTGGTAGTCAGTTAATTATAATGTCTTTCACCTAAGGCTTTTGTTTCATTGCAAGGCATTCTACCATTTACAGGTGACATCCAGGTTAAAATGAATATTGTACTTTATTGTTTATTTATATAAGGGGACATCTAATGCTTACAGCGCTTTGCCCCTTGTAATTGTATCTAAATGACTTGTGCTTACAATAAATATGAAAGATGATAAAAAAACCTAAGGCTTTAGCCTGCTTTTGTATGGAGGTGCAACTTTGAGTGGTTCCATGCCATTGAGGTTGAAATGGAGGATCTACATTGTTAACCCAAATAGTGAGGTCTAATGAGTTTCTGAGGTAAAAATTGTTTTCAGTTGTACTTTTCTCATCTGCGATATTGTTTCAATGATAGTTGCACCTCCTGTTTTTGTCAGTGACACCCAAGCATAAAATTTGGCATCATTACATTACATTAGGCACATAATTCAACAAATCAGATAAAAATGTTTGCTTTTGCGTCAAGAAATGAAGATGGATTCAAATGATCATTTATAACAGAATATACCAAATAAAAGTGTGTTTTTGTAATTTAATGGAAAGTTAACACAATATACTGGATGTGTTTTTTATTGCAATATAAAGTTTATTAATCTTAAGAAGTTAAGATAAAATGTATTTTCTTGGTCATTGCACTCTGAATCAATATATTTCCATGTTTAAATAGGTCAGTGGATACTTAACAAATGAATTCTTTGAGAGGAACTACAATTTGAGACAGAGGATGGACATACTAGAGGTATGAATATATGAATATTATTTGTATATCATTTTTATAAATCACAAAAGTTTACATTGCACAATCATTGCAGTAGACATTGGTACAATCATCATTTTCTGAAGACATTTTTGATGAATTTTTGAAATGATCTTCACATTCTTTGGGGCACAAAAATGCAAAGTTGACAAAGATCTCTCCTTTTTCAATTTTAAAGGGTATTTTTCCACTTAATGTGAGCAATATTCAGAGGTCAAATATTTATTGAAAGGTATTTTTTTTTTTATATATTTTTTTAGGATCAGAGTTACAAAAATTAAACCTTGAATTATATGAACTTAAAGAGACACTGACTGTTTGCTGGAAAACTCAGGGTACCTCTTTATATTTCTTTATTGAAATCATTCGTCAATCTAATATCAACTGTCATGATTTGACCCATTGATTGGTGTTTATCTGTTGATTTAGTATGGGCAAAGTATTCTTTCAAAGGTTTGTTCTGAGTTATTCAAAAAAGTTGTCCACTGGTATTTTGATCTTTAATCTAAAGTTACTCTAGATGGAGCTATATAATATGGATCCATTCGGAAAGTTTCTGCATTGAAAACCATCAAATATTACAGATTGTGTCCATTTATGTAATATATCTCCAGGTTTTAGCTGCAGCTGCCCAGGAGTTGTCTCAACCTAAAGAGCTGGGAGCAATACCTTCTAGTCATATACAACCAATTCCAGATAACACACAAGCTGCTGCTAATTCAGGTACATACTGGTATCGCTTGGTATCACACCACCAAATAAATTCCAGAGTTCAATTTTTAATGTTATTGGTGAAGTCAACCCAATTCCCACTATCGAATGCAAGACTTAATGATAATTGCAAATGTTTACCCTATATACATTATAGGATGTATGGAGTGTACAGGGTGTCCAAGAGATGTGTGAACATGTTAGGACACCCTGTATTATTTCATTGTGTGGCTACATACATATATATACACCTATATATGAATTACTTGCCCTTTGTTTAGATGATCAACATGACTGGAGGGAGATTGTGCAGAAGAGAATAGACAGTAAAACCAGAAGGTTTGGAAAAGGTCGAACTCAACCACCTGTTCCACAAGTCAATAACAAATTTGCTGAAGTCGCTGGTTGCTTCTTTTTCCCGCTCCTAAAAAACTTTGACAGGTGAGAACTTCAAAACTTCAAAAGGACCACCGCCTTTATTGTTTTCAAAAATCGAAAAATTACACACTAAATGTAGGTCTACTAAAATTTTTTAATACATGAAAGGTGTTCACTTTCATTCAAACCTGAGCCCAACAAACAAAAAATATCAAAGAAATGTTTTCAAAATTCATTTTTGGGGTGACAGAGGGGACAACCTGACTATGTCATGTACCATTCTACTCATTGGATAGTATTATATGAATGTGAGCTCCTCTGCTATATTTAGATTGAGAACAAATGGACATAAAAAATTCTCATATCTTAGTAACAATGTTTTATTTTTCCTCCATTGTACATACACATGTATTGAAGCATGATATACCGTACCATGCATCCTAGGGTAGTACAATGAAATGCACAAAAAAGTAAGCCTTTAAATAAAAAAAATATTAAATTGTTTTCTAGTGTTCAATTAATTCAGTTTGTATGAATGTTTCAGGAAAGAGAACACATTTGACCTGTTGGGAGAGGACCACATTGTGCTAGGGAGACTCATGTATACCCTAGGAATCATTGTCTATGCAGCTATCAACACACCGGTAAGATTCAATTGTCTAGCCCCTATGATTGATCATTTACGAGATCATACATGTAGGGGGATCATAGAGGCAGATCTGCCGCCCTCTAACCGTTGGTGTAATTCTTCATAGTCTAACCATCATAACATTTACAAGCTACATACTTGATTATTTTAATGATATTATATTATTGTGTTTAATGTTTTCCAGATAGCGCGTCAAATGGCCACATCACTGTTGGAATTCATATGGATTCTAAGATATCACCCTGAAGCGTAAGTTACTAAAAATATATACTTGGTGCTTCAATGTACCGTAGCTTAGTGTCTCTACATCCATGTTCTTATATTCTTCATTTTATTGGATATTTCAAGTATTTACATTGTCTGTCCATGTGATATGACATGACTATTTTATATTCTAGGACTGTAAGGCAGGGATTGTTGTTTGCACTGTCTATGATGTTACTCTCCATACCAGGGTTTGTCTTAATGGCTGATCTCCAGTCTGAAATATCTGAGACCAAGGAATGGCTGGAAGGTAAACTCAGTACTGTAAACAGTTAAAATTACGTCTTGAATCTGTTACTGAGAGATTTTCGGTGGAGGAATATAATTTCAAAAAACTAAATTGAATACTCATATTCCTCACATTTTCTACAACAGATTTGTATGCTTAATTCAATGAGATTGCCTGAGTTGTGTTAAAGACATCTACAGTTTATATGTAATGTTACATATCATTTATATCGCTCTTTCTCTCGTTCTTTCTTACTGTAAGACAAAAATGTATAGTGGTACACATATGTATCTGATGATGTTCACACTTATTGTTTCAGATTTGGTTGATAAAGATCCAGACAATGAATGCAAGAAGCTTGCCATCCAAGCCTTGGTACTCATGCAGAATATAGTACAACAGGTAAGACCACTGTACAGTTGTTCACCCCTTCATAGGTCAACTGGCAAAATTGTAGATGTTATTACTCATGTTGAAAAGAAAGTTAACAGTGAAATCAATGTTGAAAATGTACATAAACATTGAATTTATCCAGTTTCTGTCCGACCGAAGTAAACAAATGCTGTCTTGATTCAAACGAATAGAACATTTGCAATAAACAATAATTGTCATTACTAATGATTAATATTGTCTCTTGAAAGCCCATTATAAGAGTGATATATACTTGAGCCATTAGACTTACGTAGATCAGCTTATGTATAGATTGAGTAGGCCTAAATGTTACACATATCAGCCTTTGTAGTAGTCTAGCTACAAGCCTCTCTGACCCCCCCCCCCACATGACTACAAACCTTCTCACATAGCTTCCCGGGCACAGCTTTCTGTAGTAGGGGGAGGGGTGTCACAAGGAGTGTTACAAGGGCTTGTAGTTACATGTACATCTACACTTATACCCTGGTAATTGTTGTTATAAAGCAAGACATTCATATTTCAGGAATTTTCTAACAAGAAGCCTTGAAAATCGTCAAGATGGAATCAAGGACATGATTGAACATTTCATAATGGACAGTGCAAAACTTGAACTGGTGTACTGTATGCACATGTGGATGGCACACTGTGTAATGTATTTATACAGCATGAAATGCCCCAACACATTATCTGCTACATTTATATTATTAGTACTATCCCCTCCCTTATCATATCAACAACTTGCATATGCTTGGAATGTATAAATGGAAGTTGACACATGAATGTATGGAAGGTTACCAGAGACTAAATTTAAATATGTAAATGACTTCAGTCATACTGATGAAACCTTGCAAAAACAATGGCCATGTTTCAGTGCTCAACTTTGCAATTATAGACATTACATGTATGTACATGCATGTACAGTGTACATGTTGCCACTGATTTTGAATAAAGATCTCCATGATATGTACACGTATGTATTCTGTCATTTAAAGAGAGAATCAGATATAGTGAGCAGGCTAAACAAAAAATTGTTTCAATTTTAGAATAATTTTGGCTCATGTCATTCCTTGTCATGTCTATTTTCTAAAAATCACAAAAGTGCATACTTTATTCCAGGAAAACTAGAGATTTTTACAATAATGTATTATTTTTCTATAAGATTGGTTACCATTCTTATTATTTGGGAGAATTTAAACATTTTTCACTCATTTTTGCACTTTGAATCATTAATAACTTCACCAATTTATAACATATTGTGAATCTTTTGAGAGATATTGTATTTGATATTGTAAGGAATAGATTGGTAGGTCAATTATACAGGGTGTCCCGAAAGTATGGAGGCCCCCTAGGCAGACATATACCAATGTCTCCATAGTATTTGTCATGTATCATTGTTAAGCTCATTCAAAGTTACATTGATTTGCCAAATATCATGGTTCAACTCACAAATGGGAAAAAGTTACAGGTATTTCAAAATTTAGGGTTTAGCCAAAATTATAGTCAGTTTTACACCAGAATAATAGTCGATTTGTTTCCCTAGGCCATTAACTTCTGGCATTCAATCAAATAAGCATTTTTTGGTATAAAAATAATCACATTTATTATGACCCTTCAAAGCAGAGGTGAGAATAAAATACAATATAAAATAGTAGGTTTTACATGTTTTGTGTGTTTTTTTACAGATAAGGAATGATATGCTAATGGCTGTCAAATTACATACATGTACAGTTTATTTACTTTTCTTAAAAATGTGAGGTTTTACAATTATGTATGTGAAGACTGTTGATTTCTGAAAAATAACCCAGATACCAGTTGGTAATTACCAATTTCACCACCAGATGGCTAATTCGAGTCAGAAAACAAGAGTAGAAAGTTCCCTTAAACTTAAATATTTATCAGTTTAAGTGGATTAATGTTCATATAAATGTATAACCCCTGTATGTGTCTCATAATTATACAAATGAAAATATGTCCAGTGAAAGAAAACATCTGTCCAACACATGAAAACATATTTCACTTTTTGTGATTTTATAATACGAGGTGGTCTTTGGAGAATCTAACCAACCTAGAATATTTAAATGCACAAGTCGATTATTTCTACTTGCAACTTGTCTATTGAGTTGAAAGCATATTCAAATTTTGTTGCAAAAGACCACTGTAGATTTCAGTAGAAATGATCTAGATCTTCGTCATTAAATATTCAGAATTCAGTCAAAGAGACATCATACAGGGTGAGCCAACGAAGGTAACCTAAATAAATGGCATCAAGTCAGTCATCGAGCATGGGTTTAAAATCATGAACTGTTTAGAACTTTTTCATTGAGAGGAACTTTCCTATCAGCTGCAATGTTATTTGACCCAAATTAGCCACCTGATGGTTGAACTGGTAACTATAAATTACTGATACTGTACCTTGGGAATTGGGGTGAGATAGGGAAATAATAATGAAAATAACTTTGTTTTCCTGATCTGTTAACAAATTACACACCACCCCTTTGACACATTGGAGTCTCAGTCAAAATTTTAACAAAATTTTATTGATCAAGATGTTTTGTCAATAATCCCAAGTGAGTTTGATCTGAAAGGCATGAGGAAAATTAAATGAGAGCCACTGAGCCCATGATTTCAGAGCAACGTACATGTTTAGTAGCTAAGAATCAGTGACTAATCCTAAAGAATAACAATACAAGGCATATACATGACATATTTTACAATTACATATGATCGTAATGTGCAAACATAGTTAATCAGTAATTAGTTCCTCCAAACTATTATAATTACAAAATTCTATTCCAACATGTTTTGCAAAAAGGCCTCAAGATAAAGTTTAAACCTTTAGGATGACATGCTAGCCCTTCTACAAAATTACAACCATAACCTGAAGGGGTCGCTTGTAGCCACTTACAGTACCTTTGCTCTTGACCACAAATAAATATAACACTTCACTACATACAAATCTGGTACTTCACAAAAAATAAGTTTTACATTTATTTTAACTGATATTACACTTTGCCACATACATTGTATAAAATAAACATTTGCTCAGATATCCATGCTTTTGAGATGTTATAAGCATTAAATTCTACTGTCATTTAAAACAATATTTTTACATTCTTTATGAAGATGAAATTAATATAAATGATATCTTATAATCTTCTTGACAATAGAACATAAAATAGAAATACATCGCTAGAGATGACATATTAATTATATATGGAACATATTACAATGTATTATTTGGCAAAATTTGAAACCTAAAGAGGCTCCTTAAACCTTGGATATCATATCATATTAAACACATGTTAAGAACAGTAAATATCTGTGGATAAGCATCTCTTCAAATTTCAAATTTTTTAACAAGATAATCAATAGAAGAATACAAAATTATGAAATGTTTTCACATTGAAAGATATTCAAAGTTACAGGTTTTACTGACAAGAGATAAAGGAACCAGGTTACTCATTATTATTATATGTCACGCAATGATCCTAATAAAACCGTAAATACATTTTATCTTAGGATAGTGCAACTACAATCATTTTTTGAAAAATCAAAATAAATTGATGAAGCATGGAGTACAAAAAATATTGATTTGTAAAGACTATATTTGTATAAATATAAAATACCCATTGGCATAATACATGTAAGGCACTTATAAAAGTTTTAATTTGATTTACACTATTATGGCCTAGTCACATAGCCCGGCCGATGTCCGGTATCGGTAGAGCTCGGTGGATTTTTTTGGTGCCACCGAGCTCTCCTCATCGGAAGCAGAGCTCGGTGATGTGAACAGACTTCGTCCGGACATCTTCAGGCGACCGACCGAACACCGGCCGGTGACCGTACGGAGTCTGTCTCAAAATGGTAGTTTTTTTCTGCCGATGTGGCAGCAACTACCGGCCGGAGGTCGGCCGGACATCGGAAGGAATACGGCCGGTACCCGAGCAGGTAACAGGACACCATGCGATCGCCGGCCGGGTTGTTAACGGGCTTTCAACAGTGACCGGCCGATGCTCTGTCCCACATTGGCCGGAGCTCGGTCGGAGCTCGGCAGCTTTCCGTTAAAAAACCTCGTCCTCTGGTTGTCTCAGATGCACGGGACACCGGCCGATACTATTATATATATATAATATTGTAACTTTTCACATTGTAAGTATAATGTAAAGCATGCATGAATTCTACATTGAGTCACCCTTAATTCACCCACCAATAGCACCAATCACATTCATATTAACAAAGCCCTTACACTTGGTCACCCTTAATTCATCCACCAATTGCACCAATCACATTCATATTAACAAAGCCCTTACACTTGGTCACCCTTAATATACCCACCAATTGCACCAATCACATTCATATTAACATAGCCCTTACACTTGTACATTAAGGCTAATGGTGGAATGTTTATAAGATCTGAATCAAGACCCCCACATCATAAAGAGAACAGGGTGTTCTAGAATAAATAGGAGGACATATGAGAGCTTAATGCAGAATTATTATTAAGAGAAAAATCTGATTCCCATTCATAAAAGCCAGAATGCAACCACATTCAAAATAAAGTAACATTTCTCTTAGTGCAATCTTTGATGATTAAAAAAGGTATTACTGTATATCATTCTTCACAAAGTTACCAGATCTTTTTGTTCCATACTGTATTACCTTCAGTGATCTCCCCAGCATTAAAGCAAGTGGGTGCAACACCCACCTGAAAATTCATTTACACCCACTTGAAAATGAGAAAAATCAATTTTGGTCTGAATTGTGAAAATGAAAATTTTGCATCCACTTGAGATAAAATCCTGTGGAGATCACCGATCGTATATACTAGTGAGGCCAAAATAGGTTTAAAATCAAAGTGATTAATAGATAATCAAAATTGAGTGATTCATAAATAATTAAAATTCGTTTCAAACTGGCTCTTCAATCTTCATCACATACACATAGCAAAGAAAAGTATGCAATGGGCTGATCGATAGGATTCAAAAACACAAATGTTACAGACACAAACCCAATTACTTTCCAATTATTTCAACAATGCTATGACCTTGAATGTTAAATTGAGTCTCTATAAAAGATAGTTAAGATCCTATGATGTACCATCTTCGTTCACTCGGCTCCCGTCGGTCGCAGTGAAGACCGAGCGTGCGAAGATGATGATGTACACCTTTGTTGAACCTACTTGAGCAGAGTTCTGTTTATAGATTCTCATAATCTCAAAGAGTTGTTTCATTAGGTGTATTCTATGGCATTGTGTTATAGTTCAGTTTTGTTTTCCTTTATTTTATTTTTCTTTGCTTTTTGCTGATCAACATCTCCATTGTCTCCTTTACGACTTTCTGGAATGAAAATATGTCATTTGTCAAAACTATATTTTTGTGTATGAAAATCTATTTTGTTAATATTGGTACTATAAACAAGGCATGAACATGCAAAATGTCACCATCTACAATTTGTTACAGACCAAATACCAGAAGCCAACCACCGTCACAAAAATGGAGACCATTACAATAATGTACTGTAGATTGGGTTAATTTGGCGCCCGCTTTAATTTGGCGAATTTGGCAAAATTGAAAAATTCGCCAAAATTTAGAATGAATCCCCGGGAATTATCAAGGGTATTTCGTCCAGTGTATTTAGGTCACTTCTGGTTTAGTTTTTTCCAAAAATATGAAATAATGTCTCTCATAAATTGGCTCAGAACTGGTCAGTCACTCATTAATACTCAGAGAAAAACTAGAAAGGAAAAGCGGGTATAGTAGCAGCATCGATCGAGGTGCAAAATGTAAAGGATGATCTCACAAAAATGTACAAACGTGGTAAATATTGCCAGTGGTCCTCAAAAGAAAAAATGAACATGCCCATTTACATGGTAATTGGCAAACAGCGCGTACGTTTAACATTTTTTTGCATATCCGCCAAATTAAATAGCCGCCAATATGTCAAAAATGGCAAAATCGCCAAATTAAGTAGCGCCAAATTAACCCAATCTACAGTATCACAAATCATTGTAAATACCATTATGTGGCACTTAATACTCCCTCTTGGGGGTCATAGCCACTACAACCTGTAAATATGTTACATCATGTATATTTCATCTCTTTTGGTGGTGATATAGTCAGATCATACTCTTGAAATTAAATCTGTGCATATTTAAGTTTCAACAATACATGGCACATAATTCAAGGCATTTATTATTCATGATAAAAAAAGTAAAAATTCAAATTAAATTGTGTTAAATCTATTGATAAAATTGTAATAAGTCATGCAAAAATCTCTAGTTTCACAATTATATTTGATTACCATTCTTGTTCTTTTTACTTTTCTTCTTTTTAGGTTTATCTTCATCTTCATCATTTTCTCTAGGAACAAATGTTTCATTCAAACAATCTGGAAATAGGAATACGAAATACTATCTTAATTTCATCACCTTAAAGGAACTGAGAATGATTTGTATTGAACTTTTTAGAAACTAGGCATGATACAAAATGGTGTCAGCAAACAATAGGAGTATTTTTATACATGTATCTCTTTTAAAAATTCTCATTCTAAGTCTTTATTGCACATTTCTGCACAATGTTTTCAATATTTATGGACTTTGGAAATGTTACTGATACTTTCTAGTACCTGCGTTATATCCTACAAGGAATCTATCTTCACAGAGATATTTCATGAGAGGCTCATCCTGATGGTGGAAGTACCAGTCTTCTATAGTCTCTTCTAGCTCCTCAGCTACTGTAAAACACTGCAATAAACAAAACATGTAGATACATTTCAAATGTTTTTGGACAGATACATGTTCGGTACTTAGGTCTTGTGGGTAAACACTCCTACAACACTACTGTCTACCATTAACTAATAACATAATATAATGAGATATGAGTGAAGTGGAAACTTTCAACTTGAACATCCTTCTATCTTTGCCACCCTAAAAGGTGCTGACATCATCATGTACCACCTTTTAAGTACAGGGTGTTCCGAAAGTATGGGGCCCCCCTAGGCGGACATATACCAAAGTCTTCATAGTATGTGTCATATATCATTTTAAAGCTTATCCAAACTTACATTGATTTGCCAAATATCATGGTTCAACTTACAAGTGGTAAAAAATTACAGGCATTTCAAAACTTAGTGTTTGGCCAAAAATATAGTTCATTTCAGTATCCTGGAAACAGCCCTGACATTAATGTGATCGAATTATGGGTGCTATTGTCGACAAAAGGATGGATATTGAGTTCTAAAAAGAGGAAGTTGAGGGTAGATACTCCGAGGAAACTCTTCTAGAATGCCTTAAAAAGGGTTTATGAGGATCACAAAATGACAAATATGGTTCAGACTTTTTACATGAATTATGTGTTGTCCAATTTTGAAACAAAATAAATTCCATATATGTCCATATTTGAATATGCTTTGAGGCTATGAATTAGATAGCATTTATTATTAACTTACGTGACGTTGCATAATTGTGACCTCTGCGGATGGGGTATCCCATAGTTCTTCAGGTATACCTAGCTCAACCTTTACACCTTTGTTTCTGTAAAGAGAAATTATATCACAAATTATTCAAAAAGAATACAATTGCAACATCATTACTGAAAACCTAAATGAAATAAAACTTGAATTGGATTTCTATGTGACTTTCATTCAAAAATTCAAATAACATGGAGATCATGGTTTGCATAGTAACCTGGGAAATAGGGATAATAGTGAGGTTAAGCTTGCATGTAAAATTGAAACAAAAACATATAATGTATCGATTGCGCTTCACATTGCATGTAGTTGTCTTGCTTATAAAACCATTTAGCTAATGTTTATGTTTAGAATGGGATGCAACATATACACATGTGTGATACAATTGGTAGTTCTCTTGCTGGTGTTCTTATACATGCATGACAAAATTGCTAGTATAGTACTAAACACACATATGTATTCCTGTTGACACCAAATTTCCTGTTCTTACGGGTGTTCAACCATACAGGGCATATTGAAACCAATATATTCCGCTATTTTGAATTTAAACCTACCATGTGTTTGAAAATCAAGGATTGTGAAACAAAATAAAAATGCCTTCCTGTTGGTGTATTACTTTATTGTACAGAATACCTCGTTTTAGTGGCATTTGGGTTCGCAGCTGTGAGATCATGCGCTGAACATGCCTATATTGATTTCATATACACCCTTATATCTTTCCATTCACGTTAAAGTTTTGCAAACTTATCTTCAATGATTCTTAAAAATGGGCCTTTAAAGATGGCCATTAACAGACACAATGCATCAGGCCAAACTTCATAACAGATTTCAACTTGTTGCTATGTATAAACTGAAAAGTTGTGCATACTTTAATCCATGCAGAGTCTGCATTGTCTCACTCATTCCTTTAGAGTACCTCAGACTCCCCTCTCTCTCAGCATGTACATTGTACTCCAGTATCTTGTTACATATATGGGGCTCCTGCAAAGCTTCTATCAGCCTCAGCTCTCTGTAAATAAATCACAAATGGCAAATATAATGACAGGAAAAATATGGTTGTTTAAAGAGTACATTCGTATACTTTAAAAGGTCGACTAACAGAATTTTCAATAATGCAGACTTACGCAGTGTTGTACTTAAATCTTTTCTTTTTCTCCAAACCATGGCCAGTTTCTATAACTTCTTTGTTCCTCCCCGTCTCATCTAAGCGTAACATCAGTTCAGTAGCCAGGTACTTGCAAACTGTAAAACATTAGTTGATAACCTAAACCTTGATATACAATTATAGATTTTCACCAATAGATTCTCCGGAGTCTAGTGTCTTAAAACCGTCTAGCTCCAGAGTCTAATAGCTTTTCTGGAGTCTAAAGTGTTTTTTCCGGAGTCTAATTTTACATTTTTTTTCACAATATTAATGGTAAAACTCTTATAAACAAGGAATAGGAAGACAGAAACCTTTTAAAAATAAATTTTGGGATTAAAATAGCAAGATAATCTTAAGTAGCACACGCATGTTGAAAAGTATACTAATAGGATATCTCTGACCCGGGGGTTCACTCCAAATAATTTGGGTAGGTATGTGCAGCATGGTCAATTTTGGCTTTGAGCATAAAACATGGAAATTGTCCAATCTGAGAGAAAAAAAACATGGAAAATTGTTTAAGAAAGTACCCTTTTTTAATTCAAAATTCAGTTTTTCTACAGAAAATTGTATTAAATTCGTTAAATCAGTTGCTGAGGCCTGGAACAAATCACTAGAAAAGTTGATTTTTAAGTCATTTATTAGTCTCAGAGGAATTAAACATGGAAACCTTCTATCTTGAGAGGAAATTGCCATGGAATAAATGCTCAAAAAGGGGTCTTTGGGGCGGCAAATAGGTATTAAGAAGTATATTGGAGTGAATTCCCCGGGATCTCTGATCTCACATGGGGGAGAAGTACTTGACAAATAAAAAGAATTCAGTGATCTTCCCAGAATTTTCTCTCAGGTGGTTATGGGGGGGGGGGAGGTGCGATCGCACCCCTCCTGGCTACGCCTATGGAATCAGATTTATTTCCTTACCTTCACATCTTGAAGGCTGACGTTTTGAAGGGTCTGATTCTGCTACATCCGTATCCTCTAAGCTATGCACTTCTATAAATAGTACGCCAAGTATCACTGCTACAATTGCTGCATTCATTCTGTAGACTTGATCTAATATCAAGGCTTGATAGGCTATTCAACCGTCTGCCAAAGCGGAAGGCAAATTCAGAATTGATTGAGGGAGAAACTTCAAACTTCAACTTGAGGAAAATCACTCAGATCATTACGAATAGTTAACGAGTAACTCGTGAGTCAGTTTCAATCATATTACAGCAGATGGGCGACTACCATAGGCTAGAAAGCTTCGAACCCGCCTACATGTCCTAAAGATGAAAATAATAAGAAAATCAGAAAATGTGTTTACTTATACGGAGCCAAACGTTGACACGCCAAATGCAAGTTTATATTTTTTCTTACATGTGAACATATATCATGTTGCATAGCTTGACATAGGAATCGTAGTCTTTTCTTTCAAATATGAGTTTTTTCTTCGTGGAATGTTGGCATTTATTTATAACATGATATGACGTTTATCTCTCAAGTAAAACATTTTATGTGGCTGCTCAAACAAATGGTGACGTCACTTTGTAAAGTGCACGTGTAGATTGCTGATCTGACAAAACAAGGCGCGCGGGGACAAACAGTGAAAGGTGATATTTTGGAGAAGATGTCAGAATGTGAGGCTATTTTGCTGATACTTTCATGGTCAGTGGGAGATGTAGACAAGCCTCGCCGCTTTTAACCATAGGCTAAGGGTTAAGTAATAGTAAGCTGTATATATTTCTTATATATACAGCTTACTATTACTTAACCCTTAGCCTATGCTTTTAACAGTCTCTGAAAATGTATTCTTATCCGGGATTCCTATTAGAGCCCGGGTCGTAGAGCCCTACTCGAGTCTCTAGCTTACAGCTGGAATATAGAGAAGGTTTTGGACCGAAGTAAGTAGAGCCTCTACAGTAAAATTTTAAATCTTAGGAACTACTTTGCATTTAAGAAATACGGAGTGGCTCCAGGACCGACAATTGTCGGTACTGGAGACTGTCCAGGGGTATCGACAATTGTTGGCACTCTATCGTCACCGACGATTTCATAAATAAATCCACTACTTTTAATTCAGAAATAACCTCATCACTGGTAGTCTAGTGGTTAGCGAGCACGACTCGAACACACTCGGTCCCGACTTCGAATCCCGGCAGGACCTACTTTTTTCTTTTGAGGGGGGGGGCACAGTGCTTCTTTTGCAGTATGGAATCGTACAGGCATTAACTTGTAGTGAGCCATAATTTATTTCGACAAAAATTGATTCAACTTCCAGAAAATTGTCCTACAAGCTTCAATTAAAAAACATTTTAAAGCTCTTTTCTTGTTCTATCTAATGGGTCGATATATACAATTATTGGAGGGGATGCTTTCGCCCCCATCAACCTCTACCATTACTACGCCATGGCACAGGAGAAATATCTCATTTGGAATATATCACTGTTTACTTTGCGTTTGGTAGCTCTCTCATGCGAGATGGAATCGTGGCCATTAACTAAGGGAGCCAAATGCAACTTCCATCAAAAATTGTGCTATAAGGTATGAGTACCGTAATCCAACACCAAATTCGAAAAATTCATAACAATACTTTGCACATATGGCGTTCGTGACCAACTATGAAACGCTTACCCCCCATAGTCTAGTGATATTTATCAAAATGCACCTGTCCATATAGGGGTTCGATTGACCTACATCAAATTATAGGGAGTCAGGTTACTTTTTGAGATATCAGCGTCCGTTTATTGTAACTCGCGTTTGCTACCACTTCCTCAATTCTGATATGACGGGCAAACGCGTAGTAAACATGCTCACGTTCGGAACTATTTTGACCTACATCGCTATTTTCGTAATTCAAATGAAAGTTGAACTCCTCTTTATTTTGATACCAAATAGTGGCATACTAGGTACCCTAGAAGCCAACTATAGGTTATTTAGAACGATACCACAGGTTTTTAAATGGACTATATAGGGGTCATACCTTTTGGCGGATGGATATGGAACCTCATACCATACGATAAGCTCTAAAAAACATTCTAGCTATTTTCTTCTATCTAATCGGTAGCAAACGGCCCTTTCTATGCCTGATCGGCTCAGGAGAAATATCCTGTCTGTTTAGAATATATATAGCCGTTTACTCTGCATTAATAGCTCTCTAACGTCTTACTTGTTCATGTTTTTTTATTGGGTTTTCAACGTTTACTACCATTCCCTTTCCCTGTTCCCGGGCTACCATTTTTTGACTGGGTTTGGTTACCCGGGGCTAATGCCCTCCCCAGGTTTTGCACTTGTTCCCAAAATATCCGTATGATATTTGAAATATCCCCCCGCGCATTGCGCATGCACCAGAAAATTCGAAAATCAATATTTGTCGGTCCTCTAGCGTGTAAACACAGCATATCTCCTCTAGCATGCCACCATATCAGAGTCTAGAGTACCGACAATTGTCGGTACTCTAGCCTTTACGTAAAAAATAAGCAATCAAAGGACCATATTGAAGCAGTATGTAAATAGAAACATTTATACATGTCCCAACCGTTTTGTATATTTTAGTTTGTTTTGTAGTTTAGCTACCATATCTGTGCCCTCTTATATTTTGATGCTTCTCTGCCATGTTATTTTCGGAAAAATTAACATGGCTGAAACTCCCTAAATTACAAAAGGCCACAGCTTTACTGCACATTATACATAACTATCTGAAATATACAAAAGTTAGGACAAGTGCATATGTTTCTATTTTTTTATATACTGCTAGGCAATATAGTCATTTGATTGCTTATTTTTTAAATTCAAAGTAGTTCCTAACATTTAAAATTTTACTGAACAGCTAGAGTAGGTGCATTCATGCACCCTCTGGGTCTCTAAGGATGTGTTGGCATATGACAATCCAACACATTAGAGGCGATGTTCACCGTCTACAGCTAGAGTGTCTCAAAAACATAATCATTGTACAATTGTCATGATATTTTTAGCTCACAATGACACATGGTGAGCTTTTGCAATCACTCACCTGCCGTCTGTCTGTCCGTCCGTCCGTCCGTCAACAATAGTGGCACGTTTTAAAACCTCTGTCGATAGGATTCCTGTTTTTCTGTTCAACATCCATACAGAAAACTCCCCTATGACTCTTGGTTCAAAAGCTCGCCTATTTTCAAAATGGCCGCCATTTTTGTCTCACGAAATTCACTTTTGACCCATTTCCTAGCTTTACAAATAATTTCAGGTGTCCTACATTGTTAAAATCCGTGTCTATGTAAAGAGTAGATATATGAAATAATTTTGTTACAAAAAATCAGTGAAAAATTACATCCATTTTTTTATTTTCAGCCATTTTAGTTAACATTGATTTGTCCATCTGACTCGTGAAATTCACTTTTCCGTCAACACTCAACAACAGTGGCACGTTTTCAAACCTCTGTCGATAGGATTCCTGTTTTAAGTTGTTTCTGTTCAACATCAATACAGAAAACTCCCCTATGACTCCTGCTTCAAAAGCTCGCCTATTTTCAAAATGGCCGCCATTTTTGTCTCGCAAAATTCACTTTTGACCTATTTCCTAGCTTTACAAATAATTTCAAGTGTCCTACATTGTAAAACTCCATATCAATGTAAAAAGCAGATGTATGAAATAATTTTGTTACGAAAAATCAGGAAAAAATTATATCCATTTTTTTTATTTTCAGCCATTTTAGTTAACATTGATTTGTCCATCTGTCTCGCAAAATCCACTTTTGGACCATTTGCCTTAAACCCTCTGTCGATAGGATTCCCTTTTAAGTTAATTTTGTTCAACATCAATACAAAAAACTCTCCTATGACTCTTGGTTCAAAAGCTCGCCTATTTTCAAAATGGTCGCCATTTTTGTCTCGCGAAATTCAGTTTTGGCCCATTTCCTAGCTTTACAAATAATTTCAGGTGTCCTGCATTGAAAAAAGCCATGTTACAAATAATAAGCAAAAAATTTTATCCGTTTTTTTTCAGCCATTTTTACATTGATTTGTCCATCTGTCTCTCAGTCAGTCCAAAATAGTGGCAATTAAGTGGCTTGAAATAATTTTGTTACAAAAAATCAGCAAAAAATTATATCCGTTTTTTTTTTATTTCTGTTATTTTAGCCATCATTCACTTCATTTTGAGCAACACCATGTGAGCCCAGTACCCACGGTACTAATTTTTTTTAACATTTTGATTTTGGCATTTACCATACCATTTGCATTTGTTCAACTTCTCTTCTAAAAAACAGCTTCGCCTTCACTCTTTCAGTTTACAATCTGATCTCACCGAGCCAATCAGAGTTGTCGTCAAAATACGAGACGACTTTTGATAAGCACGTGTTCCTACAACTTTGCTGATTGGTTTAGAAAGGGTCAGTATAGTAGATTTGGAATAATTATCCCAACGAACGAAGTTCTGTAGGGATATAGTGAAGCCCTCCGTCCATCCATCCGTCCATCAGTCAGTCAGTCAGTCAGTCAGTCAGTCAGTCAGTCAGTCCGTCCATCTGTCCGGAAGATAACTCAAATACTAGTTGACGGATTTTCTTCATATTTGGTGGAAAGATGTATATTGGTGAATAGTTTTACGCAAAAATTTTTTTTCAAGATGGCCGCCAGTTTGAAATAAGCCAGAATTTTTCGTAAAAATCTTATGTTTTTCATTTTAAACCAAAATAATAAATATTATTATTTGAAATTTTGGTAGTATATTAACAACATTTATCTATTTCACACATATCCGGGGTTTTTCACCCTGACCCCCAGGGGCCGTAAATGGGGGGTTGAGAAAAAGGAATTTGCATTAATTTTGAGATGTTTTTGAAGTATAGCTTTATTATACTCAAATGAAAGGCAATTTAGAGTAGATTGCAAATATTGTAGCGTTTTCTGATTCGGACCTCAAAAAATTCAAAATGGCCGCCTAATGCAGGATTTTGCAATTATTTTCTGATCTCTTAAAAGTATGGCTATATTATACTCAAATTGAGGGAATTTCAGAGTAGATCACAATTATGGCATTGTTTTTCTGATTTGCGCCTCTGAAAATTCAAAATGACTGACTAGAGCAGAAATTCGCCATTACTTAAAGTTATCTTGAAAGTATGGTTACATGATACTAGAATGATTTAAAATATTTATTGAAGGTCAGAGTAGATGGTCAGTATTACATAGTGACTGTACAGATTGATGATTTATATAGTGTTCGCTGGGATTTGCTACTCTGTGTAGTTGCCATTTTCTAGTTTTTACTTGTGCTGTCACAGGCTGTCACCAATTTTGGCTGATTATGCACAAAATCTTAATTGAAATTGAGAGAAGATAGAAAGTTTTGTCTTTGTGAACTTCTGGTTGTAGCCATTGGTGGATCTGGGCGGGGGGGGGCCCAAAAAAGATATTGAATCTCAAAAAGTTTGGGCCAAAAAAGGCCTCAAGGCTCCAAAAAGAAAAGGGGGCCTTTTTGGTTATTACTGGGCCTTTTAAGGCCTTATTTTTAATTGTGGCCCAAATTTTGAAGAAAATGGGCCTCAAATTTTCAAAATTTTGGCCAACTTTTAGGTTTTAGGGGCCCAAATTTTCTTAATCAGATCTGAAAATTTGGGCCCCCCCTTGTTGGTTCCCAGATCTGCCCCTGGTAGCATTGCATATTTGGGCAAGAAATCTAATCCCGCTTTTAACATAGTACTTGTACAGAACGAAAAACACCCGGGAGAAAACATAACAGTTGTCAATATTCCGATTGATATCTAGCATTATAAATTATTATTTGTGAGACAAATGAGCTTTTAGGGCTGGATCAGTAAAGCAAGCAATTAGCCTTTAAAATACGTAACCCAGGTACATTTTGACCCAAAAACAGATTTTGGCGCAAAAATTTTGTAGGGACTATTAGTGAGTCTTTTGGGCATAACTTGGCCTTTTAGGGCCTTATTTAATTATTATAGGCCAAATTATCAAAATATGGGCCTTAATTTTTAAATCTTGTGCCTAATTTTTTATGTTTAAGGGGTCCATCCACTTGTTAGTTTTTGTCAGTACGGCTGTGGAATGAGCACTAAAAGATCAGGATTTTCAGGACTTTGCAGATGAACATGCTGCTAACAAAGCAATTATGCATGCTGTCACAGATGGCAGAGTTCTTCCAAGAAGTATGTTATAATTCTGTTTACAAAAAAACTATTTGATTTCAATTCATCCATGTGTTTCAGAGTGTATCTATACTACATGACTGTCATGCTAAGAGAGGAAAGCATCAGTTCACCTGCTAGAATTCAACACTCTTACCCTAAATCAGGTAACTACATTGAATAAAGTCTTCAGAATTTTTGTCTTATGATCAAAGAAACATATTTTGGTCTATTAATCCAAAAAACTTACTCAAGAAGCAGCATTTCTTTCGATTTCATTTTACTTCATTTAATTTTCCTGATGCTTTTTCGAATTGGAATATAAAAGCTACAAAGCATGAATAAAAAGCACTTCCACATGATAAATGACTTTGATTTTAAAATCAGCTCAAGAATCAAATCACAAGGTAAGCACAAATTATCATCTAAAAAAATTATCTTAAAATGTTATAATAAACTACCAAATGAAATCATGGGCTTTCAACTCTTATTGAAAGCCCATGATGAAATCAAGGACAGTGTTAGTACAGCTTCATTTAAGGCAGCACTTAAATATCATATTATAACTAATGAATTAAATTATATGTAACTCTACCAGACTCTACAATCTCACTTTCTTCTGTATTCCTACATTCCACTATAATAATTATACAGTATTTGCAAATTTTGACTTGATTGTCCATCTACAATATACGCTTTGCGTCACTTAATCTTAAAAAGACATTAATTTAGTGTTAGAAAGGCTCAAATGTTCCCAAGCAGGCAACACCATGAAACCAATAATCACTGACATCATTCTGTTTTTATTTTTCCAGGAAGTGGTTTTGCACCAAGGATTCACTTCTCTCCCCTTAGAACAAAAAACAAACCAAAAGCAGTGAGATTACAGAGTTCTATCAAAGTGACTTTTATTAACAACACTCATGGTCTGTCTTCTCCATATGCATATTTCAACACTCACAGTCCAAGCAAGCTCCCAACACTTATTCCTTCACTCTACATAGAGCAAGATGATGAACTAAACAAGTGTAAACTCATCAATAAATTATCCAAAGAGCAACACCAAACTGCTCTGTCCTTTATCATGGAACAAACTGATATTATTAATGAAGCTAGGCCAGCCTTTGCAGGGTCAATTGATGAGAGTAGTGAGAGTCTTGATGGTGAATACTCAAATACAGATCTGGCATCGGAAAGGAAGTCAAAATCAAAGGCATTGGAGACAATTAAGAGACAAAGGGGTCTAACTTATGAAGAGAGACAAGACGTAATTGACAAGATAGACAAGCAAGAGATCATTAAAACGTTGCAAAATGCAGATGTACCGATTATCAATTTGAACAGGATGAAAGTGAACTCTGGGGATGTACATATTGGAGAAGGGCCGCTAAAACTGTCAAAGTCTGAAACAAATTATGGCATAGAGCGAGTCATTTGTGATCACCTTCTCAAAGACAAAAGACCCATTCCATCAATCGTAGAAATAAGTCTATTGTCCTCTGATTCTGAAATTTCAGAAAATGAAGAGCCAGGCAAACAAGCACCTCCAGCTAGTGATAATGTTCCAAAGAATCCGGTGGTATCCCCAACTGGGAACCAGCCACAATGTATCACTAAAGTTGTAAAGAAAACATTGGGATCTCAGATTGGCCACCAACAATCAAAAAGCGATAAATGTGAAATTGAGGAAACATTGGTCTCCCAACCATCTAGTCATTGTAAAGGTTTGTTCTTTTGCCCCTAGTTGAATTTCTACTTTAGTTATTTAGTAATCAGCATTTATATTCCTTTAAAATTGAAATGGTGTCTGTTCACAAAAGGCTTTTTATTATGTCACCACCAAAAGTGGTGACATATTGTTATGGTCTCCGTTTTTTTATGTCACCACCAAAAGTGGTGACATATTGTTATGGTCTCCGTTTTTTTGCGACGGCGGTTGGTGGTTGGAGGTTGGCGTCCGGCGTCTGTAACAATTTCTTACAACTTCCTATAACTTAACAAATACTGTTTAGACTGACTTCAATTTTTTTCTAAATCATCTACATGTTCTCAGAAGTTCAAATCTGACTTTAGATTTGACATTTGACCTTCAATGACCTTCTCAAGGTCAAAAAGGTCTTTTTTCAACTTGCTTCACATTGACTAAATTTTTTTTCAAAATCATCTACATGTTCTCAGAAATTCAAATCTGACTTTAGATTTGACTTTAGATTTGACATTTGACCTTCAAATCTGACTTTAGATTTGACATTTGACCTTCAATGACCTTCTCAAGGTCAAAAAAGGTCAAAAAAGTCTGTTTTCAACTTGCTTCAAATTGACTAAATTTTTTTTTCAAAATCATCTACGTGTTCTCAGAAATTCAAATCTGACTTAAGATTTGACATTTGACCTTCAATGACCTTCTCAGGTCTTTTTTCAACTTGCTTCACATTGACTAAATTTTTTTTCAAAATCATCTACATGTTCTCAGAAATTCAAATCTGACTTTAGATTTGACATTTGACCTTCAAACCTGACTTTAGATTTGACATTTGACCTTCAATGACCTTTTCAAGGTCAAAAAAGGTCAAAAAGGTCTGTTTTCAACTTGCTTCAAATTGACTAAATTTTTTTTTCAAAATCATCTACGTGTTCTCAGAAATTCAAATCTGACTTAAGATTTGACTTAAGATTTGACATTTGACCTTCAATGACCTTCTCAAGGTAAAAAAAGGTCAAAAAGGTCTGTTTTCAACTTGCTTCAAATTGACTAAAAATTTTTTTCAAAATCATCTACGTGCTCTCAGAAATTCAAATCTGACTTTAGATTTGACTTAAGATTTGACATTTGACCTTCAATGACCTATTCAAAGTCAAAAATGGTCAAAAAGGTCTTTTTTCAACTTGCTTCAAATTGACTAAATTTTTTTTTCAAAATCATCTACATGTTCTCAGAAATTCAAATCTGACTTTAGATTTGACATTTGACCTTCAATGTCAAAAAAGGTCAAAAAGGTATTTTTTCATCTTGCTTCAAATTGAACAATTTCTTTTTTCAAAATCATCTACAAGATCCCAGAAGCTCAAATCTTCTAAAACCTTCTTAAGGTCAAAAGGTATTTTCCAACTTGCTTTAAATTGACCAAATTGTTTTAGGTGGTGACATTTTGTCATGTAATGCCTTGTCACATCTGTTTTGAGCTATGACAAGAAACGGGAGCTGACCATTATAAAGGAAAGTTAGTGACGTGTATTTCAGAGATTTTACTGTTCAGAAAGTAGAGTACAGATCAAAAAATGAAACATGATTTTAGTAGTGGTAATATCTTCATTTTCATTACATCTGAAAAAAACAAACTGCAAGATGTATGTAAAACCTCTGACTATTTGAACATTAACAAAATTAATAGTATAAAATATTAATTATTCACATCACTGTCGCTTCTTGAGGTTGTTTTACTGTGACATGAGTCACATTGTTCCTCATCTCCCTATATAGAGAATGGACAACTCAGTCTTCTGAACATATACCACAGAATACATGCCTGCAAGTAATATAATAGAAGGATTAATTGGATGAAAAATATGAAAACAACAACAAACAATGTTATTGAAGTTGGTTAAACTGAATATATTTTTAACACTGTTTTTAACAAAATAGTTATTAGGCTGAGAATCTGAGAACCTCTCAATCGAGTTGACTGTCAGCCTCTGGAGAGGTCAATTATAGTTTGTATCTGTATTTAAGATCTATAGTTTTCACCTTTAGTTTAAATTCTAGCTGTGTATGTCTCCTTTCTTTTCCAGGTCCAAAACAGAAACTGACCATGAAAACCTTACAATCGATCAAGCAGACTAAACCTGAGAAAACAGCAAGATTAAAGAAGTTCAGAAAGAAATGTAAATCTAACATTGACATACAGGTAGCAGATGTAGCCCAGTTTGCCCAAACAGGTGCTAAAGATGATTTGTGTAATACCAAAGTTAAGAAGAGAATGATCAAGAAAAAGAAAGTCCCACCTGATGATGTATCAGACAAAAAACAGTGTGCTGGTTTGGCTGACTCAAATGAAACTACCATGCCCATTATCAACAAAGCAATAAATGAAACAGAAAACTTGCTTGGAGAAGAGAACCTATGTGATAACACTAGTACTACCATAACCAAAGTGCTCAAAACAAAATTTGATAAAAGGAAATCCCACCAAGATAACATTCAAGAATCCTCAGATGAGAAAGTTGAATCGGCTGTCTCTGTTGAGAAAATGGAGTCAGAAGAATCAATTCCACCCAGTGTTAAAGAACTACCAAACAGTTGTGAATCTCTTGGGATTGGTGCCATTGTCTGGGGAAAAGTTGGCAAGACTAATTTCTGGCCTGGAATGATAATTGATATTGGATTCGCCCCCGGTGTCACAGCCCTAAAGGAAGGCTATCAGTTGATATTCTGGTATGGAGATTATAAAGTGTCATGGGTAAGCGGATAGTTGGTTTATTTTTTTTTAATTAAATGTATTGAATCTTTTTTGCCTTTGATATCACTTGTTCGACACTAACTAGTGTTCCCCATGATCTTTTCTCAATGGAGCTAAATAATTCTCATTTTACCAATTTTGAATCGGGTCTTTTAATATTTGTTTTCTTTTTATCCCATCGAATGAAGTCGGAGGGATATAGGGAATGCCTCCGTCCGTCTGTCAGGGCAATAACTCGAATACCGTTGGCTTGATTTTCTTCATATTTTGTACACATATACCCCATGGAGATAGAAGTTTTGCTCGAAAGCCAATTTTCAAAATGGCCGCTCATTTAAAAATGGCGGCCATTTTAGTGACGATTTTACAGTAATTTAGGTGCAATATGTAAAACTGTAATAGCAATGTTTTAAATGTAAAAAAATTATATAGGACATTAATAAAGCTAGAAATGTAGATATTAAAGAAGCACATGGCAGCCATCTTGAAAATGGCGGCCTTTACTCATTATTTTATGATTTTTGCTGTAACTGGAAAAGTAGTGGAGTGATTTTGTTGATATTTGGTATGTGAATACTATAAGCATGGCATAATGTCTAATGACACTTTTGGTAGAAGGCCGCCATTTTTCAAAATGGCCACCATTTTAACATACATGTACTTTACTATAACTCGAAAAGCAGTGGAGTGATTTTGTTTATATTTGGTATGTGAATACGATAAGCATGGCACACTGTCTAATGACACTATTGGTAGAAGGTGGCCATTTTAAAAATGGCCACCATTTTAACATATTTCACTATAACTCGAAAAGTAGTGGAGCGATTTTGTTCATATTTGGTATGTAAATAAGGATGGCACATTTTCATGTATTTTACTATAACTGGAAAAGTAGTAGAGCGATTTTGTTCATATTTGGTATATGAATACTATAATCATGGCACACTGTCTAATGACACTTTTGGTAGAAGGTGGCCATTTTAACATATTTTACTATAACTCGAAAAGTAGTGGAGCGATTTTGTTCATATTTGGTATGTGAATAAGGATGGTACATTGTCTAGTGTCTAATGACACTTTTGGTTGGTAAAAGGCGGCCATTTTGAAAAATTGCTGCCATTTTTGCTGGACACTTTATAAGTAAAAATGCCAGCCATGGCTGTTCGATGGGATTTGCTTTGCTTTTGCGTTGCTGTTGTCTAATTGAAGTGGAAAGTGGAACTGTTTCCAAAGTAGCAGAGCACTTTCTTGTAATCAATTTCAATTTCCAATAGAAACATTTGATGTCCAATTTCCCTGCAAATTCTTGCTGTTACTGCCAAAAATCTTATGATCCCACTGAACAAAGTTCAAGGAACATAGAAAAGCCGTCCGTCCATCTCACATCAAAGTGTAGTATTTGGAAACTAGACATTAAAAATTTGGACAAATGAAGGTGGTAAGCAAGAGACGTAATTATGTCTGTCATCGCTAAAGCTCAGGTGCTTTCCCTTCTCTTGGACACAGTATCTCTGTTCGAGAAAGAATTTTCAAGGTGGCTGAATTTCAAAATGGTCGCCATTTTTCATAAGAGAGAGTAATCTTTGTTTACTCAAATGTCAATCGATGGATTTGTTCAGATTTTATATGTTGATGCCAAGGGACAAAGAAGCTCTGCTACAAAGAAGACATTTTAACATGGCCACTGAAATTCAAAATGGCCTCCATTTTTCATAAAAAATGTAATCTTTCATAGGCTAACTCAAATACGGATAACTCAGTTGACGGATATAGTTCAAATTTTATATGTTGATGTCTATGGACAATAAGCTCTGCTGAATGACAGCTTAATTTCAATTTCAGAATGGCCGCCATTTCAAAGCCTGATGCTTAGAGATGAAGGAGGTCTGCTCAAGAAATTATTTTCAAGGTGGCCATTTTGACAAAAGGTTTTTGTCGTTAAAAATGCTATCTTTGATAACTCAAATACCAGTTGATGGATTTGGTTTAAATTTTACATGCCGCTACCTAGGGACAAATGAGCTCTATTCAAGAAGAAATCTTCAGGATAGCAGCTGAATTTTAAAATGGCCACCATTTTTCAGAAAAATAAATCTTTGATAACTCAGATACCAGTGTATGGATTTGGTTCAAAGTATATATGCTGATATGCTCTGTCCAAGGAGGAATTTTCAAGATGGCTACTAATTATCAAAATATATTTTGTTCTGTGGGATTTGCTACTCCGTGGAGATGCTGTTTTTCTAGTTGCTAAAATACTATGGAATTTTTTATCAAATAATACTTAATTTTTAGGTTATTAAAAATCAAATATTCCCATTTGAGACAGCATTTTTGAAGTACTGGAAACATGGAATTGGACAAAGACGCAAAAACAGACAAGGGCATTTCTATAAAGCAGCAATTGAGGCCATAGTTGTGAGTTGATTTCTGTGTCAGTCAGTTGTACACTAGTACTCAGCTCATATTTTGTTCTGGAGCACTGAGCTCAAGAAATGCCCCCCGCAGTCAAAATGAAAATTTTTAGATATGAAATGAAGACTACATGTACAATGTTACTAATACATGTACATTGAAAAATATTTAAAAGGGTAACAATATGTGTTTTGATCCCATTCTTAACAAGAAAAAAAATTATTTACGACACACTTGAAAACACATTTTATTTTGCTTCGAGGAGATCTGATTTAGAAACCATTAGAAATAACACCACACAACATGGATATATTTACATATTACTTATTTTCAGGAGGCAGCTAAAAGGCGGGACAACCATATAGTTAAGAGTGCAGACAATGATTCTAGTGCCATGTTAGATTGGGCAATGGCTGGGTTCCCAAGCAGCAATGAAAGCTTGTCACTGACAGCAAATAAAGGTAAGGTACACATTAGATAACATCATTGACACATCTTCGTCTTCCCAGTACTGTCTGAAATGAAGTATAGGTAAACATCTAATTTAACAAAGTTTTGTCACTTACCATGTATTAAAATTCTAATATTATTCAAATAAGATACATGTACATGTATCATTATAAAACAAACGTTTTTCACGAAAATGTCTTATCAAATATTCTGTAATGCAATGATATTTGGTAAAAAAATAAAATTTGGATAATTAGATGATCAAACTTTGCTTGGGACCTTTTGAAAAGAAAGCTGTAAGAAAATAGTTTTCCTCAAATATCCTTCCCACACAATGTATTGCATTTTATGTGATTCCAGTTGCTGGTGTTTCTGACTTTGTCCTTGGGTTACTCAAGCCACAACCTGACAGTTCCTCATAATAAGATGTGATTTTCATCAAGGTGCTAGTGTTGTCGCAATGTGCCATAATCGTACTTCCAGTAATGGTGTGTGAAAACAAACGTAAAATATTGGATGTCATCGGTTCATTTCTATAAGCTAAAACATTTAAAAAGTGCAAACATATCAGAGAACATTGCAAAATGAAATAAGGAATGAGAAAGGTACATTTGCATCAAAACGAGATAACAAAAGGTGATTTTTATCAGAATATATGGATCGCCCCTTGTATAATTTTTTTTAAACATCGATGTCTTGTTTCAGACATTGATGCATCGCCAGAATCACTTTTGGCGATGTACATCGCGATTTATCGATTATTCACTGGACTGAAACTCACATTTCCTACTCGAGCCACAAGATGACAGTTCTTTAAACCTACACATCGCTCCAAAACGCAATATGTTGACATATATTGTTTTTACATTTTCAAGCTCTAATATAAAGTTTATGTAAATAAAAATTGTTTTTCTGCATAATATCAAAGAACAATCATTTAGTTAAAAGAATAAAAAAAATTAGTGCGGGATTCGAACCCGGGCCTCCTGCGTGCTGAGCGAGCATTCTACCGCAAGGCCACCAAGTTATTATGAAACAATGAGGTAATTTAACGCTACTTATTTTGAATGCTATAATTTGGTAGTGACGTCACGTTCTTAATTTAGAACCCTTTCCAAAATCATATCGTCGTCACCAATCGAAGCAATTCAATGAACAATCTTTGAAATTACACATTTATCGTAAGTATTTATACACAAGATTTGCCCCATTTGTTCATCATTCTATAATCTTTCATTGAGCTCAAAATGATAAAGTTCACCCCCGAAACAACCCAAGATTGCATTTTGGAGGGATGTGCAGGTTTAATAAAATATGATTATAATCAAGGTGCTACTAAAACATAAATATATACCATACTTGCCATAGTTTTGGTAAAGTTAGACATTGATAGAGCTTAAGGTTGACATTCAGTATTATCTATTGTCATATTGTATATATTACTCTAGATTAGCTGACATACATGTAGATCCTGATTATTCAGGACAGTGCATGGCAAATATGGATTACATTCTGAAAATTACTATTGTGTTCTGCAGAATTGTAGCTGAAACCAGGGCATGAGCTTCAAAATTTAGAATGTATTTCATATGTCAGTGTGCACCATATCTAAAAATGCATGACAATCAAGTGTTACATGTGAAGTTTTTAATGAAACCAACATTCCAAGATGAATGGTTTACTAAGATTTGCACAACTAAATCTTAGTTGTAAACAAAAAATTCATGAATCAAGTTTTTTTAGAGATTTTGCAGTTTAGTGACATTATACTCTTACTAGATCAAAATGCTTAGGAATTATTATACCAGTATTTTTATGTTATTATTTGCAGTTTAGTTTGGCCTCTTTTGCATGGTGTATTTAAACTATGGGGCAAAAGACCTCCTCTACTGCTCAATTAGTATGAGTGGTATTTCGATTTTTTGTTCAGTATTGTTAAGATTTTTGTATTTTCACAATGATGGTACTTATTAGTCTTGCTATGTCACTGCCACAAGTGGTGACATATTGACACATAGTCTCCAACTTTAAATATTTTGTTGTGGATAGTGTTTGGCAGTTGGTGTTTGGCAGGTTGCATCTGTAACAATTGGCAGGTTGTGACATTTTGTATGTTATTACCTAATTGTTTAGTTTAGGTATCATAGTAATCATACCATGTGATAAGTGATTATATCTCATATCATTTTTAAAAGATGTTTGCTAAATGATAACACTTCAAAGTATAGTATAATATATGGATATAGATTTTAAAGTACATATTTGTTAAGTTGAGGCCACATTTCCCCTAGCCAGATTGGCTCAATAAAATGTTAGGGAGGCTCATTAAGCTGCATGTTTTTTTAGCAAACTTGTACACAAATGACGCCTGGGATTACTATCTGGCTCATTTGTATTTTTTCAGGGACTTTATTACAAGTATGTTCCTTATATTTTGATACTCAATAAGGCAAACACATACATGTAATGTATTTCCCTTATATCATGATACTCAATAAGGCAAGTAAATACATGTAATGTATTTTCCTTTTATCTTGATACTCAATAAGGCAAGTAAATACATGTAATGTATTTTCCTTATATTTTGATACTCAATAAGGCAGGTAAATACATGTAATGTATTTTTTTTATATCTTGATACTCAGTAAGGCAAGTAAATATATGTAATGTCTTTTCCTTATATCTTGATACTCAATAAGGCAAGTAAATACATGTAATGTATTTTCCTTATATTTTGATACTCAATAAGGCAAGTAAATACATGTAATGTATTTTCCTTATATTTTGATACTCAATAAGGCAATTAAATACATGTAATGTATTTTCCTTATATCTTGATACTCAATAAGGCAAATAAATACATGTAATGTATTTTCTTTATATCTTGATATTCAATAAGGCAAGTAAATACATGTAATGTATTTTCCTTATATTTTGATACTCAAAAAGGCAAGTAAATACATGTTATGTATTTTCCTTATATCTTGATACTCAATAAGGCAAGTAAATACATGTAATGTATTTTCCTTATATATCTTGATACTCAATAAGGCAAGTAAATACATGTACATATACTACTAAGGGAGAACTAATCCTCAGAGTACCATAATTCTACAAAGGTGTATAAGTTATCTTTAAAAATGTGTAGCTTTATCTCCTTGATATGTGCCAAGCTCAACTTGATTTAGATGGTTAAAATAAATATAATATTTAAGTTTAACTACATGGAATACAGTGTTGTATTAGGGACTTTAATTTTAGTATATGTTATAGGATGTACATGAGCATTTATATTATAGTGATTTCCAATAAACAACTGATCTTTAAAGCATATGGTTTGTGTTTAACATTTGGATTCAGTTCAGGATTTCTTGGGTTAACTTTGATTTTGTTTGGTATGAATCATCCTCAGTACAGAACTTACGGAAAGTCATTTTTGAATTTAAACTAAATATTAACCATGTTGATCTTCACTTGTAGTCATACAGTATATGTCAGTATTTTAATAATAGTTGGATAATTATCCCATTGAACAGAAAACTGCCAAAGTCAGATACTTGTACATTTCTTCAACAAACACCAATAGACTAGATGCGAGTAGAAATGATCTTGATTTACGTCATTGAATATTCACAATTCACTCAAAGTGATGTCATATTTGAAATCTACATGTAAAAATACATCTACAAATATGGTTTCGAAAATTGTTTATCAACTTTGAAAATTTAATATTTTTTGAAAATGTGACTTCTAGTTCGGATTGATTCCCCATAATTACAAAATCACCTGGTGGTGAAACTGGTAACTACCTACTCGCATTTGCGTTATTGGAGTGCCAATGATTTACTATATCAAGTAAATATAATAATAAAACTGACGCCATACAGTACATGTTAGTATTCTAATAATAGTTGGATAATTATCCCATTGAACAGAAAACTGCCAAAGTCAGATACTTGTACATTTCTTCAACAAACACCAATTGGAGTGCCAATGACTTACTATATCAAGTACTTGGTCAAGTAAGTATAATAAAACGGACGGGTATCATATGAAGAATAGAGGATTTATCTACTATGTACTGGAAATGGGAAGGCAAAATCCTAATTCTTTTTTCAGATGTTACACTTTCAAAATAAGAGTATTCTGGCATTGGAAGGTACTTTCAGGAAAAGTGGAAGCAATTGTGAAATTTAAATTAATAGTTAGGAATTTATGTTATCCTTTTGGATTTCTGGATTCAATTAATCCTCTGCAAGAGTTAATAAAAACAAAAAAACACCAGCTAAGTTAAAATGTATTTATTTTGTATAAAAAATAATAAACATAAAAATGTACTCATGAATTCCACTGACTTCTAATGTAAATCATGAATAATATCATGTCATACAACATTTATGGGTTGATAAATGGCAATTATTCATATATAGAAACCCAACTACATGTATCTTATGGGAAAATCCATATATTTCAAAACTGATCATTATAATAGCAAATATTAATTGTGATCATAAATGTATGTATGTACTCATTCAGAAGTAGCATAAATGTATAAACTATATTCTCTATTACTTTTAATAGTCCATAAACTTGTTGAAATATAATGATATCATTTTATACATAAACAATACATGTACTGAAAAAGTGTACAGGTGTAAAGGAAGAATATACATGTATAAATCAATAGCAATAATTTAGGAATAGAGTAGAATAGAATGGCTTTGAACTTCTTGTATACTCCAATTGGACGGATTTAAAAAATAAATGTTTCTAGAAATGAAACAAATTAATAAGCTGAGCATTTCAGAAATTCAAAAAGAGAATCTATATAATGGACTTAATGGCAATTATCACCCGATATATTATTTGATTCGCTGATTACCATGTACACAAATAATTTAAAGATCACTAAAAACATGAAAACTTCATTTCATTCCATTTCAAATGCCATCATTCAATAATTTCATGAAACAGAATTACCTGTGAAGCTTGGAGATGTGAACCACACACAATTCCTAGGTTCAAATGAAGTTAACCCACTAGCAGGAAGCAGGCATCTAGCCAGGATTTTCTAAAAGAGGTTCTTTATTTCACAGGGAGTCAAATGGATTCCATAAATCCTCTATGACTACAGACCTGACCAGTGAATAATAATTTCATATAAATTGCTTATTGTTATTTACAACAATGCATTATGAAACTTTCAAATGTCTACATCAGGATAATCAAGATTTCAGACTAACACTACATGATTAGAACATCGTTCAGGAATTTCTCATTGATGATTTTCAGTTGTTTCTGCACAAATAGTCTTGTGATTCTGTACACATGCTGCTCACATAGATCTGTTCATATATATATTATGAAGTGGCAATCCAGCTGAATGCGTAGTTAGATGTAAGATCATTGTGTTGCTGAGTATCTGGGCCTGCTCACAACAAACGGCACTGGTCTCGGACCTACAAGTACACCAATGTATTAGGTAACGTTTCACCCTTTACAAAAGCTTAATGACTGATTGTATATCCATCAAGTAATATAACTGCACTGACACAATAATGTTCATGAATACTGTAATAAATAATTATTTTTCTCAATAATGTAAAAATTTTTAGTAGAGGTTTATATCCTGTTTCAGATTTAAAGGTACATTGTAAATCATGGACTTTTGAGACTTAGAACAATATTTTGGTTTTGATTTACTCTTTTTATCAAAAGTATCCTCAGACTTAGTGTTGTTAGGAAAGAGTGCTCTGTATGACCGAGATTGTGCAATAAATCTTCGACATTGCGCAATTTCTGCCCCGAGACGTCTAAGATCATCACCCTCAAAATCTGGCAGATGGGGGTGCTGGAATAAGACATTTATTTATATTCATTTATTATTCTAACAAATCTGTATTCAAAAGCATGCAACGTGGCAAAATCTAGACACCACAGGGACATTTTAAAAGCAGGTGAAATTAACATTTTAAAGCTCCATGGCAGATAGTACTGAAAATTCAAGACAGTTTTGTATTGCATTGTTTGTATGTAATATCATTAGGATATCCAAATAGAGACTGAACTTCAAAAAATAAGTCAATAAAAAGACATATTAGATTATTTCTTACTGAAATTGGAAAAATAAACTTTTTAACAAGAACTGGTGGTAAAACTTTTAATATTTGAGTCATTTTGTTCATCTGTTCACAATCTGTTATGCTAGGAAGACCCCTTTTTCTCAAAGAACAAATAGTATTAGACCTAATAGGTGAGAGTACCTCATAATCATGGAAGCCTTCCTCTAGGAGTTTGTGTGTAAACAGATCAGCATCAAAGTTACTATGGCAACGATGGTACCGCCCACTCGTTTCCGCAGCCAACAACTTCAAGAAACTATTTGCAGTGCTGAAAAAATGGATATCAAACTCAAAACAGGAATAATACAGCACAATTCAAATTAAATGATAACATGATTTTGCAGGTCCGAAATGATGCAATTAAATGTACCATTAGCATTTATTGAACAAGCTTACAAAAGTCTGGTTGTTGCAAGGGTTGCATATGCCTTATTGACAGGGTTACATGAGCCTTATAATCAAGGATAAACTTGATAAAATCAATAACAACGAGGCATTAAAATGCAAAATTTCACCACCACAGAAGTGATAACGCCAGATACTGAACACCATCAGGTTAGAGGCCACATGTCGCTACTTTTTATGATGGCATAGTTTTCCTGAGTTTGTAAACAATATGCACTAACTGACCTGTCATCACAGTTGAATGAGATAGTGTTAACAGGAATGTGTCTGTCAATATTGTGTCTCGCCACTTCCTTAAGCACCAGTGATGTGCTGGTATCCGGCTTCCCATCCGTTAACAGGTAAATACTATCCACACCACTCGGATCACCAAAGGCCATCTATAACAAAGATAAACACTCCTTCTTATCAGATTGGTTACATCTTGGACGTTTCAAATCAGAAAGATGGAATAAATGTTTGAAGGTTGACACAAATGATCATTTTAAAATGAATCATTTCACCGAAGTTTTCTCTATTTTGGCCTTAAATGTGGAACCTTGGATAAACATTTTGTGTCAATAAATATTCTTACATCTAGTGCTTCCAAGGTGCATGTATTGCCGACACAGCGTAGTTCTGAGATCCATCGGATTGCGTCATGGCAGTTTTCTTCATTGGCTGGAACCATTGTTGCCTGCCATTTTGTGCATGTCCGTGAAAATGCAATCAAATTGAAACTGAAAAAACAAGAAAAAAATCCTCGTGAAATAAATTGAGAAAATAGTTCAGGTCCATGATTATACAATGTACCATAAAACGTCTTTCATTGACAAGAATATAGCTACAAACCTGTATGACCCCCTCCCTCTTCTTGACTACACACTTTCTCACTTGCTGGGATATGAAGTTAGGGGGGGGGGGTTATAAGGCCTTATAGCTAAATTAACAAGAACATTTTTCCTCCAACCTCTTATAATAATCTGACAGATCACTACTGTACAAACTCGACCCCTATATACTGTTAATCTCATATATAACATGTATAATGTACATACCATGTATTCCCCTTGTACAACTGGTCCCATATAAGAGATGCTAGTTCTCTCTTCAGTTCTTCCAAATGTTGGTCCATAGAGCCTGAGATATCGATCAACAATATCATCCTCTTGTGGCACACTGTGCCAAACACCCTACGACTTCCTAAAACAAAATAGTATACTTCATTAGTCAGAAAAAATAAGATAAGAAAAACATTAGTTATGCCACGGGCTTTCAATAGAAGGATACGCTACTCTGTGTTACATGCACAATACCTCAAAATGAACACTTCCACGAATTTGATCATTTTTTTCAATAAGTATTGGATAAATAACCTTTAAAAAATTAATTTAGAATAAAGTTATTAGTTAAAGCATAAAGATGCTTAAACTCAGTTAAAAGTACTGTAGTAAATATATGGCCAACTAAACAGCAACTCCCCAAAGTAGCAAATCCCATCGAACAAAACATATTTTATCAAATCACCCATTTTGAGCATCTAACATTATAGAAATAACCAGGCAGTAGTATACTAGTGTCTCCTTTTAACAAAATCTACACCTATGAAGTGACAACTGATTTCATATCATGAATTCCTTTTTGGGTACAGGTCCTTAATGGCCATGATACATTAGCCTAAAAGATCTGACCAAAGAAGACTCTCCTGAAAAATGGTAGCATTTTGAATTCCGTAGCCTCCAGACAGTCTGAGCGTCGAACAAATGAACAAACGAACAGATGAGCGCCTTCTAAGAGGTATCAACATTTTCCATGTTGCATTACTATAAACAATGCAAATAAATTCCCATCAAAAGCACATGTTCCAAAACTTACCACAGAGCAGCCACTGTAACCTCTTCAGGTATCTCTTAAGTACTTTAGCAACTATCTCCTCATAGTGTTCGAGCTCATGTGGCAGCAGCTGGAGGTGTTTGATTGTCCCTTTCACATTGATACTGGGGAACACATTGCACACTCTGAAAGACAATTAAATTATGAGTGTAAATTGTTTTGAAATGGACACTACATTATTGTGGAAAAGATAGAAGTTTACAAGTAAAAAGAGGCATTCAGTATGCCAGAACATCAAATGGTTAAATCAAAATTTGATTAAATTAAATGCTCTTAGAGGTTTCTGGGAAACCTATGTTAGAAAATACAAGTACATGTAGTTGTTTAAGCTATATGTATAATGCTGAATATCAAAATGACAATTGAAAATATTTTGGAAATTATACACAGTTTTACTCACTTGGCAGATACATTTTTATTGATTGACTTCACATGGTTGTCTACATGTTTACAATCTGGACCAGCTACCAGCTTGTTGAGGTCTAACTTCAGTTTACTCAGACTGTAGAGTTTCAACCACTGGAAGAACATTGGTAAAATAAAATATGAAGTGATATAAAAATATTGGATTCTTCAGTTCTACTGTATTCTGAAAAATCAATGATTTTATTTGTCCTAGAATGTCAGTTGTCGGTTAGATACTTACAGAAAATTAAATTGATCAGTTGTAAACCTTTATTTTTTTATTCACACACAAATATTGAGAGAGCATATTATGAAGCTGCTTGGCTTTAATTTGACATAGTTAAGGAGGGTTTCATTTGACTTAGGTAACAACTGACTTCAAGGGTATGAGCTTGGGTACAACCATACATACGTATGGGGCCAATAGAAAGATGACAGTACGATTTGTCTATGTATGTCTTCTGACACTGCCATCTTTCTATCATCTCAGTACCTACACGTATCACTTCAGCTTCCCCATGAACTGCATGTTAAATGGAAATGATAACTTACATCTTTAGTTGTCATCTGTTCCTCTTTAGATGGCAAATTGGGGTCTCTGATCTCCTTTCTGACTGTCTTCAATTTAGGGTATTTGTTAATCACACCACCTGGAATGTATGTACATGCCTGTAACTGAATTGAATTCATACCTCATGATCACATTCTTAGCAGGCCATTAGCCAGGTTTTGCCTTAGGGAACCCACTTTTCAAAAAAATATCAGGGGCGTTACCATTTGACAAATTTGTCCCAAAAACCACCTGAAACGTGCTTATGGTGAAAAACTGCATGATTTTGAAAGACTTGCCTTGAATTCCAAGCCCCCTGGCTACAAGCCTGAGCCTTCATCAGAAATTGACATATACAGTAATTTAAAGAACACAATGTTGCACAATATGTGAGGATCACATTCTTATTTTTTAATACATACCAACATTATTTTTGTCTTCAGTATAGAAGACTTGTTCTTTGACCTTTGGTTTGGTGATTTTAACTTTCTGCATGGGATCTTTGGCTGACTGAGGTCTTGGGCGGACAACGCCACGCACAACAGCAACTGAAAATATAAACATAATGTGAAAGTTGGTTGGGTGATCCATGACACGGGTATCCATGGAAACATCAGGTAACCATTGTAACTTCCCCAAGTTAGCAGACAGATCTGACCCAAGTGTGACCATTTATTCATTATATAATCCAAATGAATCTCCATTGGTTGAAAATAATTACTCAACTTAACATGACCCCAACTCCTAAGAATCCGGGGTTAGCTATCCCTTAATGACTTGGACCATAAAATGATAGATGATGCATACCTTTACTAGAGTCCTTTGCACTCTCAGGTCTCCAGCCAATAGCTTTAACTGTGGTTTCTTCCACATCTCTAGTTTCATTCAGCTCCTGTAAAGTAATCAATGTTAATCTTCATGTTGCACATCCTTATAAAAGGTATCTCTAAACACAGTATGTAAATGAGTATGCATAATAATAATAATTTCAAAAAAATATTGAATTGCGAGAAAAATTATGCCCGTAGCCAGGGGGGACATGGGGATGGGTAACGAAAAATTCTTTGAAAATCATGCAGTTTTTCATAATTCTGAGCATTTTCCAAGTGATTTTGGGCCAAAGTTGTCAAATGAGAACCCCCCTTGAATTCTATGAAAAGTGAAACTCCTAGGGAAAAGCTGGCTATGGGGCTGACAATGTTACTTAGCAGAAAATGACATTAACAAACATTACAAAAATAAAAAAAACTTTGATACGTAAAAATATATGAGATAATTAAAATATAAGCATTGATTTTAACAGATTCAATTATAATCTACATGTATTTGTCAAATTCTTTATCCACACTGCCTTACCAGTCTTGCTATAGACAAAGCTGTCTGCTTGGGAGGGGGTAGGGCTTTGATTTTGTTACTAACACGTGAACTAGGGAGTGGACGGAGTTCTTCAAAATAGCGGTCATCCTGAAATAAATGTACAACATAACACAGTCCATGGTCAAAATAAAGCAGTAAAGCATAATAATATCTAAGATTTCCAAATCTAAGAAAAATAATATACTATTCTAGTAATCTACTGCTATAAAGATAAGCAAAAAGTCTTGCATCAAGGCCCGCATATTCCCTATTTTCCTTCTCAGGGTGAAGAAATCTGGGAATAAATAAGGTCTTATTATACAACACTTATAAGCAAATATTTATAGAATAAAATGATAATTAATTCCCAATGAATAAAACACATAAATGAGACAATGAGCGAAAAATGAGCTACATTTCGAGATACAATAAAGTTACAATTCTATAAAACATATCAAATAAATCTCATGGCACATAAATACAACTACATGTTTGTGCATGGCCAGATATAGACTCACTTTTGAATCAAATTAAAGAATACAATCACCCTGAAATATCTTCCATACATACAATTACAAAGATACATGTAGGTGGTTCGTGTCGAGAACACACAAGGGGGCTCAGTGGTGAAGATGGGAATGAGATGGAAAATGAAGAATTTCATTTCTCATAATATGATAAATACTGTGGGGTAATGACTACGAGCACATCTAAAGAAAAATGAACAAACTAAACATTTCTTACATAGCATTTCGGATATTTCTTCTTGACTTGTTCAACTAGCATAGAACATTTCCGGGAAAAGTTGATTGCTTTATCCACCTCATTGGTCAATGCTGTGATGTCATCACTTTCTATGATACCTGTAATGTACAAGTACGTTAACATTTCAAGTTTGTAGTTGTGTGTATTGATATTATAGACTCATTAAAACACATGGAATACTGAAGGTATTTTAGTAATAGAAGGCATTCTAGTACTACTAAGTTATTACATTATAACATTTAAATACAATGAATTTATTACATAGTTCATAGAGAGTTCATATAGTGTAAAACGTTGGATGCTATAATGCTTATGTTCACCTCATTATCATTGTTTATGACACAAACACACACAAATCACTATACAAGTATTTTACCTGTTTCTCTGAACCAATGGAACCTGCCACCAGTACAATGTGAAAGACTTCTCATCACTTCAGATGTCTTGGTGATGTTGGCATAGCGACCAGGGATGGCACCCTGAGCGTCATAGTCATCCACGTTGAACAGAACTGAGTGCACCTTGAGGGAGCGCCCGGCAGTGGCCTCCTCTACGTATGACACACATACGTCTGAAGGTTGGTCTGGGATTCCACTGGCAAACAGGTAGATTCCTTCAACCTCTGTAGTAAAATAAGTAATGAACTGAACAAATGTAGTCCTCAGATATATACATGTACTGAACAATGGAAGCAGAATACAATGTATAAACTTGTAACTTAAGTTAAAATGTATATATTATTGAATACAAGGCACGATCAGAAATGTTTACATCATCTGTGAAACTCATATGGAGTGAACAGCAGCAAAATGTATCATATAAGAAGCATTAAGAACTGTTCATGCACTAGAATGAGGTCACCAGGGTTCTCACCTATACCATGCTTTGCTTCCTCATCATTCTCCACAGCCAGCCTCAAGGCATCCATAAAGTTCCTGCTTCCCTCGCACTGCAGGTCAAGCACCCATCTGAAAACAGCAACAACATCGTTTCAAATGTTACATTTCCCATCTATAATAATCCTCAAATATAAATGCATTACTCATTTATTTAGTTTAGACTCCAGAATTATCCCCTTGACTTACTCATATACAATACTGTACAAGTTTTTCTCATTTCCCAATTATCCAAATCAGTTATATGTACATATCAATATAGACAGTACATCAATCTCAGCAATGTCTATTATGAGGTCATACGGTGTTGAGGTCTGAGTAATTACATATAGCTTCATTTACATATTAGTACATTTTATTGACTCACTTCCATGCTTGCTGGAGGTTCTCTGGGGTAGGCTTCATCATAGTCTGTTTCCAGTACCTTGCTGTACTACCAAATCTAAAATATAAGCAAAATATGTGGATTATGCTTCCAATAACCTACTACCCACTATTCACAACAGCAACTTCATGAAGTTGGAATTCCTAAATCTGTTGTTGGATATAATGATATCATAGTAGGAACATAATACTAGAAATCCATAACTTAATAGAGCAGTGATCTCCCCAGGATTTTTCCTCAAGTGGGTGCAAAATTTTCATTTTCACAATTCAGACCAAAATTGGTTAAAATATGCCAATTTTTCATGATTTTTCTCATTTTCAAGCGGGAGCAAATGGATTTTCAGGTGGGTGCAAGCCTATTTTCAAAATCTCATGTGGGTGCTGCGCCCACTTGCTTTAATGGCCCCAGTTTCAAAGATATTTCACCACATATCACACTCAATTTAGAATTAGGCAAAAAAATAAGGAAATAAAATATAAGACCTTATTTCTTTATTTTTCAAGACAAACCCAAAAAGTTGCAAAGAAATGTATTTGTTCATGGGACATGGGATTGTATATCTCTTACCCAATGAGATTAAAGTACTCTTTGTTGGCCAGCTGCTGCTCAAAGACAAGACGTAAAGAATGTTGGATGTGCACCAAGTAATTGAAGTTACTCTGAGACAAGTCTATCAGGATTATGATGCTGCAATAGAAAAGTACCAAATTGGTTTATAAAAGTGTTAATTGAAATACAGTAAAACCTGTCTTAATGAACACTTTTCTCTAGTGAACACCTGTGTCTATAGATGAACACCTATTTTCAACAAACACTCCACTGACTTTTGAACAAAATCGCCTCTCTGTAGTGAACACCTACCTACAGTGGACACATTTTTGTGGCTCCATGGATTCACTGTACACTGATTTAACTGTAATGTTTATTTGGTTGAATTTAGCTCCATAATGATTGGCAGTGTATGCTAAAGGTATATTATTGTCAATTCAATACTTATTTTGTATTTTACACTATATGACTGAAAAGGCAAACAGACTGAAGGTTCACTATACTACTGATCATAAAAGTTTTTATGCGTCTTACTTTTTCTCCGAAATAGTTCCAAATAGTTTCCTGCTATCAGTTGAGAGCCAATCAACGCGTCTCTCGTAGAGTTTCACAGTGGCACCTAGCTGTTTCTGGTACTCAAACAAACGAGCCATATCAACGTGAACATTGCGCACTGAGCCATCATGCCAAGTGAACTGAGCCATAGCTTTCTGAAATAAAAGAAGAAATATCACTGCAATTGTATCATGATTAAGGTATGGCAGTTGCTAGATTTAAAAAATTTGGCCTTTGGAAATTGAAACTGATGTAACATCTTATAGATATCTGACGTACCTCATGGATCTTTGATTGCACTGTGCGCCTAATAACAGGAATGAATTCCTCCTTGTAGGAATAGGCGTCAGGAGATAAGACCTGATAGAGGTCAAGCTTTCGAGCTGAAATATTACAATCATTTTAAGGTTTGATACATGTAAATCTTTTATATGTAGCATTTTATTTCATGAAGCTATACTGTATTTAATCTTAACTTTTAAAATTACAGACCAACATAATTAGAGATTATGTCACTATCGTTGCATATATGCCCGAGGGTTTCAGTGATATATGGCCCGACCTTGGGAGGGACATTGATCACTGGGAATCGAGGGCATATGTGCAACTATAGTTATATTGGCCCGCTCTCTTGTGAACAGTTTACACTATACTTCGTCATAGGTATGTTATAATATCTGTTGTATTATATTTTAAAGAATATTGTTTTTTTTGTTTGTTTTAAAATAGCATTAATAATACAATCAATCACTATAGTAAAATAAAACCAGTCTAAGTGAACACCTCACCCATAGTGAATTGGTTTCTGTATAAATAACCCTCTCTGTAGTGAACATCAACAACTCTGAACGCTTTTTTCATGGCAAAAAATGTTCAATCTAAACACTTTTTAAGCTTCTACCTTTAAGTCCATGTTTGGCTAGCCAATCTTGTGATGCATCTGCATGGAACTTGGGCATCTCTAGTCTCAGGGGGTTCATGTGTCCAGGGGGCCTGGGGAGGAACCTAGAGGCAGGGAGCTTAGATACCTCAGTAGAAATCTAAAACAAAATGATTTACTTGATATATTGAAATGATTCTATACATGTAAAACATGAAACACATACACAGGGAGATATGCCGAGTAATAATATAGTACTCATGGCATACTAGCACTAATTGAGTACTCATTTCAGTAAATATTAGTACTAAATGAGCACTAATGAAATGAGTACTGATTTAGTGCATGTTTTAGTAATTGGCATATCTCCCTGTGTACAGTATTGGGAGAATATTTCTGAGAACAAAATGATTCTCTAAGAAAAATAATATAAGTCTTTGTGTAAGAAAATGTTTCAAAAGTTTGCACGAAATGTTGGACGAATCTCACCTCATTCATGACGCTGATTAATGCATCTCCCAGCATGCCTTGCCTCATTTCTTTAATCTTATTGATGACTCCCTGAGCCTCAGAGATCTCCTTCAGGAGAAGGCTGATATCTGTCCCTGTATATATCTGCTCCTCACAGGTGGCTGTGTAGCAGTGGTAGCGACCATGAGATTCATCTGCTACATTTCTTAATGTCATCTGAAATACATGATCAATGTTTTACTTAGAATGGTCAATGTTTTTCTTAGAATGGTCAATGTTTTACTTAGAATGGTCAATGTTTTGCTTAGAATGGTCAATGTTTTCTTAGAATGGTCAATGTTTTTCTAAGAATGGTCAATGTTTTTCTTAAAATGGTCAGTGTTTTGCTTAGAATGGCCAATGTTTAGCTTAGAATGGTCAATGTTTGCTTAGACTGGTCAATGTTTTGCTTGGAATGGTCAATGTTTTGCTTAGAATAGTCAATGTTTTGCTTAGAATGGTCAATGTTTTCTAATGGTGGTCAAAGTTTTGTTAGAATGGTCAATGTTTGCTTAGAATGGTCAATTTTTTGCTCAGAATGGTCAATATTTTCTTTTGTTGGTCAAAGCTATAATGTATCATCATAATTAGGAAAGTGTAGGCTTATATTATTAACTTCTGTCCAGAGGATGTCCTACTGCATATTTAATAATGATAATAACATGGAGAATGGACATGTTTTCAAGAACACGCTATCATGTAATTGACTTTTGCACTAATTTTTGTATCAGCTGACATTCATATTTGGGATGACCAAATGCATAATGACTACACACTAAGCACTTACATTTGTGAGATGATTGCTTTGGTCATATGCCACTGTATGTAGAGGTCGATTGAGACCAGCTCCCATCTGGGATACATAGTCACATAAGATCTCAGAGCTCTGGTCTGGCCTAAAATCAACAACCAGGGTACACTTAAGTAATGCAGTAGAAATACTGATGATCAGGCATCAACACTCATATAATTTACAGTGATATTCAATTAATCAGTGACATTCAATTTGATTCAATTCAAGAAATTTAGAGATTATACACTTACTTGATAATTTAATTTTGTTTGTTACTTTCTAAATGGCTCATTAATATTGTCATTGATATCAAGTTGAATCTAATCTAATGAAAAAATTAAATTCTTGCTTTCTTTACTTACACACTTCCAAGTATAAGCACAATAGAGTTGATGTCCTTCATCTTGTAGACCTGCTTCATAGCTTTCATCAGGTTGCAGCCCCCAGTTGGCTGTAGGCGAGATACAAAGTCCTTAGCTTCATCCAAACTATGAACAGAGTGTTATAATAAAGGCCTTGTTTAAAGCAAACACAGATGGTCAATAACAACATGTTTTACTGTAGCAAAACCTGTCTTAGTGAACACCTCCCTCTAGTGAATACCTGTCCCTAGTGAACATCCTTCCTCTGAACAACCTCTACTCTCTATACACCCTCTATAATGAACACCTACTTAGAGTGAATTCTTTTGTGGCTTCATAGGTGTTCACTGTACACAGGTTTTACTGTACATACAATTTTAAAATGTTACACTTATATTTAACAATGTTTTCTATAAACAAAAATTCCCAGGGGTCATAATTGTACATGTTCAGATACAAGTTCTCTTAAATGTGTTATTTAATCTCCCTATAATTTGTCTATAAATATAATTCTAAACAAACCCTAAACCTTCAATTGAGATTAAAAAGTTGAAATAAAAGATTCTGATGCAATTATTAACTTAAACAGTCAAAGTGACACTTACATTCGACAGTTGACATCCCTGACATGATTCCATAGACATTTGATGTCAGAACCAAATGACATCAGGTAGAGCTTGTCTTTAGATGATAACTGCTCATCTATCAAGTGCTGAAATATGATACAATAAGTCAATGAAGAGTGCCGCAGACTGATATTAAACTGTATATGATATAGATTATCTTAGAAGAATGTGAATATTAGGATTGTCCTGATTATGTTTTACAAATACTGCCCAAGGACAGGTACACATTTGATAAGTATGCTGAGTAGAAAATTCTGCTACTGAAAATACAATGTTCCACTGTTTTGCAATTTCAAACACATCCAAGTGTGTGACAAAATGATACACTCTAATAACATGATTTTTGTAGAATATTATGAATACATGTCCCTTACCAGTAAAGATTCTTGGAAGGCTGTCAACCTGCCAAATCCACAATTAGCGTCTGATGTGTCAATACACACTGCTACTCTAGAACCTTTCACAAGACCAAACACCCTCTTGCTCCCTGCTAGCAGCCATTTGATTCTCTTTGTATACATTTCTATTGCACTGGAAGTATACAAGCAAAAGCATCAGTATTTTCTTTGCAACTATTATTAGTTAATTGTACATTTTTTATTAACTATTGTTGAAATTACTGTTTCTGTGTAAGCAACAGACATGGTAACAACTAAGTCATCCTTCAAATAAAGAACCAGGTACTACAATGCACTTACATATTCAGCTTGTATTCAAATTCAGTGATGTCCCCAGCCTCAAACGATAAGTGCTGTTTGGTGCTGCCATCTTTATGACTTGGTCTGAAACATAACAGTGCCAACTACTATAGAACCTGAAGCACAGAAGTACACCTGTACAAAAAAGCTTTCAGGAAGCAAATGTATTGACAAATGTATTTGATCTTAAAAATTAAATTTCATGACAGTGCAGTTCCAAAGGGAAACAGATATTAAGAAATTGTGATCTTAAGTTTGATTCAATGAACCTAAGTCGATGACAGTTCAATTATAACTACTTGTACTTACTTATGGACTTTGCTTTTGGCTATTAAATATCTGAGGGAAAGTTTCATGCCTTCTACACTGTGCTGGCCGAGCCATTCTGTAGAACTCTGGCCCTCAGAGAATGCAGCCTCCAACCCCTGGGAAGCCTAGATAGAAACAACAAGATTAAGGAAATTGTTATCCAAATTCACAAGCAATATGTAACTATATTTGAGGTAATTTTGAGCATTTTGTGATTTTGAGCATTAATGTTGAAAGAACATGGTTGTCTTTTAATTCCATCTCAAACATCACATTTGGTCAATCAGAATGTAACATGATATATTGGATAACAGCATTTATTCCATAATGACAAATTTTCCATGGGAAATAAACAGGGAATAGAATTGGTATTGAAAAATGGTTGGAAATTTGAATATCTGAAAAACAAAAAACAATTTCAAAAGTTCAATTTTTTTCTCAAAAATCTCTAAAATAACTTTTAAAGTCATGACAAATAGAAAATGAATGATAAAAACATATTTTCAAACTTCACATGGGGCTTTTAAGAAATATTATGAGTTCACTCACTGCCACAACAAAAACATGAGTGATGAAATGAAACATGCAATACTATAGACAAGTTGAAGGTAACTTTCTAACAAATGGTCACAATATTCTCTGACATGCCTTTTTCTGATCACACACATCCCTCTGATTCTATTACTGTATAAGAATTATTCATGCAAGAACAGGGACAGGAACATGAGGGATAAGTATCTGAAGAGGGGTCTACTCTAAACTAAGGGCAATGTGTATGCAGGTATGGCAAATCAAAAATAGTTCATGTACCTACCAATAGTCTATCGCTATATGGAGGCTTCTCGTAGACATTCTAATTTATCAAAAATATGAAAAATATCTTTATATATCCTCAAAGCAATGTACGTTGAACGAAAATCATATATAAATGAGAAATATGGTTGCAAACATAACAATAACAACCAATGTACATGTAGTAACTCATGAAATCAACTTTTTTGTTCTGAGTTACAGTATTCATATTGTAGACCAAGCCTGGAGTAGCTAAGGGGGTGGGGTTCAAAAGGCTTGGGCGAATACCCCCTCCTGGCCAAAAATTCTTTCAAAATCATGCAGTTTTCACATTTCTGAGCATTTTTCATGCACTTTTGGGCCAATTTTGTCAAAGTAAACCTCCCCTGGAATTTTTCTGAATAGTAAAGACCCCCTTGGCAGAAGTTGGGCCTGTAGACTGTCACTGTAAATGATGAACGGTTTGGTAATACTGACTTACCACAAGGGCCTTTGTTTGGTTTATGTGTGTTAATGTCATAGGATGTGGCACCTTAGAGTTGATTGTCTTAGGGTCCTGCCAGGCTGGCCTATCATCTATAGTGTTCCTAGATCTCTGTTTTAACTTAACCCTGCAATTAATACAGTAAAATATGTATTTAAGAATATGAAGTGAATTGTGCACTTTTTTTATGTCACATTTAGTCTAGATGGACTCAATGGCTCGTGTGTTAATGCATACTTATACTGTATGTGAGCCTTAAAAGAGCTGTCATCCTCAGTTAAAGCTCTACAAACAGGATTTTGTTCCATAAATTCCTAACAAATCATTGAGTTTGGGCTTTAATCACCTATTGACTAATTGGCAACCAACTTTTTCAAGGTCATTGTCAAGGGAAAAATTGAGTGTTTATCCATTAGAAGTTCCCTTTACCAATTCTGATTTTATAAATTATATATCAAATTATCTACTTTTTGATTATTTTCAACTTAAGTTAGAACAAAATAATTTTAATATGGGTAAAATTTTCCGTAATTTGTATGGGTCAACCAACCCTTTTGATTTAATGCAGAGAGGATCCTATATGTATATGCGCTATTAACTATTAGAAGAGATTAATAATTAGCCCGTTGTGAAGTGAAATGTTATCTCATTATGTATTCAGGGCATGCAATCTCTAGTGATTTTCTACAAATTAACAGAATTTATGAGATAAGTGAAACATAATAGAATTATCAGATCAAATGGTATTTGTTGCAATGGAGATGGGACAATTTCACAGTAATTCAATGCCATCAAATAAGAAATGTTTAAAACCTGGTCCTTGCCCAAATAATATATGCATAATTCAATTAAACCAGTACTCGCCAAAATAAAGTATGTATAATTTAATTTAACACTCTGAACTTATAAACGGCAAAACATGGATGTGCATTACTAAAGTTCCTGGTTTATTATCCATTCAAAACTATGTGTATTTCAACAAATAAATCAATAATTTGGGTTCTTCATTCACACATGACCTTATCTTCTTTTTAATTAATCATGTATGAATATATATGGGGTTAAGCATCAGTATCAAATGCAGCACCTGATAAGCTGTAAAATTACTATACCAAGCTGTTTGCCAAAGTAGGAGTACATAAAGGCTTTAAATGCAACAAAAGTAAATACCTTTCAGTATCTGTATCTTCTTCTTCTTCTTCTTCATCTTCATCCTCATCGTCATCTTCTTCACTCTCATCACCTGCTTGCATCTTCATCCTGCATTCATGGCATATAGGAAATAAAAACTACATGTAAGAGTCTAGACAATAAGTTGGAAGAATTCTTATTCAAATACATGTAGTCAGAAAGGAATACAGTATCAAACATGTTTACTTCAAAATGTTCCAATTATGATATAATGGTTACCATAACAACACACACTTCATTAAGGGTACACTTTATCATACGATTTGATATATAGTGTCGTAGCCAGGATTTGGTGACCAGGGGTTCAATTTTTTATATTATCCACAAATCTCTACCTTCATTGGGGTCCCAATTTTCTTACATACAATTTACACCCCCTCCAAAAGTGTGTCAACCATAAACTCCCCCATGGAGTGTTTAAGCCTCCTTATGTTTGAAATATTATTTGTATAATATGTACAGTGTAAAGGAAAAAACTGTTTTTAGTGCTGGAGAAAATACATTGACATCATGTCCGATACCTCCATATTGTTTTCGCAAAATACAATTGAATTTGAAGTTAGACAATTTGATTTTCTATGTTAAAATAGTTTTTGGTGAATCTTTTACTGAATAGATATCCTGAAATCTGAAGGCAAGGTCATGATTTTAATATTACATTTGTTTAATGAAATCCAAATCAAGAGTTAACATATACATGTATTGAGCTAAGTTTAAGGGCAAATCCTAACACATCTTTAAGGAGCATATGCATCTTTTTAAAACGAGCTACTTTAGGGAGAAATCCTCATTTCTAATTTATTGAAATAGACTTAAGAGTTCACACAAAGATATGTCAAATTCTGAAATATGCAATTCCCACAATTTAATAATGAGATTATGATTTTTCTAAGAAACTCCAAATCAAAAGATTTTATTTGGTATTTCATTTTATAATAGAGGAGTGTCCAATCATAATGACCTTATAAACTTACATTTAGTTACCGAGTTGAAGAATAATTAATAGCAAATATAAATGGAATATTTATTTAATCATGGCGCACAAAAAAGTCTTTATGGCTACGTGAATACTCTCTGACGATAGAAGTGACAAATGATAATTTTAGTAATGTAATAAAATGGAACATACGTAGGCTGAAATTAAATTCCAAAACGACCAAATTGAAATAACACAATACCTATTGTACTCCGTAGGCTCTAAAATTAAACCTTTTTCAAATTGCAATGCCTTACAACAAAGAACACCTACTGTACTGTAGTGCTGAAAATACCCATTAGTTCTTTCTTTGAATTGAAATTAAAATTCAAAATTTGATTCCCAGTACAGGTGACCCCAAAAATGTCACCCCCTTAATTTGGGAATAACTATATCAACATTTTGAAGGACCTTTCATGATTTTTTGTGTAGATAAAGAGCTCGATGCTTAAATCATTGGGATTTACCTAATAAGCAGTCAGTGCATCATATTTGACAAGATTGTTGATTAAAGGGTAAATTTTACATACTATTGATAATATGTATGAAAGCAATCCAGAAATGGCTCAAATAATGGCGACAGAAATCCCAATTTCAGAAAATTGCATGCATTTTCTTCATTTTTGGACAATATCACCAGACCATACCTGAATGGAAAGTGTGATCATTTTAAAACTTGGAATCTAAACAGTCTATCTACGCAGATAAATTAAAAAATCATATTTGAGTTTATACTAAAATGAGAGGATAATTTTTCTGGGTCAACCTGTATATGGAGGGGTATACGTGAATTAGGAAGCACGCACATTACAAATGTTCATTGAAATTTAGCAAAAGTAGAACTCCTTTGAGAAATCTTGGCTACAGCCTGAGTATAGCAGTCACATCCGACTGTTTTTTAAAGGCTGATTGTAGACACTGAAGCTTGCATTTGTCTAAACTGTAATCGTATAATATGTTTTAATATAATTTCGCATTTTAATTCCATCAAAGTTTTAATATAAAAGAAATCGAAGTGATGGATAATAAATGCTATACCCATTCAAATGCTTGTGTTTATAAATGATACATACATGTGTGCTTTTTATAATAACTAATTTCAAAATGTTTCTATTATTTGATATTTACTCTTGGGGACTAATCAGCTCCGGGCAAGAATTTTTTTGTTTGAAATAAAACAAAACGAAGGCGCACTGATTTGAAAGAAAATGTGTTTTCATCAGTATTAAGACAATAAGTAGCTGTTTTTATGTTAAAATAAAAAATAACAAATTTTATGTTAAATTGATTGAACAAATTTATTTATAATTATAGGAACAATTTTCAGTGGCTTGAAAAAGATTTAAAGAATAAATCGAAATATTGCAAAATGTAAATCAATTTGTTAGTATTAAGACAGTTGGTTTATTTCACCGGATATGAAGCAGCTTTTAAGTTGTGTGAAATTATTGTAATTTCTTTGCATTATGTCATGATGATCTGGGGTCTTCCCAATATTAGACAATCCCAACCCGTGCCTAAGGTTGCCAAACTTTTGGAGAGAAGTGTACAACTTTATTATGTTTTTATTTACTGGTCATATAAATTGAATTTAATGTTTCTGGTTTTCCACAAATATTCTTTTGGGAAACCCTGACCGGGGGTTCGTTCGAACCCATCGAACCCCCGGTCCCTACGGCTATGTATTAAGGTCAGGATATTAGGAACACGAACACCCAGATCCCATTCTTTAATAAGTACCAGCTTGGACATTGTAGAGAATGTACAATAAACTTGATGGGCCTTTTGTAAGTTCCCTATATTCTCTTCTATTACACATCAGCTCTTAGTGCAGAATTTCATTCTGTGTTTTCATTAACCAATAGTCTTTACAATATAATATATACTGATACTGACCTGTTCATAGCTTCCGCTAGTCTTTTTTCTGAGGCTGCTCTGTTTCCTCCACTCCCATGCTGTGCATGCTTGCGCTGAATGCTCCCACTCCCCGTATGTCCTTGCTTTGGTTGGCGATTTTTAGATTGACTACTGGGATGGCCACTTTTGGGTCGAACTAGGGATTGTTTACTGCCAGAGGATCTACTCCTAGTAAAACATAAAGGTAAATATGTTACTACAGAAAAGGACCCAACAGCTGCATCATCTACATCTATTTGGGACTCAAAAGTTTCAGTCATCTTCTTTCGTTCCTAAAGAACATGTAATTGATAAACTTAATCAAGAGTAATAGTATACTGTTCTTAAAATTGCATCTTTCTTTCAAATTCAGATGTTTAAACCTAGATTAGGTTCAGTTCTTTGGTTAGGAGTATTTTGAACATATACAATGTTGAGCGAAGCAAAAAACGAGCGTTTAGGGGGTCTGGGAGGTTCTCCCCCAGGAAAATTTTGGAATTTGGTTGTATTTGGAGCGAATTTGCAACAATCTGATACGCCTATGTGCACATATGTTAGTCATTTCCAACTACATGTATATTAAGATGGTGTTGCAATCTATGATTATACGAGAATTCAAGTATATAACAAGGCCATCATGCCTGCCTTTATATACCGAATCATGACAGTTGATCTATGTGCATTAGAGGTCATTACGATCCTGTGATTCTAAAGTAGTTATTTACTGCTTTACTATCCGTGAACGATAACCTTAAGAATTATGAGGTACATGTTAGACTGTATCCTTCGTCTGAATAAATATTCAGACTGTAAGTCACCTATTGTAAAATGTGGTGTTGTATAAATGTTACAAATAAGTTTGTTTAATGATAGAATGATTACCTTATAAAGAACTCACAATATTATTTTTTCGTATATTGTCCTCTTACTGAAGATATTCATAAAATGTACAGACGCTTCTTGTAGCGAAGCCATTGATTAGGTCAAGCCATTTTGGCAATGCCAATTCTCACGATAAACGAGATTTAGCCAGTGACGTCAGTCTATTTGTAAACAAATAACACGTGGAGCGGGAGCAACATTACGGAAGCGTATTGCTAAATTCCATTTGTGCGGGAATTTATTAGATCTAGTCATTTATTATCATTATCCCGATTAATTTTCTTCATTTATAGTAAATAGAGCGGAAATATTCATGAAGAAGGCCGAGGTAATCAAGTGGTCATGTGTTGTCAAAGTTCAAAATTTGCATATCTCGTTTGGATCTCGTGAACTCAAACGTCCTTGACATTGATTTCGCGATCTACTTATGAACACATCCTGAAGTTTCGGTGAGTCTGAACATTTCATTATTTTATATCACCTTGTACCCGCCTTATACAAATATTTTTGCTTCTAGTTTAAGATGAACATCTCTTCAACATATTCACCAATTTTCAAGGTGAACATTCTTATAATAAACGAGAAATTAATGTGCAAAAAATATCACCGCGATTTCCACAGGAAATATATCAATCATAACAGACCGAATATTATATTCGGTCTGTTGGATACATACTAAGGTACATGTACCATGAAGTATTTTCTTGGTTTCTGAATCAGACTTTAATGAGAAAACCAATCTCTTTTGAACTTCCTAAACAACCAAATATGGAAATTGAATGCTTGTACTTATCGTATATAAAAGCATGACATTGACAACCCACAAAAATGTGAACTAAATTAGTGAAATTAAAAATTAATGTCCGGTTGTTGGTAATTTCTATACCAGCCTGCTCAATTCTGTACCGAACTGGTATCACCTTACTTCCTACGAAAGGAGGAATAAAGCATTGATTAGAATGGTGAAATAGAACCGAAACTTTACATCATGATCATGTAAGACTTATCACAGAAAACCACCAAGATATTCACAGATCACGATGATGGTGTTGATGACATTGATGATTGATCATCATTCATATTTTTGACATAAGAAGAAATACAAATTTGTCTTACTTAGTGCGCTCTTGCTCCTCTTCTTCTCCTACTTTATATTTGGACAGATACATTGTATACAACTAACGTTTCTTATACCTTTATGGATACATTTTTAAAGCAATATTGGAATGTGAATCAAGGAATAAATCAAGAAAAGTTTTCAAATGTTTGTGTTGTCAATTATTACGGAGTGAATATTCTGACTATTTTCATTGGGGGAAGCTTTAAAATCATCATTTATCTTATGCTACGGACATTTACAGATTTTTGAATTACATATTGAAAACAACGGTAAATTTTTCTATCGCTTCGTAAAGTTGTATAATCTACGTTATTTATAATATAGAAAAATCAATTAGTAACTATATGTGGCGCGTCACGCTGAAATTGAAAAAAAATATTTGGACTTCTCCACAGCGTGTATTACAAAATAAGAGGTAAATATGAATAATATTCCAATTTAAAAGTGAAAAGAGAAATGAAGTTATGCTATATTATCGACCTGTTACTTTTTATCACGTTAACTGACACTAATGTTCATAGAAAAGCGAAAAAGACAAAATTCATTTCGAATTTATCATGGGTCTGGGTGATAATAGATATTATAAGGGTAACTTCATGACTCAAGATTGCAGTTAGAAATACCATTGAGGACCATTATAACGTTTCATTTCATAATATATTCATGGGCACATATTTAGCTCAGCGAAACAGTGCCTAGTGTTCATCGCATCCTTGTCTAGCTTGCCGTTACCTGATAATGATTCGGTGACCACACCATTTTTGAGATAACTGAATCTGGAGAGAGCTACCACTGAAAAGCTACCTGTTTCAGAAAATTATTCTGCTCTACATAGTCTTGAAAATCATTCCGCCATCTCTAAAAATTCAGTTTCTATCCAAACTTGTAAATCTTTCCTGATAAAGTACATATTGTACCCTATCGAGAATAAACCTTGATTCATTTATCAAACACTAGATGGCGCTGGGCTGCTTTTTTATACAGGAAACCAAATAACCAATGGTAACCGCTAGTATCCCTACTCCGAACTATATTCATAGCCATCTGTTTAAAATACTGAAGATTGTGATTGGCCAATTAAAAAGTATAGTAATTTGATTGGCCTGTTTATGTGACAGCCTCAGTGGTGCAGGGTTACTTAGGTCCAAAGCCTTTTCTATATTCTGGCTTTGAGTGATTGTTTACAGCCGCCCTGATATTTAATATTTGTAAATCATGGTGACACACGCACAGTTGTTATGGCACAGTTATATGAAACATACCTTTAATTATGTACACATTTGCAGAATATCAGCTGTACAGTAAAATTTTAAATGTTTTGAACAACTTTGAATCCAATAAATAAGCAATTAAGGACCATATTGAAACAGAATACTAGTTTGTAAAAATAGAAACATTTATACATGTCCTAACTTTTGTATATTTTAGTTTGTTTTGTAGTTTAGCTATCATAACTGTGGCCTTTTATATTTTGATGCTTTTGTGCCATGTTATTTTCGAAAAAATTAACATGGCTGAAACTCCCTAAATTACAAAAGGACACAGCTTTGCTGCACATTATATTTAATTATCTGAAATATACAAAAGTTAGGACTTGTACATACGTTTCCATTTTTTTCATGTACTGTTGCAATATAGTCATTTGATTGCTTATTTTTTAAATTCAAAGTAGTTCCAAACATTTAAAATTTTACTGTAATCGATTGTTATTATCACGTGCAAGGACTATAGTTGAATTCAGGTCACCATATCGATACCTGTCCTTTAACATGGAAAAGTTTAAAAGGCCCTAAAAACAGGAGATTTTGTGAAAACAACTGGTGAAAATTGCCTGTTGCCTGCTGCTAGTGAAACCCCAGTCAGCGCCGAGGAATAAACCCTGGGAAGAAACATGAAATATGTCGCAATTTTCCTCAACTGCTCAAATTTATAATCTAGTAAAACAAAATGTTCATTTATCCATTTATTCATGCATTTTTTATTTGGTATTTCCCCGAATTTTCATTTGGTATTTTAATCTGAGACTAACATAAAATTCATCTTCTGAGTCTGTTACATGAACCTAAAAATTAAGAAATCTAAAGACTATCGTGCAATAATATATAGAAAAATATATTCATATTGCACACAAATGACATTTGTATATCTTGGATTGCTTGTGAATAGGCTTATAGTCTGTAACTTCTTATATTTTGATGTTTCTCTGCCATGTTAATTCTGAAAAAATGACATGGGAGATAAACCTCAACTTACAAGAGGACATAGGCTTATAGCACTGAATACTAAACAATTTGAAATATATGAACAGTGATCTCCCCAGCATTAAAGCATTAACGATTTTGAGAATATGCTTGCAATCCCACTTAAAGATCCATTTGCACCCAATTGAAATTGAGAAAAATCATGAAAAATTAGCATATTTTGACCAATTTTAGTCTGAATTGTGAAAATGAGAATTTTGCCCCAACCTGAGAAATGTCATTTGTGTACAGTATGAATATATATTTTCCATATATTATTGCACATTAATCTTTAGATTTCTTATTTTTTAGGTTCAGATCGCTGGACTTGACCGCTATGTACCCAATAATGTGAGCCTGATTTGCGTTTATTCTTAGAAAATCAGGATCCCAAATATTAATGCTGTTCTAGTTTTGCATTTCCAACCAAGCTAGCATGAATCTAAGATGAAAATTTAAACTATATTGGCAGTTTCCTTTCAAATTTTGACTCCTCCTGCACATTGTCTACTCAGTTTTGCACTGTGAAAGAGTGCAATAATTAGAGGTGTCACGGATACTCGATTTTGTATTGTTCCGTAGAATTTGGCTCTCGGGTCGGAACACGGAACGATTATTCAACACTTCGGTTCGGTTTCGGAACAAGAAAATCGTACCTTCACGAAAAATGAGATTTTATCCTCTGGATAGTTAGGAAAAGGACTATTATAAAACATCAAGAGGTCCATTCGGAAAATACCCTTTAGCTCTTGGTTTCAATAATACTACCAGACTAAGTTATGATGAAATCATATGTAAATATTATCGAGTCACCTTATTATGACATAAGAAAGTAAAAAAGAAAATGTATATTTTAGAATATATTTTTACCTTTACTCCTAGATTATTTATTGGTTACAATAAGATAGGAGTGAAGGTTACCTAGAAATTATATACCATTTCCATGGAGTAGGTTATTGTCCCACTGAACAAAGTGGGATAGGGAAAAAGCCTCTCGTCCATTCGCCCAACCAACCATTCTTTCCTTTGTGTATCTAATACTGGTTGATGGATTATGTCCAAATTTCATAGGCTGCCCATGGCTCTTTGCTCAAGAAGGAATTTTCAATATGTCCTCTCATTTCAAAATGGCAGACATTTTTCATGAAAAATGTAATGGTTGATATCTCAAATACCAGTTTAAATGTTGAGGTATTTCAGGGTCAGAAAAGGGTACTAAACCACTACCAAATATGGCATTCTAATATAATATCAATTTTTTTTATTTTCAGGATGTAAAACTACAGAATCTCATTACAAATCTCCTTCAAGAATCTCATTCATCAATAGATCTGACATCTACCGATAGATATGAAGCATGTAAAAGTAAACATCCGCTAAATGTATTGTTTATTGAATCTCAAACATAAGTTTTACTCCTTATAGTCATTTGGTGACTTACAATTTTTTTTATGAAAACTGCACTGGAATAATTGACTGATAAACTAGAACTCCCACCAAGAATTAAGATAGGATAGAAAGTTGGGAGCATCATGGTATGACAAAAGAAAATAGCTGATATATTACACTCGATAAATAAGAACACTATACTGAGAAGCATAACATACAAGAGTACTATATAATAGGAATGACAAAATAGAACAGGTTGGTGCTAGAGGATTGCCTTTAATGGGACAACAGCTGAAAGCAAAAAGTGAGTTTTGCTTCTTTTATTATAATTATTAATTAAAAGTTGTATATAGTTACATGGTAGGTACTATATTCCGATTACTGTAGGGCCATATCAGTGCACATATCAAAATAATTTGTTTTAGAATGTATTACTTTCTCTTTTGTAGAACATTTAAGATTAGTGTTAAATTGATCCAATAGATGTTTTAATTATTAACAAATAACGATCATTGACCTTTATTAGTTAGTTTGGAGCTGAGTAAAGGTTGAGATTCTAATGACAGTTTTTTGTTAACTAATTTTTGATTTTGGAGAAACTGCACGGATACCTAGACTGATATTTACCACATGAATAATTATTATCAAGCAGCACCCTACAGAGTGACCATATTTCACAACATATGTTTGAATCAGAATTGTTGGAATCTGTTACCTTAGTCATTTGATTTACTCAACTTATATTAGGCCACCCTTCTATTATTAGAACACGTCTATACAATTAATTAGCAAGCACTTTCTCTGATCGATGAAACCTCCACAACCTTTGAACCTGATTTTAAAAAGGTAAATTGTGAAATATTTAAATTGGTAAATTGTGAAATATTTAAATTGGTAAATTGTGAAATATTTAAAACATATACATACTCTATGAAATTTTCATATTGAACATGACATATGTTACAACGTGCATTACCCATTCAAGCATATTTTAAATTATAGGAACCAAACCAAGTGCAGTGTAGATGACCATAAACGAACTGAAATATGACAGAAATATCACGAGTTAAACGAATGCTGATCTTCACAGCTGGGTTTATTGAGGCTTTACTATTCGCTGGTTGTATATTTGGCTGGTCATCTTTGCTGTTTGTCTTGAAGGAAGATGGGATTTACAGCAACCTCTGCAATGCAGTTGATGCAACAATAAACAATGGCACACAGGTACAGTCAGGCAGACATCAAAGAGGATTGGTTCCCAGAGTGCAACATCGATATTCTGTCCCATATATGGAAATGTCGTGATTCAAAATTTGAATTCAAACAGCCACCATTTTGTTCACTTCAACATTTGAATCATGAATTCTTTTCTTATTCCTAATCGAAAAATTCCAAAACTCACCAGAAATGATCGAGATATCGGTTCAAACCTTTTGGACTGTTTATTTTGAATTTATAGTCGGTAATAATTTCAGAGAATAATGACATTTCGACGTTTTCATTGTTGGAAAATATTGATAGTCGATCTTGGGAGCAAATCCTCCTTGCAGACATGAAATACACTATCATTTCAAACTCACTTTTGGGATTAGTTATTTGTTCATGTATGTTCAAGTTCAAACCATGCATTAACTTACTCACTTCGAGAGCCATGTTAGATTTTGAAACTTATGGCTCTCAAACGGAGAAGTGAACAGCTGATCAATAGTGACCTTTGAAATCGAATTAAGTCGATCCGCGGCTTACTTTTGGTCTCTAACTGTGTCTTACATCAGTATCATCAATCCGTGTAAGTATTGGAGCGCTGGGATACTTCTTTTTCGATCAAGACTTGTAAATTGTTCATCGAGTGAAAGTTTTTTAGACCTGTTTCCAATATGGCGGTTTGCTAGGTGCGAGATACGCAACGAACGAAATGAATTTTGAGAATTAGTTAGGTTCGGACAACCTCCGGAGATTTACGAAAATGTCCGAGCAGAAACCGCCATATTGGAATTTGGCAGTAAAACGATTCACTCGACTAACAATTACAAGTCTTGATCGAAAAAGAAGTACTCCAGCGCTCCAATACTTACACGGATTGATGATACTGATGTAAGACACAGTTAGAGACCAAAAGTAAGCCGCGGATCGACTTAATTCGATTTCAAAGGTCACGATCATTGAGCTGTCCAAATGCTCCGTTGGAAAGCTATTATATCAAAATCCAAATAGCTTTCGCAGGAAGTAAGCATTAACTATTCAATATTGAACATTCATGTATTTATTTGAGCCTCAAATCTTGCTAAATAAATTTTATTCAATTTTTAAAATTAATATATTTTAAAATTATTTCTAGTCATTGATCTACAATGGGGAAATCCAACTATATGGATAACAAATATTCAATATTTAGCATTTTGATGATATACTCAATTCATCTACATGTATTAAACCTTATTATTGAAATCAAGCCAATATTCAGTTTTGAGCATGGTGAACATTTACATTTCACATGAGTAAACTGTATTTTTTAGTCATTGAACTACACTGAAGAAGTTGTAGTGGATGTTGGTGTAGTAGAGCTAAACCCTAACAGTACCATCCAAGTGGACATTCCACTGCCAGGGAGTACTGCGGCAACTGAGGTGCTACAGCATGTGCCTCCACATCAACATAAGTACCCCACCTGTGCAGAGCAAGATTCTATGCTGGCCCTTGTGTTCACCATCGCCAACTTGTGTTTCACCCTCTATAACCCTTTAATCGGGACCATCTTTGACAAGTTTGGCACTAGACTGAGCAGACTCATGGCGAGGTAAACAATAATTGTGTTTTAATGTATTGATTCAAAGATGAAGGAGCAAAACAAAGGATGAGTGCTTTGAAAAACATTATAAATCCTTGAACAAAAGACCATAAAACAAAGCTGACATAATGTATGGCATTGTTATTCCTCTGTCACATTTGATCTACATTTGACAACCATACAGTGGCTGTAGCTTCCCAAAATTAAGATATATATGCAGCATAAAATATAGTGATAAGCAGTGCGATGTAGATTTTCTATATCGAGTTTCTGAGGCTATGGCCACCATAGAGCAAATGTGACTGAAACTTTAGTTAGCAGTGCCTGAACAATTTTGGTACCTTTTGATATTAACTATGCAAACCAACTGTCAGATTCTGTCATCTCGGTATTATGTGTCAGACATAATGAGTCATATGTGTATTGTGTGTCAAAGATGTATTATGTGATATCATGTATTATGTGTCAAATGTGTATTATGTGTCAAATATGTGCCATATGTCACATCAAACATGTATCATGTGTTCTTGCTTTTTAGCACATTGCTGATATCTGGTGGCATATTCTTGGCGTTCACAACTACAGGTCAGTGAATAAACTAAACTCACATGATTTATATGTATGATTAAAATGGAAAGAGACACTTAGTATTTCCATATACATTTTATGGAATCATATTCGGAAAATAAGTTTTTTGTTTATTTACATTAGTGGATGGATTTATTTCATTCACCCATTTTTCATTGCTATATAAATTAATGTAATAAAATATGAGTCCATTTATGGGGGTCCACTTTTGTAACTTGACATATTTTCTAAAATGACCACCAAAAATTGGCATTCACAACTACAGGTCAGTGAATAAATTAAACTCACATGATTTATATGTATGATTAAAATGGAAAGAGACACTTAGTATTTCCATATACATTTTATGGAATCATATTCGGAAAATAAGTTTTTTGTTTATTTACATTAGTGGATGGATTTATTTCATTCACCCATTTTTCATTGCTATATAAATTAATGTAATAAAATATGAGTCCATTTATGGGGGTCCACTTTTGTAACTTGACATATTTTCTAAAATGACCACCAAAAATTGGCATTCACAACTACAGGTCAGTGAATAAATTAAACTCACGTGATTTATATGTATGATTAAAATGGAAAGAGACACTTAGTATTTCCATATACATTTTATGGAATCATACTCGGAAAATAAGTTTTCGTTTAAAAAATTATAAAGACAAATTAAAAAATATGCATACCAATTTATTAGTATTTGAGCCCACTAAATGGTCAGGTGCCATGTTCTATTTGCAGATATACCTCATCTGATTTTCCCCGGCATGTCTCTGTTTGCTATGGGAGGTATGCAGTTGTATGTCTCAAATCTACAGGTATGTTTTCATTTATAGGGTATGATGGTTTATTTTATTTTATTATTTGTTTATAAGGATAAAACTCACAATACAACAGAGAGAATACTAAAACAGTGGAGTACTAGTAACACCTAGATTCAATCACTACCAGAGAATGAGTTATTTGTCCTATGATATTTATAGATGTTTTCATGAGATGTGATATTGTCAAGTGGTCAAGTTTATGTTTTGATAAATATCACAAAAGGCAAAATTACAAGAGCACAATATTATGATCTATTAATTTTATAGAATAACTTTTTACAACATTTTACAATTTGGTAAGATATAAAGGTATAATGATACACTGGTATACTACTCTGTAAAGTTCGTAGCTAAGGAATACCACTACAGCTGCAATAAGCTTATACGCCAATGATGATCACAATGGTAGCTGCACTTGACTATTGATGCCTGTCACGGTAAGCTTCATTCTGGTGATGGCGAACATCAATAAATCTGCACTCTGATAATGATCAATGTCTCGGTTCGCTGCACTTCGGTAATAACTATCACCACGATAGTTACACTCTGGTAATAACAATCACCACTATAGCTGCACTCTGATAATGGTGAATGTCAAGCTAAGCTGCACTCTATGGTGATACGATAACTACGATAGCTGTACTCTGATAAGGGTGAATGTCAGAATTATTGTACTAAGAAATAATGAATGTCACAATACAGTTACATTTGCACTTGTACTCAGGTATTACTGAACATCACGAGTAACACTTAGATAACGATGGACATCACACAATTGTACTTTTGGATGATGAACATCACACCACACCACGTGGACGTTGTTAGTGACTTTACATTTGTAAGTCTATCCCACAAAAACTATAAATAAAACAAAGGACAATACTTCCAAGAAGTTGCTTTTCAGTTTACAAAATGATTCAAAAATGATAGCAAGGAGAAGGAAAGTACGATCTTATACAAATTGGTAACTAAGATAAAAACGTCATGTTTACCAAGAAAATATGATGTGTCCAATTATAATGTATAAATGATATTATAAATAAGATAAATAGATAATATAGAACTTGAAACAAAGATAAATATGTAAATACCTGGTATGTGTACCATTGTAGCAATAGAAGGCCACATGTAAATCACTCCTTACAGAACATAACCTGTACGGAACATAACTAGACGACACATTTAGGACGCACAACAGATAAACGTGATAAATGAATGCAAATGTATTTATATGAGTAAACAGTGAGTGAAACCGTGAATGAAATACTAAGGAAATGGAATGATGCCAAATGGTTTCTATACTAATGAATGCTACATGTAGAGTACATTATATTGAATGATATAACTCGCGTTTGAGTAAACGCTAACCATACTTTAGTAACACCTAGATCCAATCACTACCAGAGAATAAGCTATTTGTCCTATGATTATAGATGTTTTCATGAGATGTCATATCATGCGTGACCTTTCATGCAGTAACTATAATGTGTGCAGAATGATGATACAGATGTGATAACTGACTTAGACATCTCTTTTCATTTTACTTTCAAGAAGGTTACTAGTACCATCATTTCTAGAAGTCCACTTGCAAATGTGACATATGTTTCAGATTGGCAGCATGTTTGGGAAGAGGCAGTCTACAGTTGTGACAATATATAGTGGTTCTTTTGATACATCATCTGTAGGATTTCTGCTTGTTAAGGTAATTGTGCATAAAGGATAAGAACTCATTAATGAATTCTAGCTGCCATGTAAATTTGACTTCAAAATTACTAATCCAGCAAGACTTCTTTTTATTTCAAAGTGTTATAACATGATAAATCACAACCATTATTTTCCAATAGCCTATAATAGGGTATATTGCATAATACCAATTTACCTTTGTGCCAAAAGTTAAAATGCGATTGCACTTGTCAAATTGAATGGAAATTCCGGTAACTTATGTATTTTGTATAACACATTAAATCTGCGCATTAAATTTCTGTTTTTTGTCATTTACATCATTAATTTGTAGTAGCATTTGGATTTCGCGTTTTGTGCCCATCACAAATTATGCATGTATTAATTTAATTAATTTCCGCAGTTATTGTCTGATAACATATTGGACTCGGGCCAATAAAAACTAATTTCTACGAATTGGGCTTTGTTAATAATAAGGTTACCTTTGTTTTTGTGTTTTACGCAAATTAATCATGCACGCAAATACATTGTGTTATTCGGTAAATATTTATTTCCAGATTGCATATGACAATGGTATATCTCGTCAACATTCCATGTATTTCTACACTTCATTGGTTGCAATTGTTCTACTTAACACATTCCTCTTGATGCCAAAGTTTAAAGTATTTACAGATGAGAAACAAACAAAGGGTAGGTCAGGTGTCTCATAAAAACAGACCGGGCAAAACGAACATTGTTTTGGAAAGATATAAAGTTGCTATATTTTTCCGCCATTTCTAATTTTAAGTCATCTTTAGGAGTGAAGGCTTATTGTTATAGTGTCCAACTTTTTTTGTGGTGGCAATTGTTGTTTGGCATGAGTGTAACAAATGGCAGGTGGTGGCATTTTTGCATGTTAATGCCTCATTTATCAGTGTTTTTATTTAGCATAATTTAGAATACAGGGTATCTACTACCAATCGCCATCATGCATTGTATGTAGCCTTCAAGGTAAATAAAGGAACAATATAAAACATTATTGATGGCTTTTGATTGTTATTTGGGAGGGCTTGGGTTTGTAGAGAGTGCTTGAAAATAAAGAGCCACCAAACTGTAGCCTGAATTCTCTTAGAAAGCATGTAGCTACATATTTTCATTTTCAACTTTAGATTTGCACATCATTATCATCTATCAGACAAAAAGTATCCGAAATCTCATAATTTTGAAACAGGATTATTACTGGTGATATTTACAATATCAAAATCTGAAATGATATGAATCTTTGTGTGTTGTAGTATTTATTTCTAAATTTCGATTTCAGGAGAGCAACTTGAGAATGGGGAGGAGATGAAAACACTAAGATCTCAAAACACAATCGATGAAAAAAATGATGCAAAAACTGACATTCAAGCTGATAATGAAGATAAATCTGACCAAAACTCACACCTTGCGGCTGATAATCATACAGATCTTCAAGAGGATCACATTGTGAAGGGAAATGAATCTATTAAACCGATAAAGAGATATGTGTTCAGTTTGCTATATATGTTTCACATTATATGGATTACTATAGGCCAGTTAAGGTTTATATTTCTGGTTGGCAGCATGAATGCTTTGCTGAATGTCCGAGCCAATGGAGACCATGAGACAGGTAAGTGTTAAGGATGGCCCAGTGGGATCATTTTTAGGGCTGTCTTCGCAGGACTTATGTATGCAAGTCTGATTACTCATCTTACTTCAGGCTACCTTAACTCCAGTTTTAATATTAATTTGATATTTTTTAATATAAAGATACCAGTTAAATGTGTAGACCAATGGCATGGTGTCTATATGTGTAATTACAACCAGGTCTTAACTTGGATATGTCTCCCAGTTCAAAATTGAAAGAAGAAACGAGATATAAATAGAGATAATCTAACATTTTAAATGCTATTTGGAAATGCTATACTTCCAGTGAGCTTCCTAACAAATGTACTTAGCTACTTCATGATGTGCGGGTTGTTATGTGCGCCATTCGCTGGCATGATCATGGACAAGCATTCCAGAATTATACAGAGCAAGAAATGTATGTACAGTTAAGATTCTACCAAATTCATTTACTAGTATACCATTTAAAGTTAGCTTTCACTCAGCTTGTCATTTCAATGAAACATGTCTCTTAAATAATCAGCTTTGTATATGAACATCAACAGTTAGAATACAGTTAGATTCCAATTGTACTTTTGTCGATGTTTAAGAGTTTTTGCGAAACCCCCATTCTTCATAATCTGATTTGTAAATAAAGCTAATAAAATTCTGATTAAGATAAAAATTGATTTTAATGAGTTCTTATATTGTTTAATTTTAGCAAACAGTGCAATGTCTCTTCTGGACAATGCCTTAAGTACATCAATAGCATTGACGATTACGTGTATAATGATGATCGGTGTCTCTGTCTTGGTACTCATCCCTGTTTTGGAATTACTCTACATCGCATTCCTGTTTGTTGTCGTCTTCCGTTCATTCCTCTATGGGACAGCTATATCATTTATAGGAAAAGTGTAAGTAAAATTTGCTTAAACGCCCCATATAATATGACTTGAAAAGTTATTTAAGAGATTTTTAAAAAAAGGGGAAATGCCAATAAGAAGCTTTTTCTGACTTAGTCATTCTTTCAAAAGTGTGAAATGAAAAACTCACAAATTCTTCTTTAAATATTCTTGCAGTAACAACACAATCAAAATCATTGACTATAAGAGGCTGAAAACTAAACATGACATAATTTTCCACTTTCAATTTAACAGCAGTGTCTAACTTAAGCAAAACAGCCTCTCAGAATCAGAATGTGTATGGAGTCTAGAGGATTCAATTTTCTAAGTTGAAGTCAATATTTCTGGTTTTAGCTAGTGAGGATATATAGGGATGCAGAAACATGCTAAGTTTACCTAGATCATAATCCTTACCCTGAATATAAAGTATATAGGGAATAAGTTAATATGTGTGAAAATCTAAAACTTGTCATGTCGTTCAGGTTCTCATTTATGATCTATATGTATTTCTAACTTCTTCAAATGTGCATGGAACTAAAATTGTGGCAGCCATCTTAGATTTGTGTGCATGGTTTTGGTTGTACTGAATCTGTTTCGAAATAACATATTTTGTATACCTTTGATAAGTAAGGTATGCATTTGAAGTGAAATTACAGATATTATACTTGATATATAATGCAGTTATGCATTACATGTCCAAGTAAGTAAGTAACCAATAATACAAAACACAGTTACATAACAGACAAAAAGTGTACAACTTGACATTGTCTTAATTGCATTAGGCATAAATACACGCTCAATGGCTTTGGTTTTTTGATTGAATTTGGACCAAATGTCATTGTACACATTCAGAAAAAGTGTACATTGTCCAATTTATTCCTTTCTTGTCAAAATCAGATTATTGAGTAAAATAATTTGGATCTTATGAAAAATAGCTCATATACAGTGCACATCAAAATGTTTATCATCTATCATTCATGGTATTATTTATCTCAAAAAAAAAACACATTTATAAACAGTATATGATAAATAGCTTATATTGGCTGTGATTTAGTTTAGGTTTCACCTCTTGAAAAATATGATATTTCTAGAGAGTTTGTCCATTGCAATAAACTCCATATTTAATCCCTCTCAGTAAATATCATGATACATACATGTGATCTGGTGTTTGGGTGAGGTGTGACATGTGTTGTATTATTTCAATCTCATATTCAATATTCTTTCTCCAGACCCTCTTTAATATTTTTTCAGGAGTGATATATTCAGTTATCTACATACGAACATGTCCCATACAGTGTATCTGTATTTTATCCAATATTTTAAACCAATATTTTATCCCATATCATGTATTACTGTATGCCAAATTTCTGTGTTGGAATGTAATTAGTTTTGATACTTGTTGAAACATAAAATCATGTTTTATTTGTTTATTATCTATGCCGCAATACTTCTTTCTTTCCAATGTAAACAGCATAATCTGCAAATAAGGCTTAATATCTTTATAACCAGAAGGAGTTACTTCCATATTGGGTGCTGTAAAGATGGGAGATCATATGAAGAACAATCTTTAAGAAACCATTCATTGTTGATAGGGGCTACAGGGATTGTATGAAATTTTGTTAAACTTAGACATCTACCCACATATCCTCATTAACTCCTGGTAGATCCTGGTAGATCAACCCAAAGAGAGACTAACTCAACTCGACTAATCACTAAGATACAGTAGGATATTGATAGCATGAATGCAAAAATGATGTCACATCACTTAATTCACGGGAACTATGGCAGATTGCCAATATGGCATGTATTGGAGTTAAATATCAGGAAGTGCTCTCAAGAAAGGACTTAAAACTGTACAACAAACGGAGAAAGATCGAATTCTAACAAATGTATTCGAAACGTCAACTTATTGAATCACGAAGACGTTTACAGACTTTTACATGGAAATTCCAAATCTAGTTTTTTTATCTGTTATGACATGACAGAGATCACAAATTGCAAGAGCATAGAACTGTTGGCAAATGTGTTGAAGTACGTTGAAACAAAATGTCAACTTGTGGAAAATGGGGAAATAATAACTAATATTTAAAGGTAGAATCAGATATATGGGGGTGACAAAATTACAAGCAACATGTACAATTGACCTACCAATCTGTTCCTTACAATCTCAAACACAATATCTCCCAAAAGATTCACTATATTTATAAATTGGTGAAGTTATAATGAATTAAAAGTGCAAAAATGGGTCAAAAATGTTTAAATTCTCCCAAATAATAAGAATGGTGACCATTATTATAGAAAATCAATACATTATTGTAAAAATCTTTAGTTTTCCTGAAATAAAGTGTGCACTTTGGGGATTTTTAGAAAATAAACATGAAAAGGAATGACATAAGCCAGAAATATTCTAAAATTGAAACAATTTTTTGTTAGGCTGCTCGCTAGATCTGATTCTCTCTTTAATGTGCTACTTAATGTGCTATTTTAAATATTGCTGTACCATTGGTTTCAATGAGAACTAAAAATTTAAAATGCATTTTTCTCTGAATCACTTTCATGCATGAATAAGTTCATTTCTCGCGTACCAATTTTTCTTAATTTTTTCGACAAAAGTTACTCGAGGTTGACTGCTATGCATTGATGTGACATATTAAACGATGAGTGTGGGCTTCAAATTTAGTTAAATAATAAATAATAATAACAAAAACAAAAAGTCCTTCAAAAACCACCTTTGAAAATTAAAAAAGTTTCACATATCACATTTTGATAACATTGGGTAAGACTACCATTAAGCCAAAGTGGTTTAAACTAATTATGAGGCCTTTGAAGTTGTTTATACTATGCATTGCATTCATGATAATCACTGTATTCTGTTCACAGCTATATCATTTATAAAAATTGTGACATTTGGTTTGAATTATTCATACTATACATTGCATTTGTGTTCCAACCCATTTATTGAATTTTAGGCTCTAAACCAGGATTAACAGTACAATATATTCTTACATGAAATTTATCAATAACTACATGTACATTCAAACAATCTGGTCCTAGGGAGCAGTAGAATTCATACAATAAGTGAACCTAAGACTTTGGCTCTAGGCATATCATAATGCACTTGGTTTTTCCAATTTCCATTAAGTATTTTGGAAGCACACAAAGTAGAAATACATATATTTGTATATGTTTAGGTTCTATTGCAATATTGTGGCGGCAGTCACTCAACACTTAAATAATTTAGCAGATTACAAATTTACATTACCCTTTGTTTTTCTAGCTTCCCAATGCAGTATTTTGGAAGCCTGCTTGGCCTCATGTACTTCATCTCTGGTGCCATTGCCACCTTGCAGTTCCCACTGTTTATATGGGCAGAAGGACCACCAAAGGACCCTACCTATGTAAGTTACAACTTCAGTTGGCCAAAAACTTAAAATGTTCCTGGCTAGCATAAGAAATCAAATTTATTCAAATAACCAAGAATACTAAGGGCTGTGATCAATTGGCAACAAAAGCCAAATGAACAGCATTCAAAGAACAATAATAGTGAAAACTACAAAAGGCAACATAAAATGAATCTTTGTGGAAAGTACAATGTGCAATATTCAATAGAGTAAATGAAAGGCAGTGCATTGGTTGGTTGGTAAATTGAAAGAAACATTCTCTCTTCTTTATTTCAAATTGTGTAGTTTAATTTATTATACTTTTTGAAATCATATTTAGTACTATGAATCAGATGTTGCAACTCTGCATATTTGACAAGTGTGTTGGGAAGTATGTAAAAGCCCCAAAAATATAGTTTGTAATCTTATGAAATAAAACTTGATTAATGTTCCTATATCTGTATATTTCAGCCGAATGCATTACTTCTGGCCCTTGCAGTTGTCTCTACAATTCATCCGATATACATCATTTTTAAACATAAGCAAAGCAGTAAGCTCACTGGATTGGGATAATGCTGGATGAGTTAGATCTAAGAACCATCCAAAAAATTGAAATCATGTTAAAGAAGTTGGGATCAGAAGGTTCAATGATTTCATTTGGGAATTTACTTTTGCATTGGACATTCTCCAAAATAGCCGAGATGATGAGGATTTGTGTTTTTTGAAAATAGTTTTGATCTGATTTTGTATGTAATGTGCCAGTTTCATTGTGTAATTTTATTAAAGTTTATATATTATGGTACATGTATGTAATCAAAACAGTGTTCATTATGTATAAGTACTATATTGGTCAATGTAATACTTAAAGAGTGTTCATAAGTATACATGAAAATTAGTATAATGTATTAGTACTGTACTGTTTTGTATATGTACTTACTATGTAAATTAATTGTAACATTTTTCATGATCTGCCAAGTACACAAATACTGCCATAATAATGCATCAGTATTTATTGTTTTGCTAAATGTGCAAAATATATTAAATACTGTTCATTGTACTTAATGTAAATGTGTCCTAAGTCATAATACATACCCTGTTTATAATGTATCAATACAGGATTAGAAAATGTGCTGATACTCATAGCATGTATCGAATAAATGCATTGTTGTAATTATGTAGGTATCAATGTAGTAAACTTGATACATGTTATAAATATAGTGTTTATAATATATCTTTCCAAAAATGTATGAAACATAATGTACATTGTTAAGTTTTAACCTTAATATGAGTATGTAATTGTATGAATACTACATTTATGTATGTTGTTTAGTATGTACCCAGAATTATGTTATATGGATGTAATTTATATAGTTCAGTTTATTATTTTATGTATATAATTATGATAAAACAATGCCTTATATATTTATTTTATGAATCTCACTTCATTTAGTGTATTCAGTATAATGTCATCTCGATTCTTTTATGAAAAGTTGCAATGTGTTTACTCCAATGGTAGCTATTCTGGATCATATGGAGATCCTTTAAAATTGTCTTCTCGTTCACCCATCCAATTGTATGTTCTTCAACAGTATCAAACGAATGCAAACTGCCATTCGTCTGAACCATTGCTGCTCATATCAAAATATTCAAGATGTATACTATACCACCGTCATTGCAAACCAATCTTTTGGTAACTTGTGAATGAAGCAATTACGGTACTAGTACTGTGATTTTCCTTCATGTGAGTCCACTGTTTGGTGCCATTATAGATTTATGAACTAAATGTTATTAAGTAGCATATTAAATATGTAATTGTTGCTTACTTCGGTCCAAAGCCTTCTCTATATTCCGGCTTTGAGGAGGAAGATTGAGCTGCCTTAGTATTATAAATATTGTAAATCATTGTGTCACACGCACAGTAAATATGGCATAATAATATGAAATATACCTTTATGTATAGATTTGAAGAACACCAGCTCACATCCCCGTCTGAATCTATTGTTATATTTGATTTCTTTAAGCGAGAATAATTTCAAATGTTATTCACGTCCAGAACCGGAAGCCATTTTTAGCTACAGCGAGAAAATTTCACCATGTGTTGAAACTCCGAAATGAAATTTTGAAATATCTAAATCCAGACAAGCAACGCTTCATCCTAAATATGATTAATATTCATAAAAATATTTATAAAATTTATTAAAAATGAGTTCTAGGTGCGTGTAGGTGCGTGTAGCACAGTACATACGAAATCAATGAAGTTTCGTCTAGCTGTAAGCTAGAGACTCGAGTAAATTGTTGCATACTAGAATTGAAAGGGTATAGAATTTGTTTGACAATTTGCAGTATTAAAAGCAAGTTGCATATGTGTGAATTCTTTAAAGTGTAAGACAAATTAAGAATAAATTTGATTTAGAAATGGCAAACTGTATTTGTTTGTTAAGAATAAGTGAAAACGTGTACAATTACACGACTTTGAAATAAAAAATGTTTGTATACTGTTTTCCAAGAAGTCTACAAATTACTGATCTATCATGTACATTATATAAAGAGACAATGACACGGGCTTCTAGTGCATCCGCGAATTTTGAGTATGAGCGGTCCTCAGGCTACGAATGTGACCTGTTTTGGAAAGTCATGGGGGACACCGTGCGGCTGTGTAAAAATGGAAAATAAAGGTGAATTTATATATTCTTCTTCTTGAAATCGTTAAATATAGTTTATGTTGTATTTAATAGTCCGGGGTCAAGAAAATGTTGAACATAAGCTATTTTAGAAATATAACTGTTTATAATAGAATATCAATCAGAAAATACAGATTCCTCGCCTTAGTGCCAAACATCCATTATCCCAGTAGAAAAAAAACAATCCAAAACCTTTTAACAGCGAACCTGGACAAGTTCTACAAAGGAGGATGGAAAGTATCGTAACAGATTTCGGACAATTTTATGTTGGATTTTGGCTGTTTTATCAGGATTTAAACAGGTGCATATGTTAGGCCAATGCATTATCTCCAGGAAAAGCACTCATAGAGATGAAAAAATAATTTCGACTTTGAGACAGGGAAGATGCAAACAACCCACCCACGTGTTTTTTCTGAACTGTTGTCCCAATTTTCAACCCCTTCCACCCCAGCTTTTTCAATTTTTGTTGCATAAATATGTTGCATTTTAAGACACAGTTAACCCCTTTAAAGGAATAAGTGATTCCTTTTCGATAATGTGGAGAACAATATTTCCCATGTTATTTTCCCATAGGGAGAACTCATGTGATCCATTGCTTTCAGCTAGTTTTGGTCACCCATAATGGATATCTTTAAAACCCCCGAAGGAATTACTTATTCCTTTAAAGGGTTTAAATGTGTGTCAAAACGCAACATATTGATGCAACAAAAATTGGAAAAGCAGAGGTGGAAGGGGTTGAAAAGCAGGACAACATTTCTTCCTCGGATCTGGAACACAAATGACCATATAAACTTTACTTAATGCCAAAACGACCACAATGGGATAACTGTGGAGAAGTTGTTGGATATGCTAGTATCCTGTACCGGATAAATTCGTACCATGCGTCGCATACACTCGTATTCTACACCGTTCACATTCCGATCACATCAATCAGCAGACCGTGTTACAACCATTTCCACGACATTTTACTTGCGTATCCTCTGGGAAAAGACGACAAATCCTTCTCTTGCTCACTCTGCAGGGTTCATATAAACTGAAAGGAAGAGGGAAAGTATCGCAACAGACTTTGGAAAGTCATACGTTGGATTTTGGCTATTTTCTGAGGATTTGAACAGGTTCATATGTTAGGCCAATGCATTACCTCCATAGAGATGATAAAATAATTTCGACTTTGAAACAATGAAGATGCAAATAACCCACTCACATGTTTTTTCTGAAATGTTGTCCCGATTTTCAACCCCTTCCACCCCTGTTTTTTCAATTTTAGTTGCATTAATGTGTTGCGTTTTGATACACAGTTACCCCTTCAAAGGAATAAGTAATTTCTTTTAGATCAAGTGGAAAACAATACTTCCCATGTTATTTTCCCATAATAGGGAAACTCATGCGATCCATTGCTTTCAGCTTAATTTTGGTCCAAATTATGGATATCTTAAAAAAACACGAAGGAATTACTTATTCATTTAAAGGGGTTAACTGTGTCAATCAGATTGCAATTGCTTTAATGAATCGATCAATGATCGCACGGAATGCAAATACCCAATACAACGTGTTGCCTTGTTAGTAAAAGCAATAAGAGCAATAAATTGAGAATAGAAAAAATAGTTTTTACCATTGTTTAATTCTTAAAATTGTCTAGTGCCTATCATGTTGACTCCAATGTGGGTGACACAGTTGTCTCCACATATTACTAAACTCTCTCCGAAATTCTTTTGAATAATTTGCATACAATACTGGATGTAATGCTCTCGTTGAAAACATTAAACAATAACCAATCGTCTCTAAATCGCCAAATAATTGAGAATATGCATCACTCGAATTTTGTGAAATCTTTTTTGCTATTATAACAATAGGTAGAGGGGCCCAAGAAAGAATGAACGCAGTCACTATGTACATGGATCGCCTAGCAGCTACTGATTGCATACTTTGGTCACGTGTAACAATGTCGGGTTCGTTCTTCGGCGTGATTGGTGGAGTTATAGATTTGATGAATCCGTTCTTATTTTTCTCTTCTTTGTTTGGTATCGGCTTTGAAGTTGAATCGACTGTGTCCCTTTGATCTTCTAAGGTATTTGATAGAGAGGCGTACGATCGTTTCCTTACGAGCCCAAACTTTGAAGTTGATTGTGGTTTATCCATGCCGGAGGTTTCAGGATTGACTTTACTTTGCTTATCGTGTATCATTGAGACGCTCGTAAAGGACGAAAAGTCTTGCGTCTCTATTGGCGGACCACCTATTGTCCGTTTCATAGTTAAGATTGTATTCGTGTTAGCTTTTTCTAGAGCAAGTGCAGCGAGAGCAGCCCAACGTTTCCGGATCTTCAATTTGAACAATTCTGACGCATTACCTGCACTGGGTGTTGGTGAATTTGGTCGATTCGATAAATCCCCGACTTTGTTAACTTGAGGATGGACGTGTTTTCTTACGATGAATATTATTCTGACGTAAACAACCGTAACCAGCAATAGAGAAATGACACCTAAAGGTACCAACGTGTACATTAAGAGAGGAACTGTGGCCTCATCCAGATGTTTCCTCATCAAACAGCGTTCAAAGAAAGTGGACGTTGTATTAGGAATTGCCACCTCGAGTGTTGCAATTAGTACCCCAACAATCCAAGATGTGAACGTAGCTAGCTTTCTCCGGGCATCAAAATATTGTAACCTAAAATAAAAATAAAAATGTGTGATTACATGTAGTCTCATCAAAGTTTGTCTGCAACGAATTGCACTGTTGTAACTTTTGAACTACCATTCTTCTGGTTTTGGGCAATTTCTTTTATATCTTCCTAAACTGACAGAGCAAGAACTCGTCAAATTATTGTTTTTATTCTAGAGCATGAAGTCATTGCTTGGAACTAGCCTAGTGTAAAAATTACTTTTACACTGTCTTATACGGTATCTAGCCAGATGGTGCCATTTTGTTATCTAATTGATGTGCTGTATATATATTTATTCAGGTATGCGGTTACTGAGTGTGTGCATGAATAATTACTATCTCTAGAAAAACAACATGGTGCATTAGCGATATGCATTAGTTAATAGCGATCTATTGTATTTGTATTTCATTTGATAAGCAACTCTTACGTGAAAATATTATACACTGAAAAACGTTTCTGCGGAGATATGATATCATTGCATACAATCGTTTAATGGTTACCAGGTATGACAGGCGGAGTGGCATTTACCAACTCCTCGATAATCAGAGTAATAAGTTGGAATACAGAGGCATTAATATAATAGCGGACCTGCGCAGGGGGAATAGACAGAAACATGGAAACGACGAGTGTTTCTAAGTAGGACGGATGTGATAAATGCTACTCTATTTGAACAATAATCACATTTGAGAATAATACTCTGAACTGAATTCTTTTTTTTTCTAATTTATCAAACTTGAGTACGCTGCACTGGTCATATTATGAGCTGATATTGCAAGAAACACGAAACTTCAATTAAGAAGAGAGTTTGATCAAATAGTTGTTAGTGAGTTCGATTCCATATACGTAAAGTGGAACATAGACTGGTATGACAATTTTGACTTTTACGATATAACGTGACTATATCTATTACCTAGGACTTTAACTGGCAGGTTTTTGAATGCTTTAATGTATCAATTGTCAAGAATTACATTATTAAAGGATTTAAGTCCAAGACTCAATGCATTGTTTGCTGAATCATAGCATGAAGGTGCTGTTTCCAAACCTTTGCATGACCACGCAGCGGGAATGTTAAGTTTAGGAAACAACGCCTGAGTGGAATGAAGCGGCTTCAATGCATTGAGTCTTGGGCTTAAATTATTTTCACAAATGGCAATTTGTTTCTTTAAAATCATCTAAAAGGAACGAAATCACTAAAAGAACACATTTTCTCAAGTTGGCAAGTCATCAAATCCAATGTGAAAAATCCATTCATCACCATGACAACTGTTTAACTAGCGACCATGCATGTGTTATTGATATTTCACACACTGTTCATTATGTGAATACTCTGTTCGAATTGGCTGGGATCGGACACACTTTGCCTATTGTGTGAATTACATTTCATCTTACATTTCGAACATATTTTGGATACACACTAGCTGTAGTAAAGCTGAAAAACATTATAGGACTATCCTAAAAAATAAATAAATTATAAATGGATGGATGGATGGATGGATGGATGGATGAAAAGAAAAATAACATTATATCACCAATGTTACTCACACGAAAAGATATTCCGCATCAACCGACTAATCATCCAATTAGATAGTGTATAACATGCGCCAATTTTTTCAACTTCCTTGGATATTCCGTAATTTACAGTTAATGTTTATTACTTAAGTATGTTTATAATTATTGTTTTGGATTTCCTTCTGCATTGCTTGATTGAAGATCTTATAGAGTATTAGAGTCTCTATTCCATGACACAAAATTATTAATGAAATAGAAAGGACGGGTGATTAAACAATTAAAACGCGAGTTTAGCTAATGTATAAAATAAGAAACAAAAACCAACGAATACAAAACAGTCAAAGGATATGCGATCACCTTACCTTGTCTGTGGTCCAACTATAATTTTATAACGTTCAATACTTATTGCGATTAACGTTATTAATGTGACAAAATTGCACGAGGTTGATATAAACGTTTGCAACTTGCACCATGGCAATCCCAACACGTTCCCAGAGGTGTTTATAACTGTAACTGCAAACGCTAATGGGACAGCGAGCCCACAAGCGAATACATCAGAAACACTTAAGTTTGTGATGAGTGTATTGTTGCTCGTTCGTAAATGTTTATTTTTCACAAATGTGAAAATAACTAATACATTTCCTAGTAATCCGACCAGAAATGTAGGAATAAGTAATATTCCTGAAATTATATTGGCCGAAGTTGTAAGTGGATTTATCATTTGGAATTGTTTGATGGAATCCAAATCATATACGAGGCTGTTAGAGGTAAAGTTATTGTGGTTGTTGATAGCGCCATCTTGATTAAATCCATGTCTTCCCAATGTTCTGTGATGTTGTATGATCTCTTTAATATTTTTCAGAAGAGTCATTCTAACTGATTCTCGTCACCTGCTCCGTAGACTAACCTTATTATATCTTGTCATTTGATAACTCCCATTCAATATCATATGTAACTTCTTTGTCTACATCTTAATCAAAACATGCCACAATGCATGTAGGCATCTTAGCCTATGATTCAATGAGCTTGTGTTGCTTAAACCCGTTTACCATTTTATGTCGTAATTAATCGAAGCATCGTTTATAAGGTAGAATTCAAAGAATACATTTACTAATGATTATATGCTGATGTAATTAAGCAGCAGTATTATTATCCATTAGTCGCATTATATGAGCCTCCCTTCCTTATTGCTGCACTTACAACAGGAAAGCAATTAAAAGGTCGATTTATAAAACCTCGTTAGCTTATTTCTCCAGATATAAATATTTACTTCCCAAATTCCAATTACGATGACGTCATACCCATTAAAATAATAATGATTGTCGTTGAAAACATGTATTTCAAAAACAGACACTAATTTAGGAACGATTGGTCATTTTGAACACTTTATACACATTACAATCTGGCAAAGATGTAAAAACGATTTTCGCACAACTTTGTTTTGAATTTCACAGCAAATGCGGCGTTTCTTTGCTCCAAATGCAACTGTGAACGAGAGCGACTCACTGATATCGGAGTTATTCTCAAGTACTTTCCACTCGATGGTATGTAAGGTTAGAATAGCCTAACCGTAATGTGCGATAAAACAGGCCTGGGACATGTTGTTAAAGAGGGGTTGCCTGGACCACGGTCCATAAATTGTTTCTAGATTGATTATCACAATTTCTATATTGCCAAGTGATCTTTAAAAAAAGAAAAATGTGTGCATTTTGAAAGTTTTTTTCACAAGGTTTCCGAATAGCAACAATTTCGGGTAGGATGCCCCACACGTGAGCTTCTTACAGCTGGAGACCCAAGCGCCTATACTCTGTATTGACCTAACCATGGGCTTTCAACTTGAAAGCCCATGACCTAACATAATAATGTACCAACAGAAAGGCATTGTTGTTTTGCTTGGAATGGAATGGAACAAGAAAAATGGAGAAGTATGACATTGTATGAGACTCACAATCCTCCAGTGTATTCGTACATGTACAGTATGTGTAAATATCCCTTCGTAAAGCTTCGGACGGCTTCGGAATCATGTGTAAAGATGCGCTTCGGTTCGCATGTTTACGTTCCTAATCGTCAGAATTGCAATTTATCCAATTCGCAAGACTGCGTTTAGGGGATCATTCATATGTGAGGGGGCCTTGAACGACCAAATCGGCCATAGGGATTCCCCGGGATATTCAAATCAGATTTTATTAGTTCCGGTGAAAGTATTTCGATCGGTTATATAAGTTCAACCTCAAAATTAGCACAGCGGAGGAGGTGGAACTTCTTCGTTGGTAGATAAATGAATATGTGATTCGACTCAACAGGGGGGGGGGGGTCTTGAGGGTGCTCTCACTAAGTCTTAATGCATGTTTAATCTTCACAATGGAACAGATAAAATAAAAAATTCAAACCATTTAGCGTTTATTTGTTGAAACCAGGAAGCTAGAATTAAAACAAATGTTGAAAAACGCGTTTGCATATATTCGTCGATATAATTTTAGCTCCATCAAGAATTAAGGGCTATGGTTATGATTAAAACGTGCAAAATTACAAACACCTGCAAAGAACAAATACGGATGCGTGTATTTTTATTATTTGATTATAGTTTGAATTGCAATGGTTTATTTTTATTACAGCCATTAGCATTAGTCACCTGATATCGCATTGTGCATTGAAAACATCATTTTCAGTTCAATAGTAACTTCATTTCACGCATTTTATCATATTCTAGAAGAAACGATCACTGATGGTTCCTCTTGTCCAGAGGTAAGCGTAATTATTTAATCAATTTGATAATTTGTACTGGATAAAGCATAAGAATGAGATTTTATAAGAAATAATACACCGAAGGCCGAAGGCCTGAGGTTATTATTTCTTATCAAATCGAATTCGAATGCTTTATCTTACTTAAATCACACACATTCTTATTACAGGTAAATGGTATATTGCAGGTAAATGGTCAATGATCTAATCTGGAAAATTTTATTTCTTTTGTGTTGACTGTTCATGTAGGGGTAAGTGGTTTGATACATGTAAGTGAGTGAGTTCTTTTGAGTTGACTGTTCATGTAGTTATATAGCCAATTAATTGTAACAACAAAAAGAGTTGGTTGCATTGACCTCATGAGTGTGAGTTGATGTAAGTGACTGAGTGGGCTATAATTAGTCTAGCTTCAGTGCACTACAGGTGACTGTCCAGTCCAGAACATTGCATTTGAATACAGCAGAATATTTGTAAGTAAGATAAGATCAATGATGAAGATAGCAACAAAAATTGATAAATTGTTTTATTCTAAAGAATGCACAGTAACAAGAGAAGGGTACATGTATTTTTGTATATTGTTTTTAGGGAATGAAAACTATCAAAAACTGTCAATGGTCATTTATGTCTCACTTGTTTTTGATAGCTTGCCAAGTGTACATTCTTTAAAAACAATAGAAAAATAATGCACTTTCCTTTTGATAAAACCATACATTCTTAAAAATAAACCACAGCAAATTCTATTGTGTTGCTACCCAAGTGGGATTTAAATAATCTTAATTACCAGTTAGGAACACAAATACAATGTACGACATATTACCTTCATGTTGATTAGAATTTTCTCACATCACAAAATTGAAACGTTCGTTATTTTAACAAAAAATATATAAGTATTATGGATGGATTTTGCACTAAACTTGTAAAAGTCCTTTTTATTTATTTATTTCATCCACCATTATTGGTGTGTTAAGATGTGTGTTTTGTGTGTGATGGTGTGTGTTTTGAATGTGGCAAAATACAAAAGATTGGTATCGATATGGTGAACTTTTTGAACCAGTCATAAAAAAATTCTGAAAATTTTACACATTGTCAATTTAATGGTCATCTTTTGAATGGTAATAATATAATTTGAAAAATGTATAGTACTATACTTTTCTCCATATTGTTTTAGAAAACACATCAGACACTTCTTTTGTTCTTGGTATCATATGTTCGGAATGAAATGAAACAGCTATCCGAACCTCATTGGAACAAAACGACATAAACACAACGTGTTTAGATCTCCCAATATTGTATTGTACAAAGGAAAGCTAAGTTTGGTTGATTTTAAAAAAGTATCTTGTTAATGAAATAAAAAGGGTTATCTTAATTTTTATCTATTTTAGGGGGTTTGTTTTAATTTTTTGAATAGTTTTTGTGAAATCAACCGAAATTTCCTAATAAATTAATATAATATTGAGAGGTCTAAGAAAATCTTGTATACTATTTTGTTCCAACAAGGTTCGGAAAGACATTTTATTTCATTCTCAAGAATTGGTAGAAAGGAGCAAAAAACAATTACACGAAAAACGTTAACAAAAACAGTTATATAAAATATACATAAATAATTTCCACATTAAAATGTTGTCAACCAGCCAACATTACATTAAGGACCGTGTTTTTTACAGAATGTTTTCAGTGGCGTAGCCAGGATTTGGTGACCGGGGGTTCTATTTTTATTTATTCACAAAATCCCCCCCCCCATTCAATAGGATACCTCAAATAATGCAATTTGTACAATTACACTCCATTCAAAAGTATGGCAATCCTAACTAACCCATTGGATTATGTATTGAAGCATCTTTAAGTTTGAATTCTTATATGCATAATTTGTTTTGGGAGGGGAAATACAGGGTGACCGGAAAAAAAAGGAGACCATTGAAATAGGCAATATCTCCTAAAATAGACTAGTGACATCAATGAAATTTTGCATACATCAGGACAGTTCTATGGAAATTTGTTCCTGAAAGTGTCAATACAAGCAGTCAACTGGTTCAGGAGCTATGATCATTTACATAACATGCTCCAAATAGGCGCAATTGAGACCAACGCAGAGCTGGATACATTTGGCAAATACCCTTACATATTCCGACCTTGTTATGGCATTACATTTAGCATTTATTGCCACCTTTAGGTCAGCAATTGTCTCAGGATTGTTTTGGTACACATTGTCTTTCAAATTGCCCCACAAAAAGAAATCAGGTGGATTCAAATTTGAGGTGTATGGAGACGAAGCTTATCTGACCTATGGCTTCTGACTCAGTGGTCCCACTCAGTTACAGTATCATCCTAAGGAGGTTTTGGGCAGCCCTTGGTTTCCATATGGGATTTAATTGTGCCATATAGTGGTTTTAGTAACATGGCACTATGCCCAATACCTAAAGTGACTCTTAAGATTGGGTAAATCAGCACTTTGGCAACAGGATGATGAACCACATGTCAGATAACCCTTCATTGCCATTACAGCCTAGACATGAATCCTGCTGATTAATTTTTGTATGGATATTTGAAAGACAATCTATACCAAAACAATCCTCAGACTATTGTTGACCTAAAGAAGGCAATCACTGCTATATGTAATGCCATAATAATGCCATAGAGGGCAGAACATGTAAGGGTAGTTTGCCATATGAATCCAACTCTGCGTTGGTCTCAATTGTGCCTATTTGGAGCATGTTATGTAAATGATCATAGCTCCTGAACCAGTTGAATGCTTGTATTGAAACCTTCAGTAACAAATTTCCATATAACTGTTCCAGTGTATGCAAAATTTCATTGATGGCACTTGTCTAGTTTAGGAGAAATTGATTACTTCAATGGTCTCCTTTTTTCCGGTCACCCTGTATAATTCATTTTAATACCTTCGCTAGCTTTAGTCGAAAATTGAATTTGAATTTTATTTAACAAAAATGATGTCTTTATTTACATTAAGCAAAGTCTGAAAGTAATTGGCTTTATCAAGAAACCTCTCCCATTGGAATAGCACAGGACGTAAAAATGATTTTCAAAAATGATCTTGTAGCCTTGCAAGGCAACGTGCAAAAAAGTCAGCCAACTTAGAATTAATTTTCTGCATCAAAATATATTTCGGTGAATCTTTTACTGAATAAATATCCTGAAATCTGATTTTCCCCAAATCTACCATTTTTTGCGGTAGATTTTTTCAAAATGTGGTAGTTTTTGCGGTATTCTTCGACAAAAATGCGGTAGTTTTACGGTAGATTTTGAAAAAATGCGGATATTTTTGCGGTAGATGTTTGAAAACAAACTGTAGTTTTGCGGAAGATTTTGGAAAATGCGGTAGTTTTACGGTAGATTAAAAAATGCGGTAGTTTTTGCGGAACATTTTGAAAAAATGCGGTACTTTTTGCGGTAGATTAAAAACTAATTTTGCGTATATTTTGACACACTTCAATGAATAAGTAGGCTTAATGAAGTATGTTTTTCTAACGCAGCATTCATGGAACTCTTTCATAAACAGACTAACAATTTGAACACTTCAGTGTTTTTATAACTACAGTAGAACATGTGGTAGTTGAACACTTCGTCCCAAGAAATATTTTAAATTTTAATTGAAATAAAACAAAATAGAGATGTACACATTTGAAAGAACATGTGTTTCATCAATATTACGACTATTCCAGATATTTATTCGTCAATGTTGTAAAAATCATTCAGAGTATGGGACGTCTGCATTGTTTTCAATAACTTTCAATAACTTCGTATTGGACCAGAACTGGCTTAAAACAAAATTCCTGCAAAGGACTGATTTAGCCATTGCCCAAGATGGGTTATTTTGTCTGAGAAGAAGCAGCCTTTAAGTTAATTGTGCGAAATTATTGTTTTTCTAAATGTAAAATCTCATGCTCTGGGGTCTTGCCAAATTGATTCTCAGCCCCCGTGCCTAAGATTGCCAAACGTTTTGAGGGAAGTGTAACTTCACTATGACATGTTTTAACAAAATAAGGCTCTCGTGTTCACCAGAACAAATATCAATTAATTTACTGCTCATATAAGCAGTTTTCAAATAGCACAGTAATTTAATGTTTCTGGTTATATGCATTTTTCCGCAAAATGATATTTTGGGAAATCCTGACCGGGGGTTCGTTCGAACCCACCGAAACCCCGCTGCCTACGGCTATGGTTTTCAATAATTGGTTTAAAAGAAAAACATTGTTGAATTCAGTTCACCATATCGATACATATCCTTTTATTTTTGAAATTTGGACATTCGCAGTGAATATTTCTTGGTCGCTCATGGCACCCTTTTTAGCCCAGTTTTAGCCTCCAACTCCACAGGAAAACAAAAGATTTTCAACCGGATGGTGTCATATTGTTAGGAAATGATTTATTTTTATAATGATATATAGTACATGGCATGACTAAACATACACTATGCTATTTATCTTTAAACGTGTGCATTTTTTGGCCCACCCTGTATATTCCCGCTACGCTCGTTATGTACCGGGAACCTCAGTAGTCAGTAGTTATGTAGTTGCAGTGCAAGTGGAATATTTGATGATTAAAAAATATTTCAACTTTTATTTAAGAAATGGCGGGAAATTCAAATATTTGAGAAATCTCTCAACTTACTTTTAAATGAATAACAAAATTTCAAACTTTACATGGGGACTTAATTAGATGATGTAAATCAAGATTATTTCTACTCGCATCTAATCTGTTGCATCCACGTCAGACGAGCTACCTCCATTTTTGTTGCATGGGGGGTATCGTGATGCAACAACACCGTGTTGTTGCATCAAGATGGCCAGACTTCCGGTGATAGATTTTCGTACGATATTTTGTTTTCCCAATTTAAACCCATTTCTAGGACGAGTTGCTCAATAATCATACACGTGCAGTTAGCTCATGATCTATATTTAAAAAAACTCTCATTAGTATGCATGTGGCATCATCAAGAAAAGAGAAATTCGCGGTTTTAATTCCTCAATATTGATGCAACAACACCACTCTGTTTATTATCGATGATGCAACAACACCAATGTGCTGATGCAAAAACGCCAATATAATGTATCATTGAATATCAAGAGAAACTGTTTTATGTTCTGGTTATAGGTGTTGGTCGGGACATGAATAAAACGCGTGAGTGCGTGGTTCATGAATGAAACGTATTTTGTTTGGTTCCTTAATGTATTTGTCTTTATCAAAGTTAAAAGGATATACAAGGTAATCTTAATACATAGGCTAAGCATTGAATCCCCGGGAGCCAACCTCATTGATATTGTATCTGAAAAGTAAAGATTATTCATTTTCTAAATTAAATCCCCTTGATTTACCGTATAGTATGGAAATTGTTTACAAAGAACTAATATAACTAGACTTTGGAAATTGAACAAGTTCAATTTCAGACTCCAGATCTAGATTTTTTTAAGCCGAGTCATCCAGAAAAAGATGGATGGATGGATGGATGGATGAAATAGGAAGGAGGGATAGGACAGAATAGGATGGAACGATAGGAGAGAATAGAGAAGAAAGATAGGATAGAATAGCAAGGAAGGATAAGATAGGAAGGAGAGGATAGGAAGGATATGAAGGATAGATAGGAAGGAACGGATAGGGATAAAAGGGATGGGATAGGAAGGATAGGATAGAATAAGAAGGAACGATGGGATAGAATAGTAGGATAGGATAGGAAGGATGGATGGAAGGATGGATGGATGTTTCAACATTTTCTTCGCTACTCTTGACTTTCTATCAGGATACCATCAGATCGATTTTTATCGAAATTTCAAAAAGCCATAACTTCCGAACCGGAAGTCGGATCGAAATTTGGTTTGCAGATTCTGATTCCTAAGAAAATTATATTCTTCATTCATAATTAAAACGTTAAATTTGGAGAATTTTTTATTTTGACCTACTTTTTGGACACCATATCTCAAAAGTGGGTTAAAATACTTTCTGACGGCAAAAGGCTAACACTATTAGTACACTCTTGGCTACATGTATACGCAATATCGAAGAATATAATTGAAGTGTAGTGTCAGAATCACAAAAATAAGGAAGACTTTGAATTTGACCTAGATTTTGACGTAGACATTTTTGTGTCCAAATTTTGAATCTAGATTGCTTTTGAGGTACCCTTCATTTAAAGGCTTTCATTAAATTAAGCTGTACTCGGTCGTATATATGTCGTATTTTACACTTTTTCCCATTGACTTAACATGGGGCACCAAATTTAGCGATTTTGAGTTTTCAAAACGCCATAACTTCCGATGAGTGTTGGTTTAATGATATTGCAGTTATACAATGCTATTATATAGAGGTTATTTACTGATTCAATATTGGTTTTATTCCGGGAGACATTGTGATATTTCCCGAGGGGCCAGGGGGAATCTGGGATTACTGTACCCCTATCAATTTACCTTTTCGGGACCTAAATCCTATTACCTACCTTTTTACTCAATCGGGGAGAACGAATCCAAAGAGAACAATACTTCTACATGTGCGCCGTGCAAGATTTCCAATAGCTCGTCGTGTTTACCGAGAACGAAAGATGTTTGTCCACCATTTTGAATGATACTAACTGGTATCAGGGTCATCAAGCTATGGAACAGGGGTTTATGGAAATAGATTGGGTTACTATAGCTTGCAATGTTAAAGGCGATTGAACTATGTTATAAAACAACTTCCAGTAAATTATGATATTTAAAAGTATACATTTTTGAAAATACATATAAAGAATCTTCGCCCACAGGACGTGTATTTTGAATGCCTGAGAAGAACGCAAATGGGGTACTGGCCCGTTGTTGCAATAGTAGCATTTAAAAATCTGTTCCTCCCGAGATTTATGGTCTTCTGAAATAATACTATTAATTGGTGTTGTTGCATCATTGCTCAAATCTAGAGGAGTGTTGTTGCATCTTCGGTTTGGTGTTGTTGCATCAATAGTGAGGAACTAAAACCGTGAACTTCTTGCTTCTTGATGATGCTACATGTATACTAATGACAGTTTCTTTAAATATAGACCGTGCGCTAACTTCACGTGTATGGTTATTGAGAAACTCGTCCTTGAAATGGGTTTAAATTGGGGAAACAACATATCGTACGAAAATCTATCACCGGAAGTCTGGCCATCTTGATGCAACAACACGGTGTTGTTGCATCACGATACTCCCCAGTGATATTGCTTTTGGATTATAATGGAAATCGACACGTCAATTCGGATATTGATTTAGGTGTCACACCTACCCTAGATTCCAGATGTCAAGCTTACTCTTCTTGGCATTGTTCCTTGCGATGACATGTCATACCAATGGCTTCTTAAAGAAGGACCATGCCGTTACTATCACTGGCTGCTTTAAATGTGGAGGGTACCCAATAGCCAACTGCCGTGTGAAGCTTATGGATGAAGATTTGATATTTCACGACACTTTGGCCGAATCATGGACTGACAACAATGGTTGCTTTGCACTTTCTGGAAAGGGGCGGGATGGATTGTGGGGGAGGCCGGATATATTTGCAGAGCTTGAGTACAACTATTTAAGTGAGTGGCTACCCTGGGTTGCTACAGGTGTATGAACCCTAATAGCTTCATCATGAGAAACTATACCTCTCTATTAGTTCCATTCCACAAAGCCATAAGCTAGTTTGAGTCCGGCCCATACAATTTTGATCCATCAAAGGACCATGCCAATCGAATCAATTATAGAGATCTACGATATCGCGTTATTTGCTATCTCGTTGAAATTCTTTTTATCTCATATTAATCATAAGATTAATGAAGATGATAACACTTATGATACGAACTTAACTTATTGAAGAACTGATAAACAAAACAATGATATTTCAGATAAAATGCGTATTCGAAACTTTTGGGGATTCACGAGAGATGCGAGATCTTCTGTAAAAGACAACCACTCTGGTTTTCACAACTTCGGCATGATCAACATCAATGACGAACATTGTCGAGCATACGTACGTTTCCGCGCTGCAATCATTGACTATATCTCACGATCCGGTAATAGTGCATTGCCCTATAGTTACCTTAAAGTCCAAACTAAATCAGTGCTGACTGCTGGGAAACCTTGGGCGACGACGGATAAAATCAGACTACCATCGGGATATTCTTTGGATGCTGAAACAGCCAAGCATGAATTAGCCCACACCATAAGACACACGTTAGACGGCAGCATACTCCATGCTGCTTACGACGCTGTCAGGTAATGGAATGTTTTTCACCGTGAACGGAAAGTACATGAATCAAAATAGCAATTATATAGCGCGCATATAAAACAAGCGCTAATTTTCTACTTCAGATACCCGTTCGTGAATAGAACGCGAAATTCCAAATTTCACGTTTATGATAATGGGCAATGTATACGTGTACGTTGCCGTTTCAATTTTATATATTAGCTTAAACTCTCCAATATTTAAAGTACGCTACTAATGTTTCTTGCAACATACACCGGTATGTCCTACTTTTATAAAGTAGAAGACACCCTTGGAACAGCTGGACAAAGCAAAAAGCCCTCCCCCAAGACCAGATTTTTTGGCATGGAAAGAAACTTTGCAGGATCCCTTTCTTTAGAAGCTATGGCTGTCTTATGAAGCGATATTTAAACTCCTTATGATTCCTTATATAGCCACGGGGAGGGAAAGAAGAGCCCCACGAGGCCACGTTGGGGTAAAGGAGAAACCGTTTGAATCTGCGCTTAAAATGATAATACTTTAAAGCGAATGAAATAAGCTTAGTGGCTTTTCTCGTCCTTATTGCCCCGCTGCTATTCCCTAGTCTTGCTTCAAACCAATTATATGGTCTTGAGATCATGTACAGGGTGGTCAAAAATGGAAACCCTTTCTCTATTTTCCTCGTATCTTTGGCATTCTAGAAGAACCCCTGATATTTTACACAATTGAACATCATACAATTTCCTACCAGTCTACTATCTTCCGTGACCATCAGTCTGACAGTCACGTGCACAATGTTACAGCACTTTAAAGAACACGTTCCGGTAGTCACTAATGCGCTGTTGGTAATATGTAGCGCATTAGTTATTTTTGTTATCCTGACACTACACTTTAATAGTTTTCGTTGAAGTTCAGCACACAGATAGAGAGAATGCTATTATTGTCAGTCTTTTGCTGTAAAAGCTTTTTTGACTTTGACCCAGTTTTGAGATATGGTGTCCAGAAAATAGGTCAACAAAAAGGTTTTTCAAATTCAACGTTTGAGTTCTCAAAATATTGGGAATTTCCTCATGATTCCGAATCTGAAATCAGAATTGAAATGTTTCGGTTTAGATTCTAAAACATTTTGAAATTTCGAAAAACCAGTATGTTGATATCTCAATGTTAAGTCATGGGATAAGCGTTCAATTTACCATTCTAGCACTACTAGCACAACACATTTAGCGCTTTCCTAGATGTGCCGATAAAAAAGTTGGTATGAGAAAAAACGGTGAATTGTTACTGTCATAAATTAATAATGCCACGCTTCGTGTTTTTTAAAGGTTTTGCATATTTATGATAAAAGCCTACAATACGCTAAAAACAGAATTCATATTCAACATTTCGGAATTTTTGAAAATTTGCTGCCACGTACGGTGTTTCAGGTTAAAATATGTCCCAGAATTCATTTTAGTCATTGTTATGTTTGTTATGTTTTATTTATTTCCTAAATTCCAAATAATACAAGTACAATCACAATAGTGGAAGACACCCCAAGGGGCATATAATCCACGTTATGTTTAAACAAAAAATATTTACAAGTAGCAAAACTCGTACAAGAAATCAGTGCTTATTAGAATTAAAGATCGACACTAAATATTTCACATTCGGTTGGTCCCATCCTCCATCCTCCTCTACCCACGCTATAAAAGTGAATTTTTTTACGCCAGAGATTTGTCTCCAGAAAAGTTAGACTTTGATTAACACCCTATGCAGACAGAGCCTGTGGGAAATATTGGGTGCGGCGCAAATGAGCGGAGGGTGCGGAGCTAACGGTCATTTTTGAATTTAAAATTGGGATATTTCTGAAACTAAGCCGTTTTGGGACTTCAAATATACCAAGATATGTGTATTTGACACCAAATATCAATAAAATTGTGAAAATAGTAGTGCAATTCATTTTATAGCGACGCAGTATGCCTTAAACATTTCCCAGACCTATATATTTTGAGACTATCCTTTTAATACTGCGTCCCCAGCATTCATAAAAAAATGGTGTTCAAGATACACTACCCATGCAAATTATTTTTGCATCTTGGAAGCCAGGCAGTATCTGTGTGATTTTATAAAAATTCGGAAATGTTCTTCAGATATGAGCCCCTCTAAATATTGGGTGCGGAGCTACGTTTATGGAGCTGCTCCGCACCCAATATTTAGAGGGGGCTCATATCTGAAAAAATTTCCGAATTTTTATAAAATCACACAGATACTGCCTGGCTTCCAAGATGCAAAAATAATTTGTATAGATAGTGCACCTTGAACACCATTTTTTATGAATGCTGGGGACTCAGTATTAAAAGGATAATTTCAAAATATATAGGTCTGGGAAAGGTTTAAGGCATACTGCGTCGCTATAGAATGAATTGCGCTACTATTTTCACAATTGTATTGATATTTGGTGTCAAATACACATATCTTGGTATATTTGAAGTCCAAAAACGGCTTAGTTTCAGAAATATCCCAAATTTAAATTCAAAAATAACCGTTAGCTCCGCACCCTCCGCTCATTTGCTCCGCACCCAATATTTCCCACAGGCTCTGTCTGCATAGGGAGTAATGATGTTAATTGTTGAGCAAGTGTAATTTTAAATTCTTTTTGAAGGTGGAAAGAGTATTAGAATGAGCACGTTTATGAGGTAAAGTGTTCCACAGGTCTGGCCCTGTCTTAGTTATAGAGTATTTTCCCATGTTTGTTCTGAACGTACTTGATCTAAGATTGCATATTTGTCTGGTTTGATGAGCATGTACATCAGAATTAAGAGTGAAGTAGGATCTGAATTGCTGGGAATATGTTTTGTTTACGTCTTTAATGCATTTGAATAAATATGTAGCAATATTGAAATGGACAATTTGAAATATGCTTAATATGCCAGCTTTTTTGAAAAAAGGATGTGTATGGTCACGCATCTGGCAATCTAAATCATACAATCTTACAAATTGTTTTTGCAATCTGTGTAATTTCAATAAATTTGTATGTGGAACACTTCCCCAAATTAGGATGTTATAGTTTAAGTGTGAGTAAATTAATGAGTAGTATATTGTTTTAAGGCTTTTTTGATCTAAGTTATCCTCTATTCTGTGAAGAACGCCTAGTATCTTGGATATCTTAGTCTCAACATGTTTTATATGCGGCTTTCAAGATAAATTTTCGTCGACTAGAGTGCCAAGAAAATTACTAACATTGGTTCCCTCTAATATAGTGTGATTCATATTTAAGTTTATTTTGTTGTAATCTATTATTTTATTTGATGTTTTGAATATAATATAGTTAGTTTTTGGTGCATTTAGGGCAAGTTTATTGCATATGAACCATTGATTTTGACGAGTTCTGTTTTGACGGTGGTATTTAGTTGTTCCAGATTTTTGCCAGAAAATATAATATTGGTATCATCAGCATAAAGAAACATTTTTGCAATATCTGAGCACTTGTAAATATCATTAGTATATATTATAAACAGCAGGGGTCCTAAAATTGTGCCTTGTGGCACACCACAGCACAAATGAAGAACATCAGAATCAGCATCGCCTTCTATTTGAACAAATTGAGTGCGGTTACTTAGCAACTTTCAAAGATGTATCGCAAAAAGCTCGCGCACGCATTGTTACACATTTTGTGGCGTAATCCCAAGGAGGATTGGAAGCCAGGGTTCCAACTCGATATTCTTTAATCTCCACGCATGCGTCATTTGCTATTCGTGTCTGTATAATTTGTACGACTGCATGGAGAATGACCCGATACTCTCCAACAAAGCTATCGCTAGGTGATTGTTTTGCAGAATATCGGTGTTGCATTCTGGGAGCCAATCCTCCTTGGCGTAATCCAGAGGATCCTCGCTTTTAACATGGTAGAATGTGACGTTTTTGAGAAAAATGTACACAAATGAAAATCCTTTCGTCCTCCACATTTACCTCTCTATCTCAAAACATTTTAGACGAATAACTCTGATATCATATATATAATGTTAATGGGCTAGGAGCATCATAAAACACGAATCAATTGATATTTTAGGTGAAATAAATATACGTGTTGCTGTGCTTGAAAATAGGCGAATGGCGTAAATAAGCCCTATTTTGATGAATTTTGAAAACCTTTCGTCCTCCACTTTTCCACATACAACAGAAAACACATACTTTTGCGAACAAAATCAACTATTTATTAATAAACTAGAGTTTAGGAGCAAAATAATCATGTATGATTTATTAAAAATTGATCTCGTATTTTTTGTTTAATGTACACCTGAAAAGTTGAAGGAACAAAAAAATGAGCAGAAAAGGTCGCTGTCAACAGATTCTATTTTTCAAACTCTATGACGTCACAATATGGGACGCTTACTAAAATTCATCCTTTGAAATAAAACTTCAATCTACCTTTATCAAGACGAAAAATAAGTATAAAAGTCAGATATTGTTTGAGTTATGAGCGTTTAAAGACGAAAAATAATTCAAAATGTAACGTGTCAACAGGGAATATTTGCCAGATGTTTTGGTAAAAAACTCTTTTTTTAAAAAGAACGCGCAAGAATTGTGAACGGAGTGTAGTTGATCTAAAAACTTCATCGAAACAGCTTTAAAATGATATACAACTTTAATTAGAATATTATTTTAGAATCCGGGGAATCAAAGTTACATTCACGCGATACCCCTAAAAAAACAAATGCGCCACCTTTTTACGACACGTCAAACCAGTCAGCTGCGAGACCTCTGATGCCATAATATTTCATTCATCTCCTTTACTAAATTAGCTATACATTCGTTATATATCCATCATATTTTTAGACCTGATTATCATTTTAGGTTCAAATACGCCCAGTACCATACGTGTATTAAAATCACAAATTTTGGGTTTGCCTTCAACGAGGGCTGGGCGGAGTATTGGGAGGGCCAGTGTAGCTGCACATTGGGTGACGGCAAAGACATGCGTGTTGAAGGGAATGTTGCTGCAGCGTTGTGTGTCCTAGCAAATTGCACAGGTGACGAGAAAATGGTGAATACCCTGGAGACAAATGAAGGAGAAATTCATTCATACAATTCCTTCAAAAATGCACTGTGTGCGAAATACCCGGGAGGAAGTTGCTGTTAAAACAACCAGCAACATTAGTGATAAAGTTAGATTCATAACAGATGTTTAATTTGTAATTGAAAAATAGAAAAGTTGCAATAAAACTTGTAAATATATTTTATGACTCCGTAACAATAAATCATGCAAACATAATACAAAATGCTACACAATAGACCAGAAGCCTTAAATTATTTTATCAAGTGTGAAGCATAACCCACGAAGCACGATTACTCTATTAACCCTTATATTATCGAGTGATTTATGTGATAAAGAGATTTTAATGGTTTATGCATCATGTGTGTATATTATGTATGGTTTATTCTTTTTGATAGGTTTTACTGTCCTCTATATTTTACTTGTGTGGGGTGACGCGTAGCAACGCTGCTTGGCTTCAGAATGGTACTTGATTCCCTTGGGCAAATCATAATAATTCCATCAAATTATTGTTTTGATTTCTCGAAGCGATCTTCAAAATTTGCAAATTATTCACTGAACAAACCATGACAATGTGAGGAACTACCCGTGTAACTGACTTTTCAAAACCACCATTTGAAAAATATTTCAACAAATCGTGAATTTTCAATCGAATAAGCGCAGTTACAGTTACTTTTTTATGTTTTTGAAGATACAAGAAATAATCATGGTAACATCCCCGCCCCTAATGACACCATTAAAACTCCGAGAGTCAAAGTCATTAGGGGCGGTGCAGCCACGGTGGCAATCTCAATGTTAGTCGCGATCGTTTTCTCAGCTCTTAATAGAATAGAAGATTAAGTATTCGAGTATGCCATCTTAATAACAAATCGAAAACGAACTGTTTCTTGCGAAATTCTTCACAGTTGTTAAATGTTGGGGATGATTTTTGGTAATTAAATATTTTGGTTAATGAGAAAGGTGAACAATAAATTTTTGATGTTTCCGGACTGATAATTTATGGGCACCTCTTGGTATAAAAGTGCTATATTCTTTGATATTTCCATAAATACTAGATATGGTAGTTTCGGTGTCCTTTATTCATTTGGTTCAACAAAAGGATTCTTAATTAGGCAGAGTAATACCATTTATTTCAGATTATTAACAATACAATGTGTTTGTCGACAGCGTTCTCTTTCGTCCATAGTTCCTTGAGTCGTTCACTTTTTTATCGACCCGCGTTCCATCCATGGATCCGCCAGTTGGCCGTTTGTTGACGAAGATATACAGGTTGTTTGTATGGTACACCATAGACTGGTACTTCGTATGCGGGAGCGACATACACTGCTTTCTTTGGTTTATAAACTGGTCTCCTGTAAGTAGGGACAGGGTAGGCTGGTTCTTCAAAGTTTCGTTGGTATTTCGCATAGGCCGCTTTGCTACAAACCTTTGTGTATTCGTCGAAAGCTGTCCCTGAAACAAAACGTGGCTTTAACGATTAATGTCCATGCTAGTCGTACGAACATAGGATACCCTCCATAATTTTGGCAACCTTAGCTCCCTCATTGAGCTACGTGGTAAAACCTTTTTATGTTTGAATTCTTATTTACATAACCTGCGAGGAAAATACTTATAATGTTGATGGAAATGTAATTTGACTTCATTTCCATTAACGCTTCCAATTTTTTACATTTTTTCCTCAATTACAATAGGTCGAAAATTGATAATAAATTTGATGAATTTTTGAAAATCTATACTCCAATGTAAACCAATATAATGGGAAATGGTGGGTTCGGGGGAAATCTTATATTTAAGGATATTTAGGCCTATCCAGTAAAAGAATCACTAAAAATATTTTTGTATAGAAAATTGAATTGTCTAACGTTTTTGTACGCTAAGTGTAATTTACTTTATGAATACTTAAGTTACATAGCTTCAAAGTCATTTTTGAAAATCATTTTTCGACTCCTGTGTTATTTCAATGGGAGGAGTTTTTTTAAAACAAATTTGACTTTTAAGACCTATAACTTTTTTAAACCTGAAGAAACGTATCAATTTTTATTAAATAAAGTTAGCAAATTCAATTGACTACCTAACTTGTATTTTTTGCAAGAGCTCGGACGGATAAATATTATGTCATGTGACTTTCAAAAATTCATCAAATTTATTATCAATTTTCGACCTATTGTAATTGAGGAAAAAATTGGGAAAACTTGGAGGCATTGGACATGAAGTCAAGTTACAATTCCATCAATGTTATTCTCGCAGGTTATGTAAATAAAGATTCAAACATAAAGAGGCTTTAACAGTTACGGAGTTCAATGAGGGAGCTAAGGTTGCCAAACTTATGGAGGGGAGTGTATCACACGCTACTTGTCATGGGAATTCTGACTATGGCGAGTTTTCCCTTTATTATGCCAGATGAATGCATAGTATGTGTTTCTATTGATTCCTTTCTCTTCTATTTAAATGTCATTTCAAAAACCAGATTTGATTCATATGGTTAAGATATTCGAAGTTGATATTAAAAAATTCAGGAAATTTTAGAATGAAGGAATACACCCCATGCAGACAGATCGTCTGAAAAAACATTCGTATGATGTGGGACTCGACATTCACCAGGAAACTTGAAATAATTTGTCACCCATGGAGCAAATTATTTAATAAATGGTGAATGACAGCCACATAAAGTTCTATAAGTATGAGAATAGCATGACGTCTTGATATTTCAAGGTAACGGCGTTTGAAAAGTGATGGCGGTGATTGGAATTACGAATAATAAGAAATAGACATCACATATCGAATTTTCCGAAACACAAAAACACGTATAAATAGTAAAGCCTGTAGGTCCGATCCCCCCTGGTAGCATTAACATTGGTCTCCAGTCAATCGAATACTATTAGCAAAATCTCATTTGTGTCTTTCATCTCCGCGATGAAACCCGGCCGTCGCCCGGACGATGTCTAAAATCGGCCGATGGTGCTCGATCATATCAAGAATATGTTTACGTAATTAAAAGGTTAAATGTCTTGCCAAGAGCATGCCCATGCTATTAAACATGACATACTCCATGTATTCCTCAGATGATTTTTAAAACACTTACCGTATGGGCAATTCAAATAGAAAGGTTTGCAAGATATACAAGTCTTCCTCTTGCCGGTGTAGGGACCAGTCCTATATTTACAGTCACATTTGATAAAACCATTCTTGTTGTTACTGTCCGGAAACAGGCCACTTGGGTTGTAATCGCATTTTGAGTCACAAGGATCTAAATAGAGATGTGAACATTTTATGTATATTCCCTCTCGGGTGCGCCCTGAGCAGGGCAAGTAAAGGTAAGTAAAGCAAGTAAAGTAATCTTATAAATACCAGACGTTAATTCTGGTGTCAGCGTAAATATAGACCATACTACATACAGTATCTGCAATGGAATGGCCAAAAAACCAAAGTCCAGCAACCGGTACCAATATACTGTACATACAATGTACAAACCTTCTTAAGCATTTGTATACACAAGTCAATTTAAAACAAAAGGCTATAAATGCAGTCATAACCTCATACCAAGGCAGCAGTCTACATGATTTCGTAGGCCTATGGCATTTCTTAAATATTAACTTTCAACTGAGCATTCAAATCACAAAATATGCCGCCATTTTTGAAATATGAGACAAAATGGTGAATTATGTATTTGCGTCACTCATACTATGAACGCCTATAATATCAATTAATTAATAGATGTACCTTAAATATAAGTATCTATCGCAAATTTAAATATGTCCAGTAAAAGAAAATGTTATCTGTTCAATTAAAAAAATATATTTTACTTTTTGTGATTTTATTACAAAGGGTCTATGAGTAATCTCCCATAAATAGAAGTCACATTTTCAAAAAAATTACCTTTTGAAACTATATTTTAAGTTATATTTGATCGGACACAAATTATACCGATATGGTATACACAGATTTGTGTCAAACATATTAATGGATTCAATTTATATCATATTTAAGTCGATTGAGCAAGATATTTAGCACTATAAATCCTTTACTGAACCACCTATCAGACTTCTACGTTTATATGAACGTGAACCGGGGAACAAGTAGAACAATATGACGCAGGCCCGTAGCCAGGATTTGCCAAGGGGGGGGTTCATTTTTCAAAAAATTCCAGGGGGGTTCACATTTGACAATTTTGGCCCAAATATGGCTAAAATCACTTGAGAAGTGCTCAAAATGGTGAAAAACTGCATGATTTTGAAAGAATTTTTGGCCAGGGGGGGGGGGGGGGGGGGCGAACCCCCCTGGCTACGGGCCTGTGACGTCACATCCTGAGAAAAACTTAGTACGCGAACATTCCCGTTGGCGGTTTGCGTTGTGAAAAGAAGTGATGCTTAACCTCTCTATTGAAATACCCGTGTTAGTCCATTTTTCCCAACAATTTTTAGACCTTAGAACAGTACATAATACACTCGTACACGTATTTGTATTTCCCATCTCAGATTTCTCCATTTTAATGATGAATAGGTCCAGTCATACACCCCCTGGGGTGTCATAGCCTGTATAATGTTGTAATTTTTGTAATGAAAACTGAAATAAATTATTTTGAAATTGAATTGAATTGAAGAGTACATGTAGAGTATACTTACTGTAAGCAGCTTGTTCGTATTTTGGCTTGTACCCACAGACTCCATAATCACCCAACTGTTTCTTGTTACAAAGGTCACCGTCGCAGAAGTACCAGAGGGAATCTCCTTGGTATGCACATTGTTTGTTAGGATCAACACCAAGGGACAAGTTCTCCTTGTTGGCACAACCACGATACACAACTACAGCAGGAATGAAAGGTAAAATATCAAATTACAGAGAGATGATGGCATACTTATTGAAAGGGATATTCTGAGTACACAATCGACTAATGTTAATTAGTATTATAACATAAATTGAACAAGCACTTGGACAGAGGAAATCATTAAATCAACTGAAACCATGTGGATGTAAAATTGCGTAAGTACACAAGAAAATTAAATATGGTAGATTGCCAAAATACTCATCCTTGGCCCAAGAGTAATTCATTGCATTGCATTATCTGCAATGAGAAAGCAGTGAAGGACAGATCTTGAAGGATAAAGGATGAAAATACTATGTTTTCACTGTTTGTGGTTTCGCTCCTCCACTAATATTGAAAGCAAAACACGTTAGCGGGGCTACCAGTTTGCGGTAATTCTTTTAGCTTCTTTATTTTTTCTTATTTGTTTTTGTCTTGCGTTATATCTCTAATTTTTGAATGGTGATTAAATAAAGCGTTTGACTTACGTCCATTTGGATCCTTTCTTATGAAACACTGCCCGGAACTACATGCCAGTTTGTTCAAAGAGGCGGCATTAGCAGAGTCGATGAGAGCACACGCCATATTACCAGCGTTAGGTGATACGACATCCAAGATCTTTGGGCGTTTGCTGACGTAACCGGAGGGAGCATAGTTACAATCGTAGCAATGAGCTATAAGAAGGGAGATATTTGATTAATATAAGAATACAATTCTAACGGTATTTGCAAAGGTATATGTTCATATAAAATATACCCATGTTAATGAGGTTCTATATTTAAAATTAACATTTCGAAAACAAAAGTCGAAAATATTCAAACAGCATAGACATGTTACTACTTATATGGATTACTTTGATAATAGTATGTGTAATTGCTTTTGTGTATACAGTGATCGGAGTTCCATATATACAATAAAAACATTCTATATACAGTGAACCCTATGTACAATATAACTGTTTTCACAAATATTCAAATACGTTTTAAAATTGTATTATAAGGGTTATTGTCCCATCCTTTTCATCGAAACAATTCTTCACAAGTTAGTCCAACGGGGCAAATTATACTGCGACCATATCTCACTGTGATCATACTAGTCGAAATTCGTGGATTCAGTCCTGCACATGTTAATACGTGTCATAGGTCCAGGCCTCTGTACTTTTGAATGGAATAATAGTGCACATTTGTTTAAATAATCTATATTACCTCTTCCGTGTATATTATACTTCATTGATTTACCAACTTGTAGCTACGATATAAACACACATTCGGTGATATTGTTACTGCGATATATACGAGGGGTGATCAAGAATTTCTGGACCGTTGGCTCTATTTTTGCCATTTTTTTATCCTTTCTTACTGATTTTTTCACATAATATAACCCAAATAAATAGCATCACATCATGAAGATTTCATTGTTCTATGACATCATTATCCCATTATTTTTGTTACCATGGTAATCGGTGACGCGACAAGGTGGAGCTCAGAAAAATACCAAATTTGAAAATCAACAGTAGTTTTATATTACATTTTTTGACACTGTATTCATTGCTGAATATGTTACAAACATCCTCAAATAGGTTGTACTATATCATTAAGTATATTCATTAATGTTCATAATAACTGGCATTATTCTTCTATCAATTCTAATCCTCCAAAGTAGTTACCAGCATTTTGTAAGCATTTGTTATGCCTTTTCACCTATTCCTGAAAGATGTGATACAGGCCGTCTTTGCCTACAAAATGTGATTGTTTCCATCGGCTGTGGCCGTGTACCACACGCACCATATTCCCAATGCCGTGTACCACACGCACCGTATTCCCTAGACTTAGCTGACTGTGATTTCTATCTTTTCCCAACAGTGAAGACAAAATTATGAGGTATCCACTTTGAGGCCAGTAATGAGATCATTCAGGAATTCACACACCACGTCTTTCAGGACTGGGTGAAAAGGCATAACAAATGCTTACAAAGTACTGGTAACTACTTAGAAATATTATAAATGATGGAAGAATAATGACAGATGCACATTAATGAATATACTTAATGAAATAATACAACCTAGGCAGTATGTCACATATTCAGCAATGAATACAGTGTCCAAACATCATATAAAATTACTGTTGTTTTTCAAATTTGGTATTTTTTCATATTACTGTTGTTTTTCAAATTTGGTATTTTTTTGAGCTCCACCTTGTCGCGTCACCAGTTACCATGGTAACAAAAATAATAAGATAATGATGGCATAGAACAATGAAATCTTCGTGAGGTGATCCTATATATTTGGGTTATATTATGTGAAAAAATCAGTAAGAAAGGATAAAAAATGGCAAAAATAGAGCCAACGGTCCAGAAATTCCTGATCACCCCTCGTAAATATAAACATAAATGAAACAAAAAATTACATTTATCAATGCACTATTTATTAAAAGTATACAGATTTTTCTTTAAACGTTTGAAATACACTTTTTGCCCCGTTGGGCCCAATTGTGAAAGTGTGTTTAATTGGCTAAACCAGTCTGTTATTTTTGTGATTATGATTTTATAAGTTACATTTCAATAGAAATTGCATTTCATTTTCGATTTCATACATATTGCATATCCGTTCATTTTATGGTTCCACATCTTATTTTGATAGTTTTTGCCAATATGACAATAGATCTTTTAAGATATTGTTCAGTTTCTAATGATTCTTTATGTAATCGGTATGTTCGTAACTTGTTCCCATTTTCTATAATTTGACGGTACCATCCCCTAATTCATGTTTTAAGGATAGCTTTTCCTGATCAAGAAAACGTTGGGAGAAAATTAAATTTTCCCCTTTGCGTCTGAAATATGTTAATTATTAATACGGTGATCAAGTTTAATTGACTTTAATAATTTTATTGTGTGAAATTCAAATATTTTCTTATTTAGTTGAATAGACCAAATTTTTGTTTATTCTACACATTGGAATCGGCATTTTACATATTATGCACTTAATGTATGTTTTAGTTTACGAAATGTTGTCTCTATTATCTCCCTATATTGTCATGATATATACATTAAATACATAGAATGTATGCAATATTTCAAGACAAAATGTTAAGTAGAAACTCTGAAATCGTCTACCTTGATTTGCAGCTTTACTTTTGCAATGACCCCATTCCCTATAATGTATGCGTGAACTTATGAAACATAACACATGCAGGACTGAATCCATGGATTTCGACTAGTCACAGTGCATCTAGGTGTAGCGTAAAAGTAAACGTCTGAAATATGTCAAGTCTTCAAAATCCAATCAATAAACTACAATATATATGAATTACTTACTTTCACCCGGGCTTTCACCGAACCAATTAATCATTCCAAAGACTCCACTTAGTCCGACGGTAAAAATGACAACTCTCAACATGTTATCCCGATAGTTAGCTAACCGAAGATAACTATGAAACATTCAACAATTCTTTTATACGCTAGTGCCCTGTCATTCTACATTTTTGGCCCACCCTGTAATTGCATGTAACGGGACTAATGTCACGTTATACTGACATAACAATTAAAGTTAAACTAACCTACACGTTTACAAAATCATGGAAAACGTATAACCCGATTGTGATTAATTTTCGAATAGTTATGGAGTTGTGGGTGAGTATGACATCCATTAATAAATTTACTTTTGGTACTTCATCCAACTATTCATTTCATCTCATTCCATATAGCAATTGTTTATTTCTACTTCTTCAGACTATTGCCCCGAGCAACATTTTTAAGCGCAATAACCAACACGGGGGATAGTCGTCACGTGACCTTCGCGGTTGATGTTATTCCATGAAGATCGTTTTTCTGGCTTATCGAAAAATATTTACACATTGATCGAATAACATCAACATCAACTGGCAGTAGAATAAAAAGTCGAATTCTGTAATTGTATTTTTCAACGGTCTACACGACGAGAACTGAAACAAAGTATCATTGAAGAGATTCAGAACTCGAGCGACGAAGACAAACTATGAAGGACGCGTGCAGTACTAAATGGGAACTGCAATCATGCCAATGGGCTAAAACTGAAAGCAGAGAAATTTGGTATACATACTGCAAAGATATTTTCGAACGTCTATATACACCGACAAGGGATATTTAAAGTGCAGAACCGACTGGAATTTAATTAATACCCCACCGATTCGAACAGTTCAGTGCCATTAATGATATTCTATGAACGCTCCGGTTACACAAAGGCCTAACACTGAGGCCCAGGAATACGTTAAAATGTTTAAAAAGTCCGCTAGTGTACTGAATTGTTATTTTACTTACATGTATAAGAATAAGACTGATTTTTATAAGTTTAATGGATAAGAATAAGAATATTTTTTTATTAATGGCAGTATACCCGGGCCTCAGGCCTGACACAACTAAATGCTATAGATACGACGTCAGATACTGTACATCACGGCGTAACATTGTAATTGTTCATTTTACCGACAAAATGCAAAGATTTACGCGATAAATATGCGCAATGCTCCTCCAAGTAATTGCAGGAGTTTTAATATTCGTGGAATCTTCTTAAAAACTTCAAGTTTTGTTCAGATTAATGTGGTCTTCAATAACATTCTATATTCAAAAAGGTTGTATCACGATATACAGAATTAGAATCACCAGAAAGTAGACATTTCAAACCCTACCAGTTTTCTTCTTTGTCGCGCTTTTCGGCCCCGCGCTCTCGTTGTCGCACCGTCTTTCTAGACACTTTCAAAGTGCCCCTTGTCATATTCAACTGATATACACAGACGGGGAGATATTAAGGATTGTTAAATGCATTATTTGTAATTTATTTTAAGTCGAATATTTAGTTTTATTTATTTAAAGCAATGAATAATAAAGGAGAACATATAA